GAATATGTTCTACGTTGGATTCTGCCAGTAATATTTCTATATAATAATAATAATATACTATTTTCGCACTCCTATACTCCTTCAATGAAAAAGAAACACCTACAGAGGGTAGAGTACAAGAAATGAAAAAAATATTAACAAAAAAAAAAACTCAAAATATCACGTTACTATAACTAAAATAAAATAAAGTAAAATCTAAAGATAAAATAACAAAAATAATAAATAAAAATATAAAGAAACAAAAATTTATAATACAATCAAATGGTTAACAGAGTCACAATAATTAATACATTATGTATTTATACAATCTATATAGCTAACGCGCTCATATCTATACAGTGAAGTTTTATTTAAACACTGGATTTTGTAGGGATTACTTTTAGATTTAAACCAAATATTTAAACGTTAAGGGAAAAGGGCATATTAAACCTAAAGCACGTTTATAAATAAGACCCCAATCTCTTCACGCACAAGTTTCCTCACAGAGAACGCATAGAAATCGTAATGCCACATCTGCGCACTCTACGGGCGGGCGGGCGGCTCCCCACGGTACAACCCACTTATCAATTCAGTCGAGTGGGCATTCGTTCATTGTGAAGGATTGTGTCTATTATGCGCGGATTCGGTGCTTATTTACCCGTTCGCTACTAAGAAATAAGTCAAATAATAAATTTTGACGAAAAACTCATAGATGAAAAATACGTTTATTTTTAAATATACAATCTCCTTTGTTGTAGTAATAATCCAGAGACAACAGTTTAGTTTTTAGAGTTAGATTGATTTGTTTTAAATTTGACCTGTTTTGGTCTATGTTCTTCCTTGAAGATATAGATCACTGCCGTGTAATGATATCAAAGGGAAAGTGATTATATTTTTAAAGGCAACTTTGATAACAATTATAACTTATTATTATGACATTATGTAAATGTTATATGACATTTGCATGCCTATTAATATATGTCTAGGGCTGATTGTGCGGATTTTCATAATTAATCGATCTAATTGTACCACTATCTTTGCACATAAACGATTTATTTATTTAATTGGTTTTTGGTTTATGAGTAAGATTCAGAATTCCAATGTTTAAGACATACGGGAATAATGCGTATGTCAAATCCAGAACTTTTTGACATTTGTTAGACATAAGTACAATATACGGTCGAGACTTCAGAGTCCACCAAACCCAACATATTTTTGACATTTTTTTATATAATAGGAGGCAAACGGGCAGGAGGCTCACCTCATATTAAGTGACACCGCCGCCCATGGGCACTCACATTGCCAGAAGGCTCGCAAGTGCGTTGCCGGCCTTTCAAGAATTGGTACGCTTTTTACATATCAGGTCATACTTAGCCCTAATTTCTAACTGTGATAACGCTACACTCTGAAACGCGCTAAGTTATTTCGGCGGCTAAGGATATACAACTTCGTGACCTTAGCCAGTGAAGCCAATCCGTGGTTAGACTGGATTCCAAGGAGAACAAAATGAAAGTAGAACGAAAGACTCAAAAAATTAAAAACACATACAAACCCGAGATAACATACGACCAGTTCAGAAGTTCCTCTAAAGAATTTAAAGATAAAGTTCAGAGTCGAAAAGATTTACAATGCTGTGGAGGAAGGAAGGTATACAGTTCCTCCAACCTGAAGGGATGTTTCATTAGGTAGGAATCTCTTCCCCGCCTCGACTCTGTACTTTATCTTTAAATTCTTTAAAATAATTTCTGAACTGGTAGTACGTTATCTCGGGAATATGTAATTGTTTATAAGTGTTTCGTTCGACTTTGTTCCCTTTGGAGTAGACTCTTGGGCCGTGGGGTTCAAGTGCACAGGCGTTAAATAGAAAAATTACTTATAAATAAATAAAATTTAAGTTGGCGCCTGGTAGTTAGTACCGGTGACCTTGTGCTTTCCTCGCTCAACGAATAAGTATAATAATACAGCGAGGAAATGCTAGACTTAAAGGTACACTGTCACAGCCAAACTTTTGAAATTTGTTTTAATTTTCTATTTCTCAATTTTTAATTAAAATTATTACCTTATTTATATTAATATTATAACCTACATAAGGTTAAGAATATTGTAAATACCACTGTATATATTTTGTGTCCTGAGTCAATATTTTCTTAATATTTTTTGGGAAATTAACTTTCAGCACAATTGACATTGATTGAGAGGGATCTGGCATGTCTCACTTAAACATGACGTAAGACACAGAAGGGTGATCATACTTATATGTCAAAACGCGCAGTTAAACGGGAAACTTATAAGCAAAATTCTCGGGTCACAATGTTCGTTCCCATACTCCTCCGAAACGGCTCAACCGCTTCTTATGAAGTTTTTATGCATATTCAGTAAGTCTGAGAATCGGCTACTATCTATCTTTCGAACCCCTAAGTGATAAGGGGTGTCCACCCCAAAACATTTTTTTTATGTGGCATTAAAAAATACATACAACCCTTAATTTTCACCCCTCTACGATTAACCCCTATTTTTTATTATAGTAGATAGTTATTTTTATTGAACTAAAAATTTTTTTCTAGAAATAATATATATGGCAAAACGACGTTTGCCGGGTCAGCTAGTTACATAATAAATAAAGTGATTTAATTAATGAAATATTATTTATATAAAGAAGGAAAATAATAAAAAAACAGATCAATTATGATATATTTATTTTAACTACAACCTGCATTAATATAATATAATATAAATGTTACAAAATGGTGCTTTTTACAAAATTTTATTAAAATGCTGTCATGTGTAAATCAAAACTAGTCAATAAGTTGGCGCCAAAATCCATTGAACAAAATTAAGCCTATGCTATGGTTTGTCACAAACTAGCACAGACCATTTGACAAATCAATTTATCTTCATGAGATCAATGAATTTTGGATAAATATATTTTTTTTAAATAAAATTGGATAGACTAATTGTCAACTTGTCAAAGTTATTAAGGACTCCATATAGACTCTGGTAAGTGTCAATGTCATACCCAACAACTGTCGTTGACAACTGTCAACTTCATGTCAAACCAGTTTACGTCACCGAAACTTTTATACGACTATGTTTTCGATGTGTTTTTTAAAAGCTTTTTAACCGTCTAAAAGACCGTTAATTCGTTGTTACCTACCCTCTTACCTATAAACAAATACAGCGTTGAGGAGGCTTTAAACTAATCTAACAATTTAAACAACCTACTAATAAACAAGATTGATTGTTAGTACAACGGTCTTACATTTATTTTTAATTCAAACAATCACGCTTTCCCGAAGTGTGGGAAGAGACCACGACCACTTGCTACTGTCCTGCCATACCTCTCTCGCTTCATCCACTTGTAGTTTAAAGGTAATTAACTAATTAACTGTTTTTATAAGTAAGAGGGTAAATAGCTCTATTCAAAAAGGCGTTGACACTTCATATACAAGTTTGACAAGTTGACATTTTAATCAAATTAGAACAATTGAACTTGACATTTGACACATGATTAGTTAATAATTGCGTCAAAATACGAAATAATGGAATAGTATAGTCAACTTAAAGGGGTGTAAATCACTCAACTCAGTTTAGTTATTAATTTATATTTGACTGTTTTGGAAAAGTGAAACATAGTTACTATATTACAATTAAATCTTTATGCTTAACATTCACGACAATTTAATATACAGTGTAAACTCCATGTAACATCCTTCGATATAGCAACAAACTCCTTAAAGCGTTGTAATCACTCGGCTTGGTTGGTTTAGCTTGTCTTCCATACAATGGTTCACTCTACATAGCATTACATCCACCCTCAATAACGACAACAAGTAACACAAAACAGTACTTTTTAATTTGCCGAAATTAGTTAAAACTGCGGAGCTGTGTACTTTATTTTGTCGCTTTATTGTCCTAGCGAGAAATAAACTAGACTGTCGGTACTCGTCATGTACGTACCGAACTTTCTAAGGAATCCTTTATTTTTTTTACAAATTGGGCATACTTGCATGTGCTTTATCACGGAGTTGCCTCAATATCGCAAGATATGAATTAAATAAGTTAAAAAAATACAACCTAACTACTGATACAGTACAAAAATAATAGACAACGCAATACCGTTAACATACAAATGTTTTTATGTAATTACTAACACTAGTCTGAAATAAACTTTCTTTTTCTAATACAGATTTTTCTTTCCTTTTAACTGCATCTCTTTGTAACGTCAAAATAGGCCCAGTCCCTTGAGTGACGTTATATAGAGTTTACACTGTAATTTAATAAAAAATCACTTAATACTTTAAAATAATATTTACTAATGGTAGCCCAGATTTTCGCCCCAAATATACTACTAAAGCTTCCAGACTTATCCATATCGAATACGTTTTTGACAATGATACGGAGCAGTCAGTAGTCCTGACTCAGAATCCTTAATAGTCAACAAATCCCATCATTGTTCATAGAAACGCGGCAGCCTAGAAAGAAAACTCAATCTCTCTTCCAATATTATCTATGCGGTACAAGTTTCGTATAAAAAAACATTGGATTTTTGTTACAAAACTGTGTATTGCGATGGCATTTGAAATACGACCTTAAGTCAATAGCACAAGGTTGAATTTTCTTAGGGGCCGTTCATCAAATACGTTCGCATACAAGGGAAGGGGTCTGGCTGAGTGTGACAAGGGGGGACGGGGGGTATGCGGCAACGTGACGTTCGCCGTTTATTATTTTTTGACATGAGCGCTAGCTCTGTGGCGCGACTCTAGCGGCGTTGCGATCCGTCACAACTGGTTTCTTTGCTTTTCCAATACTTGAGAGAAGAATTTATCATACTCAGCAGGGGGGGGTCTTAGTTTTTGTGACGAAATATTTCTAGGGGGGTCACAGAAAGCGTGACAATAGGGGGGAGGGGGTAAAAAAAAGCTGATTTTAGTGTGACGTATTTTATGAACGGCCCCTTACTAAATTAAAATATATTATTTATTTTTCTTAAACTGTTTGATGATCGTGACAACTCGCGGCTGTCAAGCGAGGTGTGACAGGTCATCTAACTCCGGTGGCGGCTGCGGGGCACTTGGGGCCCTGGCGAACACTGGCTTGGCTACCACTGACACTGGCGCCTGGAAATAAGAGGTTAAAATGAGTTGCTTAAATATCGTCATGATCGTAGAACAATGTCGGATTTGAAAAAAATCCAAAATCCGCTTTTATTCATATGGATACCACATTGACTAAATATTACGGCTGAATTAAAAAAAATCCATGTGTTTTAAATTTCAAATCAGTCGGTGAAGTGACGGATTTGATCGAAACTTGTGATTTTTCTAGAAACCTGTGAAATTTTATGTTATTATTATTATTTTGTTTCAAAACAAACCCTTTTGTTTGCTTGTATGCCAATTTTCATAATAACAGAATATGAATTAAAATAGTAATGACAAAAACTAACATGATTATATTATTTTGAAATGGCTGCCCTGTCTTACTATTTGTCAGATCCGTCACTATTCTACGATAAGACGAAATGTAAGCGTGGGTATGCCTGGAGGTGAGAATGGAAAAGTTTCGATATCGTCAGTTCTACGACCTTTATTAGAGAATTGGCAGAAAATGTAAATTTATAATAAAACTAGCTGACCTGGCAAACGTCGTTATGCCATGTATATCATTTATAATAAAAAATAGGGGTTGATCGTAGAGGGGTGAAAATTAGGGGTTGTATGTATTTTTGAATGCTGTATCATAAAAAAATAAAAAATATCTAAAAATAAAAAAATTAAAATTTAGGGTTGGACTACCCTTAACATTTAGGGGGATGAAAAATAGATATTGTCCGATTCTCAGACATACCCAATATGCACACAAAATTTCATGAGAATCGGTCGAGCCGTTTCGGATGACTTCCACTACAAACACCGCGACACGAGAATTTTATATATTAGATAAAAAATGTTGATGATATAAAACAAATCAGTGGCGCCACAATTTTTTTTTAAGTCTGGACCTCAGATCTATATGTTTTGTGATCATTTGTCACACTAATAGGCAAGTAGCTGATCAGCCTCTTGCGCCTGATATAGGCTGTCGAGTTGGGTCTTAGACGGGTTTCCTTCACCGTTCGAGCGAATGTTTATTAATGCGCACAGAAGTCTATTGGTGAACAGCCGGGGATCAAACCTACGAGCTCAGGTATGAGAGTCGCACGCTGAAGCCACTAGGCCAACGCTGCAGATTCGGGCCAAAAGTTGCTTATTATATAGAAAAATGTTTGGCAAAAAATGACACGCAAAATATGTTGCTAAGGTCAAAAACGAAGTCGGCTGGACCAATTCGAGTTTTTTTTTAATTTCTTGAACTCTGAGGTTTTTACGGAGAGAAAAGTTTGAAAAATTGCACGGACAACCAGTTTCATTAAAAAATAATATTATGACCAAAGAAGTTAAAAATTATATAAAATATAAAAAATAAATCAGTGGCGCTACAACCTCTTTAGGTGTTGGCTTCAGATTTCTGAATCTGTTTCATGATAATTTTTAAATCTATTAGGCAAGTAGGTGATCAGCCTCCAGTGCCTGACACACGCCGTCGACTTTTTGTGTCTAAGACATTTCGGTTTCTCCACGATGTTTTCCTTCACCGTTCGAGCAATCTTAAATGCGCACATAGAAAGAAAGTCCATTGGTGCACAGCCGGGGATCGAACCTAAGACCTCAGGTATGAGAGTCGCACGCAGAAGCCACTAGGCCAACACTGCTCTAATTATTCTGCACTTCACTCTATTAATTATATACATAAAGAAAATATACTTTTATTACCCTAATGTTGTCTCGCAATAAAAAATAATTCAAAACAAACATACATTAAAAATTCAAATCTACCCACATCCAACTTGACACCATAGTAAAAATTGTAATCTACCCGCAGACAACAAAATGTTTGTATACCTGACTGACTCCCCCCTGGGTTTGTTGTGGCTGCATCCCCACGACTACCACTTTTTGGGGCTGCTGGTTGGCTGGACCACTTGTCACCACCATACTGGACTGGACAATACATGCTCCATTACCATTCACACCATTTTATTCAAGCATCAACAAATATAGGCCGGGGAATATAGATAGGCTTCGACTACACGTTGGTCTGCTCGGAACTTGGCAGGTTTATTGTACATAGTAGGCCCCCAGTTACGCTCTGGGTTGGAAGGCACAAAATTACTAGGGTCTTAAGGAAAACGATCACGCATCCACCGGGCATCCTCTCAATATGTATGAGGGTTTAAAATTCTGCAGATAGTTTTTCTTAGTTTTATAAACGCGTAAAGAATTACGCAACACACACGTTTAATAAGCATTCAGTTGTTTCATTATAGAGGGGATTATAGAATTTGGTCCTTCGAGACGGATATGAATTCTATTGTTTATGTTCATACATGAATTTTGTATCGGACTTAGCTGTATCAAATAATTTTGAATTTATGCTTTGCAATAAAACTTGTTAATATTGAAATAAGTATGTATCGAGCGTAATGTATATAACGCAATCTTTAACACGCTTTATGGTGCTTTAATATATATATATATATATTAAATTATATATATATTGTGTTAGTGTTATGCACTTCTTGCACTTAAACCATCATATTTCTTTTTTTTCCTTACCAGGAAGAGATCGCTTGTTAACAATATGTTATTTGTTTTTCTTTAAATGTAACGAAGTGTAAATAAATAAATAATATTTTTTAGTAGTACTAAATTAAATTAAAAGAGTGACAGAGTTTATTAAAGTAAATAAAGTTATGTTAAAATGAAATTTGGAAGCATATTTAATTAAGTTAGTGATTTTGTTTTTTTTTAATTTGAATTACAAAAATGCAAGTTCCGTGCAGACAATTTCAGTCATTTATTAAACTACAAAAAGCGCCATACAACCAGCACCCCATTAAAAGTTGAACTTTCCCGAAGGGTAGCAAAAAAACTACTCTAAATTTCCATAAATAATAAATCAAAACTATACTCGTCTCATTTCATCACAGTGTAAAGACAATTCGACAGAAAGAGAAGAAATAGTTTATCAAAAAGAGGGCAATCTTTTTATAAATAATTTGCCAAATGTACTTTTTTTTTATTTACGCAACTTAACGCTGATCAATCTATGGACAAATTTCGTGACGTCACAAATGAAACAAGACATCTTATTATAAAATCTTAAACTAAGCGATAGCGACACGAGAAGTCAGTTATTTTAAAGTAATATTAAAGTAATCTTGTTAATTACAAAAAAAAAAAAAAGTAGTAGACCTGGTATTCAGGCTTTTTAGGTACATACTTATGCAATAAAAACGTCCTACATGGCCAATCTCAATAGACTACCATCTATATCACTTGCAGCACGTGGGAATATAACATTATCGCTATTTTTAGGAGGGGATTGAAGGAGTATGCAATATTTTTTTCCAGTTTACCAATCCAATCCAAGTTCCAATTAATTATTTTTTTTTTTTTGCCTTCCAACCTAAAGCTTTTATATTCAATAGCGGTTCTAATGTTTTTTTTTAAATATATTTCTTTCAATATCCGCTATTATAATTGAAGTCTGAAGTATTTCCGAACCAATTCGACTTATTCGTCGTTCAAGAAGAGCGTACCAATTCTTAAATGGCCGGCAACGTACTGGCGAGCCCTCTGGCATTGAGAGTGTCCATGCGCGACAGTATCACTGTTCTATAAAAAAAAGTCGGCGATATACGCTCTAGATAAAAAAAAATTACCTGAACATTTTGGCTCCGAACTATAGTTGGTTGAGAGCTGTGGACTACAATGTGAGAGGCACCACTCGCTTGCTGCGTCTGTACGAAAAGAAAACTCTTGACTAACACGATCGTTTAAATATGGAACACATAACGTAGAAGACTTTAGCTTTTTTGTCTTTGGTTGACGCGAGTACTACACATTTAACTGAAACCTTTTTATCGTAAAAAGTGAATATTTAAATATGGAACACTCATAATGTAGAAGAAATTGTCTTTGGTTTACTCGAGTAGTACACATAGAATTAAAACCTTTTTAACGCAAAACGTGATTATTTAAATATGGAACACTCACAATGTATAATGAATTGTCTTTGCTTAACGCAAGTACTACACAATGAAGTGGAACCTTTTTTATCGTAAAACGTGACTATTTAAGTATGGAACACTCATAATGTAGAAGAAATTGTCTTTGGTTTACTCGAGTATTACACATAGAATTAAAACCTTTTTAACGCAAAACGTGATTATTTAAATATGGAACACTCACAATGTATAATGAATTGTCTTTGCTTAACGCAAGTACTACACATTGAAGTGGAACCTTTTTTATCGTAAAACGTGACTATTTAAATATGGAACACTCGTAATGTTGAAGAAATTGTCTTTGGTTTACGCAAGCGCAACACATTTAAGTGTGAGATGAATTTATTACATTATTTAATAGATATTTCGATTTCTATAGTACCTGACTCTCTCTGACAAATAGTTGAGTCAAGATTTCACGATTTCTAAAAAGACTTAGAAACTACTAGTTATATAAAAAAAAGGGTGCGTGTACTTATGTACGCGCGTAAGAAGTTATAATTCTTTGGCTTTCTTTTTTTTTTAAATAGAATTAATTAATATTTAACGTAAATAATTTAATATTTAGTATATTATTCAATTATTAATTAATATTAATAACAATTATTATTATTATTTTATTATATTATTCATTCAATTTAATAACTTGGTATGTTTCATAACCTTTTATCTAAGTAACAATAGGTCTTTGTGAAAAAGCATTGCTGAATTTCTTTGAAAAAATAATTAAAACTCCTTTATTTGTTTAAAAGGTACTACAAATGTCATTATGGTCATTCAAAATTCTTGGCATAGCTGCTAACTTCACGCATATTCTATTTCTTTTTACTTGTAGATTGTCTTATTCCCATCTCGCTCGCGCACGCTATAATCACACTGAAAACTTTGTGTCTCAGGTGCGCGCGCATCGTAAAATTTCACTCTCATCAATTTTTCATAACGCGCCTAAAGAAGTATAACTTCAAAAATCTATTCGCGTTTATATCGCTTAATTTCTATTCACTTACATACTTCTCTTATTTAATATTTATATTTTGCCCAAATTTAATCACGATATAAATTCCCTATGAAAATGTTTAGTATTGATAATTTTTTTTTGTCTTTCCTTTCCTTTGAAAATGAAATGAAAAAAATATTACCTGAGATTTCTGCTGTGAGACAATTACAAATTTCTGCGGCGGTGGCGTGGATGGAGCCGGAGATTGTGGTGCATTGATTATACTTCGAGTTCCCGAATCTATAAAAATAACAATTTAATATTTTTTTTATTATTTATGGCTCTGGCACGATTTGTGCATTAGCCAGCGTCAAGTATTTTTTTTATAATTCGTGCTTGTCTTTTAAAAATTCGACAGTGTCCTCCATGTACGGTTTAAGCACTCGCCCGGTACTGCACAACCCTCCCAAAGGCCGAGAACAAATTTAAATTAAATTAAAACTTGCCCTCGAACCGGGAATCGAACCCGGTACCCCTCACCTAGCTGCCACTTAATAAGACCGCTAGGCTATGAGGCCCCTATTTCTTTTTTTAATTTTTTTTAATTTTTGAAGTGAGACTTCTTTAGGTGCATGAGGGTAAAATTTTTACGGAACGTCACGAAAATGTGCAGCGTTTTTGTCTAAGAAAAGGTAGAGAGCGATTGAGACCGAATGAGAGAGAGAGTGAGAAGGGCGAATTACCTTATAGAAATACTATTTTTAAAATTAAAATTTCATTAAGAGAATTTATGAAATATTAGTATTTTATATTTCATGCAAAATAATTTATTGAAATCTCAAACGACGAATTGTAAATTAAAATGCCACGTGTTTTTATTATCGAAGAAATAAATAATATATTTTTTTATTATTTGTATTAATTTTCGACACTTAATATTTTAATGACAATTAAATTCCTAACATATCTTCCTTTTTCTCTCCCTCTCAGTCTCGGAAATCTAAAGTTTTAGATTTGTATAAATATGAACAAGACTTAATAATTAGTTTGCTACAGTTTCACTTCTGACATGTGTACTTTGTACGCACGCACTTTTTGAAGTTATACTTCTTTAGGCTCGTTATGAAAAATTGATGAGAGTGAAATTGTACGATGCGCGCGCACCGTTACACAAAATTATCAGTATGAAGTTGCCCACGGAAGATGCTACGGCATTGGACATAATTTAAAAACAACATTCGAATAATAATAGATTTTATGTTACACTTAATGTAAGAGAATAATAATAAAAATTTATTTATTTAATTTTTCAAATGTAAACTGATCTTTATTGACTATAACGACTCCTTTTCCCGTGTTTGATTATTTAATTGTAATTAATAATTTGCATGCAATCAAAAACTACTTTTAATAATGCCAAAGAAGTATAACTTCTTACGCGCGTACATAAGTACACGCACCCTTTTTTTTTTTAAAATAACGAACCCTTTACTCGCTATTTGGATATGAACTCCCACAAACACCCGTAATACCCATAAATAATAACTAAACCCTGAATTAGTGCCTGTAAAAATTTAATCATGTCTTACCAACAGATTTGGTGAGCATCTGATGTTGAGGTGATGGTGTCGGTAAGGTTGTTAAAGGCACCAACGGCGGCGTACAAGTGACCACCGCTACGGCGCCGCCGCCGCCGGTCGTGGACGGCGATAGGCGCAGCTTACTCACCATTTGCTGGAGACTGGGCCCTAGGTAGCCATATTCGCGTCTGAAATTTGAATTTATCTATATATATCTATACATAAGAAAAATGGTCTTCGTTTGAGGCTCCTTCACGCCTAAACCACTGATCGTATCGACATGAAACTACTGCCATTCGATGCGGTTTTTCCTAGATGGTTTATTTTTTAAATTCCAACGTTCCTTGATTTTTTTATTGCTGTTTTACTTTTATGAAAATTTATCCATACGGACTTCACCGCGGAAAAATTTGGGGAGGCTTCCTAGAACCTCAAAACGTCAACTCGATTTTCGAAAAAAAAAATCTAGTATTGTCTTTGATTAACATAACTTTTATTCATTTAATAAAACACTATTTTGACTTTAACACTATTTTAATTATACGCAAACACTATTTTAATTATACGCAAAGCAGATGGCACACTAGGTCACACAATACACAGGAAGGCAACCCACACAGATAGGTACCTCAATGGTGAATCCCACCACCACCCTTCACAACTGCTTTCTGTCGGTAAATGTTTGTTTCAGAGAGCCCAACGTCTTTGTGATGATGCCCACCTCGAGGAGGAACTACAGCATGTCAAACAGGTGCTACACCGAAACAAGCTGCGCATCCCCCGGCTGCATCACAAAAACAAAAACAAGACACAAACAGTTCCCCGCCAGCCAGCCTACTTGCCATATGTAAAGGGAGTTACAGATAGAATTAGCCGGATCCTAAAACGAGCTTCTATTCATACAATTTTCAAGCCGCACAAGAAGATTCAGCAATTCCTAAGACCAATCAAAAGTAACACCCCATTGCAAGATGCAGGTATATACAAACTGGATTGCGACTGTGGCCTGTCTTACATAGGGCAAACTAAACGCAATATGTCCAGCAGACTCAAAGAACACATTGCAGACATAAGACATAGACGACACACAAAATCAGCAGTCTGTGAACACATACTAGATAGGCCTAATCACTACATACGCTTTGACCAACCGAAAGTACTTGCGAAAGAGAAAAGATTCTTCCCAAGATTGGTACGCGAAGCCATTGAAATCAAAAAACACCCCAATTTCAATAGAGAAGACGGCTTAAAATTGTCAAACACCTGGGATCCAATAATATCCAAATTAAAATCTCAAAAAGAACAATCCGCGAAAATAGAGGACACCGTAAGCCATTTTTGCCAAAACCCTCCATCTTTTAGTCGATACCAACTCCGGGGAAATAAATACAGATAACACAACTTTTTCTACAGCTGTGATACTTTTTGACATTCAACACCTTTTGTCTTCAGTCACCGTGACCACGCACGCTGTAAAGCACGCGAAACGTCGGATAAATTTAAAATTATGTTAAATAGTTGTAAATTTATAATAATACATAACTTCAATCCGGTCAAAATAGTGTTTTATTAAAATTCTAGTACTCTCCCTATAACGAGTACTCTCTATAACGAAAAAAAATGCTCGGTCCCTTGAAATTCGTTATAAAGAGTTTACACTGTATTTGAAAATAAAATGTGGAATGTCTTTTAGTGAGTTTTCGTGTATCTCATATAATAAACATACTTGTAATCGTCGGGCAAGTCTGGTGGCTGGCGTAGCTGTCTTACAACTGGTGCCAGGACTTTGAGCAGTTGATGCTTAAGATTGCCCGCAGCGAGTCGGTCAGCGCCGCCTATACCACTCAAAGCTCCTTCCACACGCTCGCCCAACCAACGAACTCGGGGTAATATGAAAACCTGAAAAAATAAATAATGATTCAGTAAACGACCTGTCGCCCTGAACTTTTCTACCCACGACTTAATTAACTGAATGCTAGGGGCGTCACATAAACGACGGATTTTAAATTGATTACAAAACTTGCGTAGTGCTTTACTCAACGAAAACTCATTGCAAAAGTACGAATCTACTGCGTAGGATCGGTGCGCGCCAGCGACTGCGACATAGCGATTAAAAAGCCTAGCTAACGCTGGCCATAGACGGACCGCATGTTGCAGTCGACACCGACTGCTCTAAGCGGTCGCCGCACGGCGAACTGCAGTTTCCATACTAAATTCATATCCGCAATACACGGACTGCACGACCAGTTTCTGAGCGGTCGGAGCAGTCGCTCTGCGGTCGAGTTCCGCCGTGCGGTCGACTGCTTAGAGCTGCCGGACCTACCATACACGGACCGCTACAAGCGGTTGCTGCCGACCGCGCGCCACTCCCTCAAATAAAATAAAATACTAACTAATTCATCAAATGAAACCACGGACATTCTAAAGTAGTTGAAAAACTTTTTAGTGTCTTCTCTCATTTGGGGATACAAAGTATGAAATATTCCATGCTGTTCTCTTGGTTGTAGTATTGGACGCATCCTCATGCTAAGGTATCTTCTACGCGTACGGTTGCGTAATAGTAGTACAAGAAACAGTGTTTCTTTATCGAAATCCATCTTGTTAATGAACTCGCATCAGTTTTATTTTGCGGTCGAACACAACTGCTCCAAGCAGTCGTAGTCGACTGCATTATGCGGTCGTGTTGCAGTCTGTACGACTTCAACGCGACCGCTCTATAGCAGTCGGTCTTGACTGCAACATGCAGTCCGTCTATGGCCAGCGTAATGGTTACTGAGATATTCTTGATGAAGTTTAAAATCGGTACTATAATTTTTGACATACATTAAGTATTTCTTTGTTGTCTGTCTAATTGGATTCCTTCTTAGCACGATGACAGATTAGTCACGTCCGATACTTACGGATCGGGTTCATAATCTGGATATAATGGAGAGACTGAGTCTACGGGTGAGATCTATAGTGCGCACTTAGACTTTGCTCTGACTTAACTATCGAGCTAAGACACAGTCGGTATTTATAGAGCAAACTACGAATCTCTCCCTAGTGTTGGCTTAGCTTAATCTCAAGTCCACGAAATCGACGACTTACCAAAAACTTTGACTATAAGCCTAACAAAAATAATGGCCCAAAATTTGCTTTACCATCATATCTTTTACTGGACTTTTTATTTTTGTCGGTTTTTAATGAACGGTGTTGCCATTTTGTATCGGAGTTCCATAGACTTTGGGAAAAATAGAATTTGAATTCAAAGAAATTATAAATGATCTTGATAAATACCTATGAAATGCATGAAATAAAATAATTACACATTATTATGGTATTTATTGTTGTTTATTTATATTATTTATGTAATTGTTCAAACCCCATTTTTGAGAAATCTTAAAAATAACTGGTGTGATTTTGTATGTCACCTGGCAGCCCTGGCAATTGGCATATTATAGTGACAACGAAATTCAAACTATAACCTAACCAAAACATTGCGATCCGTTCTACGTAATAAAATTATTGTCATCTTTAAATAATTAATACATTTTCTAAAGGTTACTCGTGAATTTCTAGTTATTGCAATAATAAAATAAATGAATACATAAATAACAATAAATTGAAGATATATGTGTACCGTTTTAGATTTTTAAATATTTGTTATTGTTAACTTTTTTAAAGGATAATAAACAAAGTATTGCATGAAATGAAACATCAATTTGTATTTTGACATTTTCTGTCTTAGCTTGGGCTTAGCTTAATCTCACCGTTAAAATGTCTATAAATACGAAATCATAGTTTAACCTTAGTGTACACTAAGCAAAGTTTTTCGTAAGGTAAGTCTGAGCAAAGTCCAAGTGCGCACTATAGATCTCACCCTACGGATACCAAGTAAAAACCTGAGGCGGCACTCAACTCGAAGCTCAACTTTTGGATGTACCGCGCGCACATTCTAACTTGGTTAGCGAAGCGCCACTCACGCGAGCAATACATATAGTAAATAAAATTTCTGTAGACCTATTCAAAATTCAAAATTCATTTATTCACGTAGGTAACACAATGTACACTTGTGATTCGTCATTAAAGAAATAAATATTCATGCTTCTAATTTTACATTTACTGCCAGTTCTCAAATCAAGGGCGTAGAACGGAAGAGAAGAACTGGCAATAAACTCTCCGCCACTCTTTTTAATCGCCATGTTTTTTTTTACACAACGTTTGTAAGGAGCTGCAACCATTACACCATGTTCCAAATGACATCTTAAGTAATTAATAATAATAACATAAATTAAAAACAAAGAGTTGTCCTCTATCAGCAGGAGGCATGGTGAAATAGGAGCACGCACTTACATTCTCGTGGGAACACCACGCAAACACATAGTCGAAATAATTAACATCACCGCATACACGAATTCAAGTACGACCAGTCACCACAAGTAGCACCCGTTCACGAGTATGACGCATGGCCAGCCATCGGCTCCCTCGCCATATTTTAGGGAGAGAGACAACCCGACGCATGGACGCCGCCACTTTGTTTGTACACTGGCTGAGTTCACAAGAGTTACTTCCTATATTATTAGTTATAAGATTTAGGTATATAAATATATTTTTTAATGTTTTTTATCTAGATTAATTGGTGTGGGTATAAATATTGTGTCGTTCTATCGAATTAGTAATTACTGTAAAGATAGAATAATGATATGGAATAAAAAAAAAAAAAAAAATGTATTGGATTTGACAGGTGTCAAACCTAGTTACAAGAGCTGTCAAATCAGTTTTTCCATATGACGTTTGTCATCAACTCTCATATAAGATTTTTTTTATGTGGCATTAAAGAATAAATTACAACCCTTAATTTTCACTCCTCTACGATCAATCTCTATTTTTTATTGTAGTAGATAAAATGTTTCCTAGAAATAATACATCAAAACCACGTTTGCCGGGTCAGCTAGTATTCCTATATGTCGGAGATTCACCGCGATTAATAATTACAAAGTTGGTATCACTACCGTCGTCCGACATTATTACTTAATTACTTAATATTTAAACACAGTCAGTGCGCACATCCGGCGCAGGCGCCGATCGGACCGATTCTACGCACTACTGACAGCTTGACTTTGATAATTGACACTTTACAACCTGTAAGACGTCCATGATATAGCGTGCTATTGCCATTGCGTGGTGTTGCCATTGTAATCAAACAAATTACACCGTGTTTTATTATAACCTAATCTCTGACATATATATATATTTTTTTGGACATACGGTAGTCAACGATAGGTCTCGACTCTTAGGGTATACCTTTACAACTTCCGGGCCCAGTTCAGCCAGCCCCTGAACGGCGCCGTAGAGTGAAGCGAGCGGCGTTTTCTCCGACTCCTTCATAGACGTCACCATAGACGGCCCAGAATCGCTATTCGTTTGTGACGGGCACTGTAACGCCCTTGAGAATAATCTGTAATAAAATTAACCGAATATAAAAATCTAGTTTTTTTTTAAAGACAATTCACACCAATTGACTGAGTCCCATGCTAAGCTGGTGAAGCTTGTGTTATGGGTACTAGGCAACGGATATACATACATATTATAGATAGATAGACACATAAATACATATTTAAACACCCAAGACCTAAGCACAACACCAAATGCTCATCACATCGATGTTCGTCTCAGCCGGGGATCGAACCCGGGACCCATGGATTCGCAGTCAGGGGTACTAACCACTAGACCAATGAGTCGTCAATCAATGCAGATATAAAACACAGAGCAGGTTTCGTCCAGAGTGGGGGCGAACAAGGGTAAGAGTCTGGAGAAGGCTTTTGGGGTCGCCAACATTTTGGCGGTTTGCTTTTAACTAATTATGTGTAAGAAACTTACTTTTCCGAAATAAAGATATTTTAAATTTTTATAAATAAAAAAGGCTTACTATAAAGTCAACGATTATAAAGTTAGTATTGTCTTTGATTTACATAACCTTTACACATTTAAAGAAAAAACTGTTTGACCGGATTGAAGTTATGTATTCGTGCTTTACAGCGTGCGTGGTCACGGCGAAACGTCGGATAAATTTAAAATTATGTTAAATAGTTGTAAATTTATAATAATACATAACTTCAATCCGGTCAAACAGTTTTTTCTTTAGATTATAAAGTTGATAAAACGGCCTGGGACTAGTGCTAGACAGGCTACCTCTAATTAATTTGCGATATTTGTTTTAAAATAAGTGTTGTTTGATGATTTGCTGTTTTAAAAGAGTACCGAGAGTTTTTTACGCCGGCTTTTTCTCTCGGCCTACACCCTCTGTCTTCTTTGCCGATGAGTAGGGATGCCTACAAATTCAAATTTAATGACGTGGAAAAGTGATACATGTATCTTATGTTCCATAATAAACATATTTTATTTATTATTTTATTTCTCTTTTTATGTAATAGAAGGCAAACGGGCAGGAGGGCCATCTGATGTTAAGTGATACCGCCGCCCATAGACACACTGCCAGAAGACTCGTAAGTGCGTTTCCGGCCTTTTAAGAATTGGTACGCTCTTTTCTTGAAGTAAAATACTGTACTTTGGCCACCCAAGTCTCGCAACGCAGTTTTATTATTAAAAAGTTGTGAGATCCGTGTAGTACCAAACTTTGATTTTATTATTTAGTGATTATGTTAACAGTAATTATTTCCTCTTTTACACATATTACGCACACATTGTTTATGATTTTTAAAAAAAAAAAATAAAAAAAAATATGTTTATTATGGAACATAAGATACATGTATCACTTATTCCACGTCATTAAATTTGAAGACATCCCTACTCATCGGCAAAGAAGACAGAGGGTGTAGGCCGAGAGAAAAAGCCGGCGTAAAAAACTCTCGGTACTCTTTTAAAACAGCAAATCATCAAACAACACTTATTTAAAACAAATATCGCAAATTAATTAGAAGTAGCCTGTCTAGCACTAGTCCCAGGCCCTTTTATCAACTAGATAATCGTTGACTTTATAGTAAGCCTTTTTGCACAGCTTTTCTTTAATACATTTCTTAAATTTATTGAAAGGCAGTGATAAAAGAGCCTCTGGGATTTTTTTAAAGAAGAGTATCCCTTTCCCCAAAAAAGAATTACTAACTTTAGATAGTCTAGTACGGGGAAATTGCGGGGATTGAAAACGAAATGCATTTTCGAGGATTCCTACAAAAAATTAATACGTTTATGTACTACTACTTGAACGGCCCACAATACGCCAAAGATAATATTAATGACCTAATCCAGAGGATTTCGCCTGGAAGCCAAAACCAATTTCTCAATTTTATAACATTTATTTATTTATTTATTAACAGCTCAATGGCCAAACTTAGACTAAAAACAATAAAATACAATTAAGATTTACAAAATTTACAGTACAGGGTAGCATTACCCTCTTATCCCCTCCAGGTACACTCTGAAACCACAGTATACCACCCCCATAAGCTTCCCAAACAGGTCGCTCTCCGGTGAAGAGTCAAGAAAGAGTCAAGCAGTGAGAGTAACCGGGGAATGGGCACTTGTTGTCGCTGGACAGTGCGAGCCGAACGCACAGCGAAAAGGTTATGTTTCCGACAGCGGCAATATTTGTCCGGAACGTATAGCCTCATGATCTCTCCCAGCAAGTCCCACTCAAACCAAACCTGACCACCGAAAAATCCCTACGAAGCTCTAATGAATTATACCCTAACATCCCCATCAAGAACTTAGTAGGGTGGAGTTAAGGAAAGAAATTGTATCTTCTTTTATACAGATTTCTCAGGAACTTCTTTTGCAGTCGTTCAATCATATCCCCATAATACACAAACATACCTTGTGACCCTTGTTTGTAAGTTATTCGTCGAAGTATTGAATGTTTTGCAAATTTGGGCCATCAGACGCGCGGCGAAGTCCCTCAGTGCCCAGTGGTTATCCACTTCTGGTCTCAAACACAACTGCCTGGATACTATACACGTCGATACTGACGGTATTAGCTCGTGTAACTGAAATATTAAAATTAATTAAAGCATAACTGTTTCCCTTCCCTCGCTTGTTTTCTCCCCTAAGATTCGAACCCGGCTGAAAACGAAACGGATACAGAAATCTGAGGCCAAGACCTAAAATCTTATACAATTTTTATGAACATATGTTATAGAAAGGATATACACACAACTAACACATCTTTTAAAAGTCATTTTGAATAAGTTAGTTTTTACTTATTTATTTATACTTTATTACCTTATTCAAAAACATACACATAATAAAAATAAAATAGCAGGCTACAAAAGTTGGCAACGGGCGGCCTTATCGCTAATAAGCGATTTCTTCCAGGCGACCTTAATATGGAACAATAAAAAAGAAACATCTACAAAGGGTAGAGTACAAGAAATGCACAAATAATTAACAAAAAAAACTCAAAATAACACATTACTATATCTAAAATAAAATAAAGTAAAATAAAAAAAAAAATAACAATAATAATAGATAAAAATATGTATAAACAAAAATGTATAAGCCAATCAAAAGGTTAACTGAGTCACAATAAATAATATATATAAGCAGAGCTAATTACGAGGCAGAAAGAAAATGATCAAACAGCTTTTTAAATAAATTTAAAGACTGAGCTCGTCTAATATCAATTGGTAGGGAATTCCATAGCAGGATACTTTGCACAGTAAAGGAGGAGTGATAGAATTCAGTTTTATGAATAGGAGTTTCAAGAATTAGATTGTCTAAGGAATGCAAGTCAAAACTACCGCCAGAGAGGAACATAAAATTTTGCTTTAAGTAACTAGGAGTTTTAGGACTAAAAAGCAATCGAATGGGTAGCCAATTAAGCTCTTCGAAACTTCGAAATATGGTCATCTTAATATTTATAGAAAAATAAAAATGATATTGCAAAATCTGAAAAGGTAACTTACATATTTCTCCAGATACAAAGACTGATTGTCGAGCAACGCCTTCACCATTCTCATCAAATAAATGAGCAACGCAAGATTATTTTGTACAACATTAACTTTCACACCCTCAGATATAAATGTACACATCCGTGGTAGCATTTCGTGAAGGCCTGGATCACACGCCAATGATTGAAGGGCTTCCTGGAAAAATTGTATTAATTGTTAGCGCAAACGTGTCTGTCAAAATAAAAAAAAAGTCATACAACATATATTATTTATGCTATCAGTTATGATTTGAAGTGGGAATGTCACATCATGAACATGTGAAAAAGGCTATTTCCATGCTCTATTTTTTTTTTTTATAGAACGCATCGTGCAATCAGTCTTCTGACTATGAGCAGATGAGTTGTAGGATGATTTGCGGGTGGAGATATTCCTCATTAGCTCCATCCATGCTCTATTTAGTGAGAAAATCATTCAAATACCTTTCACCAAGAACAATCTTAAAGATAAAAGATATTAGTATGCTTGAAAGGATTCAAAGAAAAGCCAGCCAAAATGATCAGGTCACTCAGGAAGAAATCTTATAATGAGCGTCTGAAAGCACTTGACCTTACTTGATTAAGAGGAAATCTCATTGAAACCTATAAAATCCTCCCTGGCCACTATAATGTTCCAGGAATTGAGAAAATCTTTAATTTAAGTGAAAATACACATTTGAGGGGTAGTTCTTTAAAACTTAAGACCACTCGACATAACACAAATTCCCTAAAGAACTTTCTCCCAAACCGAGTAGTGGCCGACTGGAATAGGCTTCCGGAAAGTGTAATCAGTGCACCATCTTTGAACTACTTTAAAAATATATTGGATAGTTTCTTAAAATCTCAAATTACACGCGCATCAGCTTATTAAGCTACTAGTGTGTTTATATACATAATAATAATAATTATTATAAGGATCTATTCCAACAATTATTGTTCATACATATAGTCCAATATACCTAGGCAACTGCTAAATATTTCATACAAAAATGCTAATTTTAGTATTGTACTTACTGCTCTTCGTCCTTCATCACTGCCAACACAAGCCTCCGTTATCTCCTTATAATACAATTGTTGTTCCACACTCAACTCGTGTGTTGCTAGCTGCTTCACATGGACAGACTCTGATGCCTTCAATCTTGCTGCTTTACCACAAGCTGGTTTTCCTAAAACACATTGGTGTTATTACGGAAGTATATCTTAGTAGTGGAAAATTTATGCTACTTAAGTAAATCGTCAGTGAATAACTCCTAGTATCTAACCTAACCTAACACCCATTGCTTACATACAAAGTTTCAAAATGCTTATGGTAGGGGAGCCCACGATGCTAAATGGGGATTTACTCGAGCGTCGTAGAGACCTATTGGGATACAAAGCTTAGATAAAAAGAAGAAAAAAATGTTATATGATAAATTCCTTTTCATCGGTGGGGGAAGCGGCTATAGATAGTTAAATATGTAAAAAAAACTGTTGCATGGACATCCTCGAGCGCGTCAGATATTGATAGCATCTATGCCCTACGTATTTTTAATAATGTACGTATGTTAATCTGATCGTTTGCATGATGCGGGTGGTTGTATTTAAGGGTTGAAAATTAAAAAAAAAAAAATTTATCGAGCGCGTCAGATTTTCTAAGGGAGTGTTAAGTGCACCAAAAAAAGCTCTCATTCACTAATCTGACGATTTCGATGGGACGCAAACCCACAGCCATTTTCTTAATTTGCAAAAAAAAATCGCAATTTTGAAATACTCAAGCGCGTCAGATTAAGATATATGTGGTTCATCTTTATGTTCTAAACGTACTGTCTCATAATCTGACGATTATCTAGAGGGATTCGCCTGATCTGACAAAAAAATAATAGAAAAACGGTTCACCTAAAGGGCCATCCCTGCAACTTCCCGCTAATTCCATTCCTGGGCGCTTAAAATTGATATTTTGAGCTCGCTGAGTTCAAAGAAATAACATTTCTATGCATTTGAGCTCTCCCAGCTCGAAAGTCTGATAGAAGTTTCATAGAACACTATTTTTGGAATTTTCAAACCGCAATAACTTTTGAATGGATCAAGCAATTTTCACGCGGTTGGCGGCATTCGACGCAGTTTTATCATTCTCATAAGTAATTTTGCAATTTTAATTGATCGAACCACAAATTTCGGAGTAATCCCGAAAAAACACTTTTTCGGGTTTCTTTCATGTACGATATCTCTCGAACGAATCAACCGCTTTTGACCAGCTTGGTGGCGATCGACGTGGTTTTTCAAGCTCAAAGGCGGATTAGTTTTTGAAGTTGATCGATAAAGAAACCACTTTAAAAAAAAATATTTCTTATTTTTTTAAGATTTTTCAAAATTTCTCAAAATCTATCGGTCCGAATCGGTTCAAATTCACAGGAAATGTAATTTTGAGGGAAATATTTTGAACGCCGTTTAGTAGATTCCGATCGGTTTAAGGAAATGTAGGCATCACGCAGCTGCACGCATTTAACTTTATCGACGAATTTTTGTTATTTCGGCTTGCGGAAATCGTCAGATTATATATTTTTCATTATTCTGGAATTATTTCCTTCAAAATAAAAGAAAAATTAGCTACGCTCGAGAATGTCGAGATGACGTTTTTTTTTACAACTTTGTTGCCCTCCCCTTTTTTTCCGTCACTCTCAAATTGTCAGATTAGTGGAATATACACTTTTTAGGATGTAATTAACTCACCCTACCTTAATCTGACGCGCTCGGGAATTTCTGATGGTCAATTTTTTTTTACTAATCTGATCCTGTCTCCTTCACGCGCGGCCTTATATATGGGCCTCATATTTTGTGGAGGTACTTAACCGGGTACAAGGTATCCCCCTATATAGTAATCTGCCGCGCTTTAGTAAATCCCGAAATCCCCTCTTGGGCTCCCCTACCATTAAGAAAACTCAATGTACTTATATACTAAGATTACAAATTCAACAGTAAATAAAGTTTAAAAGTTATATTTAAAAAAAATTGTTATGGAAGTTCTAGTTTGTGATTTGTAAAGGAATAAAGCACTAGAATATACAATAAGATAAGCTTTGTGGTTATACAAATTTCAAAACTGAGGGTTGTGGGTTCCAATCCCGGATCAATGGCTTAAAAATAAAATCAATAAAATACTAAAGACTGCCTTAATATTGTTACCACTTTACTCACCATACTGCAATTGTTTTTATTAAAACTTTAAATAATTAAATAGTTTTAATTAGGTAATAGATTTGCAGTTTCATTCAAATGTTTAGTACTGGCATAAAACATAGACAATATTACAATATCTATATATGCTTTTAATTGATCATTAAATTTAATTATTGTTTGTTGGACAGTACCTGCAGAATCTTTGTTAGCAGGTTTGCTTAATTTTGTAATAGGATCAACAGACTCCAACTTTTGAGCTTCTTTTGACAATGGTGGTGGATTTTCTGGAACTGTTGGTTGAACACCATCAACACTTAGCCAATGAGCTCTAAGGGATACATCAAGAGGAATTTTTGGAGGTGGTGCTGACAGTATTTCTGATAGATCAATTTCTTTTTCTTCAATGAAGTGAAGTTCCCTCCCACCTCCAGAGGCATAACGAAATGGAAGAAAATCGGGTTGAATGAAGCCGTACTGAGGCTGAAAAATAAAACATAATAGGCTCTAATATTGTTTTGAAGAATCCTATTTACTTTGTAATATGTAACAAAATATATATTGTCTATATAACACATGATTAACTACACTATTTGTGACAAAAATATACTCAAATATTTTAAACCATCTTAACTATTATTCTAAGAACTCTAGTATATATATATGTACGTACATTATGTGTAGAAATTATAAATATTATAGAGCAGGAGACAGCCAGATTTTATATATGTTATACTGATATAAGGGTACATCAGTCAAATTGATTAGGTTCAAATACCAGACACGAACTTTAGAAATTTAATAAATTATAATAGCCAACTTTAAATAAATAAGTATTATTACCTCAACATTCTTTATTTTAAGGCTATGATCAATATCGGTTATGGAAAGTTTTTGTCGTTTAGAATGGTTCATGAACTTCATAGCGTCTTGAACAATCACTTTTAATCTAAATGTAACATCGTCAGCTAACTCCTTTGCGGCATCTTCACCAAGATTTGCAACACCAATACTTTCGGCAATAACTTTCATAGAATCTAGCGTCAGAGCTGATCCATATCCCGTCTCTGGTTCACCCATTATTCAAATGAAAATAAGGTCTGTAAACTGAGGCAAGAAAGTGAAGGCGATCTATCTAAACTAGATTTTGTTTACGAAACAAGCAATAAACACATATTCCTATTTAACTACATAAATGCTAATATATATGAAAGACACATCACACGATATGCTTATAATATTAATGAAATATTAAAAAGCAGTATTAATAGTTGATTTTTGTGTAGATTATGAGTTAGAATTTATTTTACGAAAAAGGATTTATTTAATTCGTTCTTGACTTTCGACTAAATAGTATACGAAATACGAAAATACGAATACGAATTACAATTTACAATTTTACAGATAACAGAACACTAAGTACTAACTAGTAACTAAAATAGTTGGATATGCACAGGCTAGACCTCTAGAGACCAAGCACTGTCTTATGCTTGGCTTCTGCGGTGAGTCAACAGTGTAGAATTGCTATAAACTTCATTATCATTTTTCAGCAGAATAATAGTGAAACAAAGACGGTGATTTCTAATTGTACTAAACTATTTAAATTATATAATATATAAATGCAATTATTTTATTTTTATCGCTATTTTAATATATCTTATTCAAAAATGATTATTAAAATATCGTAATCAATGGTCAAAATGACGCTAAAGCTGTTAGCTGACGAAGTGAGAATTATTAATCTGTGGAATGAATGCTTTTAATCGTGGCAGTAAATTTTTGTTCGTTCTAATTTCTTTATGTTGGTACATAGCAACAAATCGCGGTCTCCCGCACGTCAAAAATGTACTAGAAAATGCGCTTGAGGGTTCTGCAAAATTTTGATTTTGCCTTTTATAATTCATATTTCCTTAAAGTTTTTAGAGTGGTGCCTTTAAATATTGTTTGTCAGGACATTAATTAATCAGAACAATGTATAAGAACAAAAAAGACGTTGACAAACACGTGGAAAAGCTACTGTCGAAATTATCACCAAAAGACGTGAGTTGTAAATCCGTTAACATTTTCTTTAGCCAGCTTTTAAAGAAAAGTATATAATTTAAGTTTAATTTCAGTTTAACGCTCGAGCCTACACGGTTGCCCGATTATATTTTGAAGTAGGAGACTATGGAAGCTGCCAAAAATACTTGGAACAATATCTTACCTACAAAGCTAACAATGCAGCCGCGCATAAGCTTCTCGGACTGACTTTTAGAAAACTCGGACTGAAAGATAAAGCTCTGGAAGAGCTTAAAATATCTCTCGACCTAGACCCTGGCCAAACAAATATCATCTTGGATAGTAAGTTTGAACTTATTTTACCATTGCCATTGACAAATGCAAAGGTTAAGTCTTACTCTTTCCAACGCATTCTATCCTTGGAATCATTTTGTAGCAGCATTGCTGCTATTACAGAAATAATAATACTAAAAATCTTGCATCCAATTTATTTGCAGTAAATTTAAAGCACTTGCTCTTTATACTACTACTACTTAATAATAATGTATCTATCTCCTTACTATAATGTTTCAATATAATGTTTTTGATACTGTAAATTGAAAAAAAAATAATATTGTGTTGCTATTTTTAACACTGTGATCCCATAGTAAGAATCAAATCTTTGATATAAATTGGTCAGCCATGGTGTCACCTACTACATTATTTAACAACTTTTAATATATTTTACAGTTTGTGAGTTGCTTGCTGATGATGATGTTATTATTGATGCTGGACGAGCCAGGTATTGGTGTGAAAAAGCAGAATTGGCATTTCCCAAACATCCTATTACGTTTAAACTTAGAGAGAGACTTTTAGCTGTAGCCAACCCTAACCCTGAAGCAATAGTAAACCTTCTTACATCTGAACTAGCTGCTCGACCAAAGGATGCTGTCCTTCATGTGCGCTTGTTGAAGCATTATTTATCAACCAATAAAATGAAAGAAGCATTTGATCACAGTTGCAATGTAGAGTTTGAGAATGCTCATTTTCTAAACAACATAATCTGGTATGAAACATTATCGGAGGTTCTGAAATGCAATGCAGATAAAATCATTGATTGGCTATACCAATTGCTATTACTAACTGTCAAAGAAAGACTTTGTACTCTAAGTGAAACTGAAGTACCCCAAGGATCATCAATGAGTTTATTGGAATCTAAAGAACTCCTTCAGGAATATGACCAAGCCATAGTGTCAGTTGCTAAAGCTGGGCCTATGTCTGGTTATGCAGAATTTCATTCTCATCTTTTGAGACACCATCGTGGACAATTTGCATTCCTCGCTGCAACATTACTACTTAAGAGAGCTAAGAAAGAGAAACTTAATTGGTATGATGCGACAAAGTTGTCTTCATTGTTACTGCTAACTGCATGGCAAACATCACCAATAGATCCTCATCCTACTTGGTTAACTGGTTCACCTGATAAACAAAAGACAGCTGTTTTTCGGTGGTATAGAGAAGCCTCATATAGATGCTCCCAATCAGGACATATGATTCTTGGAAACAACCAAGACAAAGGCCATCTATTCCTAGATCAAATATCACAATTTTGTAGCAGCAACAATTGGAAAGATAAACTATTTGAGAATATTTATGTGAGTAAAGATGAGAGAGCTAAAGCCGAATCTTATATCACATCGAATTCATTTCAAGCACCATCATCGAAACTTCCCCAAAAATTAGAAGTGCAAGCCTTTGATGATGAAGCCCAGAAACTTTATCCAAATTCACTTCATCATTTTGTTTGGATTCTGTCAAACTACACAAAGTTTTCAGACTTTAAATGTACCATATTTGACATGCTTTCACCATCCATTACTTCTTGTGGGCCAGAGTCATTGAGTAAATTAGATATATTAGCATTCCTCTACTCTGCCACTTTGTCAGCTAAGAAACAGAAAGAAAAACGCAACTATATTGCAGCAGATGTACCAAACCTTATACCTGCCGATATTTCTGATTTATTATGTTCCTTGCCCCAAATTAAATGGTGGGACTGTGCATATAAATTTACACAGAATGAGTTAGGAAGTGAATACACAGATATCCGCTCAACATTAAGTAGAGGAATAGAAGTAGTGCGCTGTGTGGACAACCACGGCTTGGATCCTGAACTACTTTGTATTCTTGGTCGTATATTTAGTAGTTTATCTAAACAAAGTACAATAGATGATAAAAGTATGCTTGAGTCTAGGGCGTACCTTTACTATGCTTCTGCCGTTCCTCTTCTAGAAAAATTAAAATCAAAATCAATGGTTAAACTGCCTAGCAAAAGGCTTTTTGCTTATTCACACAATGAATTAGATAATAAACAATTAAACACACTATTACATGAAAGTAAATTGTATATTGCTCTGAAAAATTACAATGATGATGAGTATGTAAAAGCAATTGAATATTTAACCGATTTAAAATCACCTGAAAGTTATTTCTACCTTGGTGCATCATACCACAAGATTGCAAATGAAGAAAAACTAATCAAGAATAATGATAGAAACTCAAAGTTTATTACATTATTGGGAAAATCTAAGTATTATGCTTATAAAGCACTTGAAGGTATAAAACATATTGAATCATACAAATTGTTGCCTCTATATTCCTATATTCAAGATCTCATAGAGGATGTTGAGTCTTCTATTAGTATTGTGGATTCAAACATTTCATTTTCAGTTTTACATGATGGTGATACTAAGTTTTCATCGGATGAAAATGTTTCTGAAATTGATAGTGCTCCTTTGAGACTTCCATATAGTCACCACAATCTAAGTTCTACACCTAAGGCATCAAAGAACCAGGTAAATATGAACTCAACCAATTATAGAACGGCATTGGACTCACAAGTGTTCAATAACAGTCATGTTGATCAGCAGAATCTAAAAGTCATTGAAGAGCAGATAAAGAGTCTCCAAAAGAGAGATGCTACAATAGAAGACTTTAAAGAACAGACGAGGAACTGGTTTGATGAAAATAAAAGGTTAGGAAATCAAATTATCAACACAATTCATTCCAATATTGAACAAACAACAGAACAGTTTAAGCTTTTAAAGTTGTCAGTAGAAGAAGTCAAAGATCAAGTCTCTGAATGTCGAAAGGAATGTAAAGATGTTGCAGACCTAAAGAAACAAATTGCCGAACTAAAGAGAGAAGTTAATAAATTAAAGAAATCTGAGCAGACAATAGATGAAAGTGATCTGTATAATTTAAATGATGACTATCGCGCCAATGAAAATGCTACATTTGCCACACAGATACCTTTTGCTCCACCGCAAGTTATTCCTCCATTTGCACAAAGATTGGTACCACCATTTCCAGTGCCACCAAATCCTTATCAGTTGTATGGACAAAACTTTTGCAATCTCTATAATCAATTTTCCCAACTTACACAAAACACAGCAGTTCCGGTTTCATCTGCAATGTTTAATCCAAACCAAGGACAGCCAACTTACCCAGGCATTTATCCCGCATCTGACCAAATGTACCTCGATATGGCAAACCTAGTTCAACCAGGGATCCCTCAAGCACCTGTAGTGGTTCCAAACCTTTCAAATATCCCTGTGGTCTCTATTGGACCTACTACTTTAGTCGCTTCTTCATCATCAGCCGTTGCGAGTAAAGTTATAACACCAACGTCAAATGCTAAACCAGTAGCGCGATCATTGCCTGTCAATGTCGTTATTTCATCATCGGATCCTTTACCTTCCTGTACTACGACACCTGCTCCAATTCTAAGCGTCACTATTCCTCAGAAACATATAAAAGGAAGTCCTCATAATTATCAAATACAAATGCCTTCTAGCACAGAGGCTAAATCAGTTATTCCACCCATTTTCAATCTATCAGCAACAAAAGATGCAACACCGGGTTCTACTCTGTCGGATAACCTATCTCTCTGGAATAAACCTGCTATGAGTGAGAATTTTTTCACTTCCGAAGTCTCTAAATCAGTTATAGATGGGCCTTACAAATCCTCATCACCAAACACCAGTTTAAATAAATCTAGGACTTTATCTGAAAAAAGTAACACCTCTGTTGATAATTACGATCCCTGTCCAGATTTTAAGCCTATAATTCCGTTGCCAGCAGAAGTGAAAGTAACAACAGGAGAAGAGAGTGAAACTTCGATATTTAGCGCTCGGGCTAAATTATTCCGTTTCGTGGATAAACAATGGAAAGAGAGAGGCATCGGTGAAATGAAGCTTTTAAAACATAATGTTACTGGAAAAGTCAGAGTCCTGATGCGTAGGGAACAAGTGCATAAAATATGTGCCAATCACATAATTGTTCCAGAAATGGAAATCAAACCTATGAAGAATGAAGCAAAAGCCTACTTTTGGGTGGCTAATGATTTTGCTGAAGAATCTTTGATATTAGAGAAGTTTTGCATACGATTTAAGACTGCAGACACTGCTAAAGAATTTTTCGATACCTTTGAAAAGGCGAGAAGTGAAAGTTCTTCAACTGATGTGAAAACGTCGAATGAAAATATGAAAGAAAAAACTGTAATTCCGATTACTGAAGATAAAAGTGATCCATCAAACAGCAAACCTACTATTGGTGGATTCACTTTCAGTAGTACTCCTACATTTAAAACTGTAACAGAAACACCTAAAAAAGAGGCTGTTAAGGATGAAACACCGAAAGCTAAAGTTAACGTCTTCAGTGGTATAACTTTTAAGAATGCAAGTAGTTCTCCGTTAGGCAACGTTTTTGGTTCTACATCCAGTTCAGCGTTGGACAGTAAAGAGACGAAATCATCCGGCAACGCAAACGCGTCCGAGCTTGTAGAGGAGTTTGAACCAACAGCTGAGTTTAAACCAGTAGTTCCGTTACCAGCTTTAGTTGAACAAAAGACTGGTGAAGAAGACGAAATAGTATTATTTGAACATCGAGCAAAGTTATTGAGATTTGATGGACAAGCCAAAGAATGGAAAGAAAGAGGTTTAGGGAATATTAAATTATTAAAAAATAAAGAAAATAATCAGAAAGTACGTCTACTTATGCGAAGAGAGCAAATAATGAAGGTTTGCTGTAATCACGCTATTACTAAGGACATCACATTTGTGAAAATGCCAAACATGGACAAGGCTGTGACATGGTGCGCTAAAGATTTTTCTGAAGGTGAACTGATGTCTGAAACCTTTTGTCTCCGTTTTAAAACAGTGCAGGCTTGTGATGATTTCATTGAAGCAGTAAAGAAAGCTCAAGCTAATATAGGAGAGGACGTAAAAGCAGCCAAAAAAGAAGAAAATGTCGCTAAATCCAATTCCAGTGGCTTTGGTAATCAGTTTAAACCTAAACCAGGATCCTGGTACTGTACAGCATGTTATACAAACAACTTGGAAAGTTTTACTAAATGTGCTTGCTGTGAGAAGCCGAAACCACAGAGTACTTCTTCGAGTCAGCCCACTGCTGTAGTCCAAACTAAAACTCAAAGCTCCTTTGGTGATCAGTTCAAACCTAAACCAGGCACTTGGGAATGCAAGCAGTGTCTCGTCCGAAATAAGGCCGAAAGCGTTAATTGTAGCGCGTGTAATAGCCCAGGAGAACACAACACCAATATAAAGTCTGAAGATGGGCCGAAAGAAGACGCTCCCAAGTTTAACTTTGGCATCACACAACCAGCGAAACCAAGTGAACCCGCCAAAACACCAGCCGTTTCCGGTTGGGGTGATAAATTCAAAGTCAAAGAAGGGTCATGGGAGTGCAAGCAATGCTTCGTACGTAATGAGAAAGATAAAGAAGTGTGTCCAGCATGCAATAGTCCAAGAAATCCCGGTGCAACAACAACAACAGCAGCAATATCAGCAGCAACAACCCCCAAGTTTTCGTTTGGTATCCCACAAAAGGCAGTAGAACAACCTGCTCCCGTATCTCTGTTTAATACAAATGCTTCGCAAACATTTAAATTCGGCATTGGTAAAGAATCCACTCCTAAACCATTTGGCGGTGTCGTAGATGCGAATGGTAGTGAAGCCCCGATAAATTTCAGTACTAAAAAAACTGAGACAGTTACCGCAGTCCAAAAACCCGCTTTGTTGCCTACACCCACATCGAATCTTACTTTCGGGTCTAAAGAAGGCGGCACGTTTCATTTCGCTTTAAAACCAAAATCACCAACAAAGGGTAAAAGCCCAATTAAATCTCCAAAAAGTAAGGGTGACGAAAGTGGTGATGAAGAATATGTTTCTGATGATGAGGGAGCCAGTATACACTTCAGCCCAGTGATTCCAATGCCGGATAAGGTAAGTTGATCGAAATATAGTCACAATTAAATTAAGACTGCATGTATATTTTGTACTAGATACCAGGTGAACTTCGTGTTTTTTTTTTATGTAATAGGAGGCTCACCTGATGTTAAGTGATACCGCCGCCCATGGACACTCACACTGCCAGAAGGCTTGCAAGTGCGTTGGCAGCCTTTCAAGAATCGGTACGCTCTTTTCTTGAAGGAGAAACGTGTCACATACGAGAAAAGTTAAACGTGAATCATTTGTTCATAACGCGTTATATTGGGTCGTAAAAGCGCGTTATGCGAGAATACTCCTACAACGCGGAACGGATTTACCGTGTTATAGAAGGGTTTACTGTATTTATTAACTCCTGACTGAGACAACCTTAGAGATTAAAATCTACCATACTTTTAACAGATATAAAGCTAATTTTATATTTAACTCAATATTTTGGGAGCTAAAACACAAACTAAAGAGTTGTTGTGGTCAACAAAGACTTCATTATAAGTAAATGCGTAATAAATTCGTTTAAAATATCCCTGAGAACATCTCAATTTGATATACGTATTTTTATTCAAATAAGTACGCGCAAATTAAAGAAAATTATTAACGGTATATGTTACACCATAAATATAGTATAATGTGGTAAACTTCAATAAATAAAGAGTGATTTGTATATTTTCTTTGATTTTGCGTGTACTTATTTGAAATAAGCTATCATTTCTAAAATATATGACAATTTTGGCATATGTTTACCAATGTTACAAAAATACTTAAAAATACAATAAAAAACAGGTAAGTAAATTTGTCGAATCATGGCTCCACATAAAAACCGCTCTTAATTTTTTTTCTATCGTTCTTTACGGCTTTGGAACACTTAAAAATTAAAAAAAGAGTGTGTGTACTTATGTACACGCGTTAGAAGTTTTACTTCTTTGGCGTATGGAAAAATATAACTAAAATACAGTAGTGATTAACGATAAATATTAAAATTAATCAATAAAATTATTATTAGTAAATACTATCACCGTCGCATATGACATTGATTTAATAAAAACACCAAAATAATATTTATTTATTCACACTGTTTAATTGTACTGTTACGAAACGCGTGTTCTAAATATAAAAATACTAGAATATACAACTTGAACATAGTTATTATCGATTTTCATGCCACCTAGAACTAACTTCATTCTGTTAATTTTGTGTAACGGTGCGCGCGCATCGTAAAATTTCACTCTCATAAATTTTTCATAACGCGCCTAAAGAAGTATAATTTAAAAAAAAACTGATAATATTACATGCATGATGTAAATGATATTGTCTCAGTTCCCAGTCAGTTAGGCTAAACCCAAAAATTGGTACCATCTTTCATTCATTTCACAAATCATGATGTTTTAATTAATTTATATATGGTTAAAGAGAATGCGCCACCACATTATTGCATGGTATTCCATTGCAGAGTGATGAAAATATGTAGGAAAAAAATTGGAGCTGTTTTAAAGTCGAGCCGTGATTCGACAAATTTACCAAATCATTATATAAAATTCTGGTGTCACAATGTTCGTTCCCATACTCCTCCGAAACGGCTCGACCGATTCTTATAAAATTGTGTATGCAAATTCAGTGAGTCTGAGAATCGGCTACTATCTTAAGTGATAAGGGATCCACCCCAAAAACATTTTTTTTTTTATTTTTTAGACATAATTTTTTGTTTTTATTATTTATGATATAGCATACAAGGTACAACACTTAATTTTCACCCCTATTTTTTATTATAGTAGATAGTTATTTTTATTGAACTAAATAAATGTTTCCTAGAAATAATATACATGGCAAAACAACGTTTGCCGGGTCAGCTAGTATACATAAAAAAAAATACTAGAAAAGCAAGCAAATAAAATCCAGCAAAAAAATCTTTAAAATTTAAATCTTTTCTTCATAACTCGCCAATGATTCGGGTTTTATCTTTCTATGTTACTAATTATGAGGATATTGATATTTTCCACTTCACCAAAGAGGATGTGATGAAATATTTGGGCTCAGTTTAAGACTTTGATTTTGTTTAAGCTGTAACACTCAAAGTATTTCTTTGTAATATTAAGTATTATTTATTGTTTAATATAAAATTACAGTTTTGTTTAATTTTTTAAATACACTTTTGTATATGAATGTACTTACTTTTTTTTTCTTTATGGCTCTGGCACGGTTTGTGCATTAGCCAGCGTCAAGTATAAGATTTTTATAATTCGTGCTTGCCTTAGAAATTCGACCGTGTCCTCCATGTACGGTTTAAGCACTCGCCCGGTACCGCACAACCCTCCCAAAGGCCGAGAACAAATTTAAATTAAATTAAAACTTGCCCTCGAACCCGGTACCCCTCACCTAGCTGCCACTTAATAAGACCGCTAGGCTATGAGGCCCCTAATGTACTTGTTTTCATATATATTGTTTATCTATGAAATCTGTTTTGGCTTTGTATATTGTCAAAGTGTTTTGTTTCATAAATATGTATGTTAGCTGATAGATTACTAATAAATAAATAATATACAATTTTTAGATTGATGTCGTAACTGGAGAAGAAAATGAAGACGAACTTTATGGACACAGGGCAAAATTATTTATATTCACAGACACTGAATGGAAAGAAAGAGGGCTTGGAATAATTAAAATATTAAAAAACAAAAGTTCCGGAAATCTGAGGTAAATATAGATTATGTTTAATTTACAAATAACGATTGCACGGGGTAGACATATTTCTGTTTCATTTTATATTTTTATCAGTATCGTAGGTTCGATCCCCGACTGAGCACCAATAGACTTTATTTCCATGTGCGAACTTAACATTCGCTCGAACGGTGAAGGAAAACATCGTGAGGAAACCGGCTTGCCTTAGATACAAAAAGTTGACGGCGTGCGTCAGGCACAGGAGGCTGATCACCTACTTGCCTATTAGATTGACAAATGATCATGAAACAGATACAGCCCTGCGATTCTGTAACTCACTTTTCGAAGTCTTTCGAAAAGGTGGGAGCTTGTAGTTTATTGTTTATCAGAATGCCAAATCATAAAATGACTGCTTCACGACTGATTTGAGAGCGACCGCCGATGCGAAAACCGCTGTGTGAGTTCGAAAAGTGAGTTACAGAATCACAGGGCTGAAATCTGAGGCCCAGACCTAAAAAGCTTGTAGCGCCACTGAATTTTTATTTTTTAAGTGAGCCTGTACCAGCGACAGTTTTTTAAATTACATTTTTAATTATGTATATTGTACATATATAGTGCATATTGTATATGTCTCGTCTTGAAAGAAAGAGACAGAGATCTGTATCTTCAGTCGGTACCTCATATCTGTCGTCAAACATCTGGAGCTCTTATGACAGTGTACAGTTTGAGGACTATGAGCCTTTCACTTGATCGGTCCATCTGGTTGGTGATTGGCCACGTGCCTTCTGTGTTACCACGATCAGTTTCTCCAAGTTCTCATCATCTCTTTATATTTCCGAAATATGATATATATGACAGGCGAGTGCGTATGCGGAGTTGGGTCTGGATCGATGTATTGGTGCGCTCTTCATGAGGTTAAATGCTCACATAGAAAGAAAGTCCATTGGTGCACAGTCGGGGATAGAACTTATCACCTCAGGGATGAAAGTAGCTGAAGCCTGTAACAGCTTTAGTATTCTTAAAACCTTTCTTAATTTTCAGAGTGTTAATGCGCCGTGAACAAATCCACAAAATATGTTTGAACCACATCCTTTCACCCGATGTCATTTATAAAGCCAAAGATGAGAAAACATGGTTATTTGCTGCCAATGATTTCAGCGAAGGAGAATTGCACTTACAACAATTCTGTATTCGATTCCAAAACAAAACAATTGCGCTGGAGTTCAAAAACGAAATTGATAAAGCAATTGAGAGCAAATTTGGCCCACACGAGGACAAGAACGATGACGTCATCTTTGTTTCTGAAACTGAGGCGTCTGAAGAAGACAAGCGTAGAGCCAAAGAGTTGATGTTACCTGATAATTTCTTTACGTACGCAGAAAAAGAACCGTGTAAAGGATGTCGCGGCTGTGAAGAAGATATTATGGAAACGCCCAGAAAGCCATCAAAAACAGAAGCATCTTTCGTGCAAAGCACTACAAATTCTGTGTACGGAACCCCATTAGACAGAACGATTGATACAACAACTTTTGGCACGCCCTTATCCAGTATTTTTAAGGAGTCCGATAAATCAGAAAAAGATAGCTTTGCTACCCGACTTCAGGCTTCAAGTAAAAGTTCTATTCTCGCACCACCAAAGCTAAATACTAGTTCGAACGATGAAACATCTACACAGAAATCAATTTTCAAATCAGCAGAGCAGAATCAGTCACTATTTGGATCACCGAAATCAATATTTGGATGTGTGTTTGGATCAACATATCAAAGTAAATTGACAGAGCAAAATAAATCTGTGGTCGGAGCCACAGATCAAAGTAAATCTGTATTTGGATCAACAGGGCAAAATAAATCTGTGTTCGGACCCACAGACCAAAGTAAATCTGTATTTGGATCAACAGGGCAAAATAAATCTGTGTTCGGACCCACAGACCAAAGTAAATCTGTATTTGGATCAACAGAGCAAAATAAATCTGTGTTCGGGCCCACAGACCAAAGTAAACCTATATTTGGATCGACTGAGCAGAATAAATCTGTGTTCGGAGCCACAGACCAAAGTAAATCTGTATTTGGATCAACAGGGCAAAATAAATCTGTGTTCGGACCCACAGACCAAAGTAAATCTGTATTTGGATCAACAGAGCAAAATAAATCTGTGTTCGGGCCCACAGACCAAAGTAAACCTATATTTGGATCGACTGAGCAGAATAAATCGGTGTTTGGATCCACAGACCAAAGCAAACCTATATTTGGATCGACTGAGCAGAGTAAATCGGTGTTTGGATCCACAGACCAAAGCAAACCTATATTTGGATCGACTGAGCAGAATAAATCTGTGTTCGGAGCCACAGACCAAAGTAAATCTGTATTTGGATCAACAGAGCAAAATAAATCTGTGTTCGGGCCCACAGACCAAAGTAAACCTATATTTGGATCGACTGAGCAGAGTAAATCGGTGTTTGGATCCACAGACCAAAGCAAACCTATATTTGGATCGACTGAGCAGAGTAAATCGGTGTTTGGATCCACACAAAATAAATCAATATTTGGATCAACAGATCAAAATAAATCTGTGTTTGGATCAACAGAGCAGAACAAATCCATGTTCGGTTCAGCAGATCAAAATAAACCAATATTCGGGTCCACAGTCCAAAATAAATCAGTATTTGGCAATAACGAACCAGAAGTGAAATCAATTTTCTCAACGGACAACCAAAAACCGGTGAACTACTTTAGCAATGCAGCCCAAGGAAGTTTGTTTGGGCCAACGGTTCAGGTAGAAAGCAAGCTAAGTGACGTTCTGGGGCAGGCGAATACACAAGACACAAAAGCTCCAAATATTGGAAGTGAAAACTCTGATGAAATTGTAAATAAACTGTTGGTCGCAGAAAGCTTGTCATTTGCTGACTTATCGACGACAGAACCTGTTATTCAAAGTATGTATTTTTTTCTGATTGTTTGATAAGGCCGTTCAAGTATTACGTAAGCAGATTTACTGCAATTTATCCCCCCTCTTCTCTTGTCAGCAAAAAGTTAAGCTCTCAAAAATAATAGTACATAAACGTATTAATTTTATGTAGAAATCCTTGAAAATGCATATCGTTTTCGAGCATAGACAATGTGTGGGTAATATGTGTAAAAAAGTAAACAACGTAATTCTTGAACGGCCCCTAATTGCTATTTATGATTATACTGCTTAAATAGGGTATTTGCTATTTGAAATTCTTATTCTATTCTCTACGGACATGCCATATCTCAAAAACCACTGTACAAATTTTGATGAAATGTCAACTGTCTTTGGGAGCGTTCAAGTATAACGTAACGAATTTTTTTGTCCTTTTGTAAAACGTTACGATGCGGGGCGGGGATTGAATTACGCATTATTGTTAATATTATTTTCGAATTTCCAGTACTTTATACCACATAATTGCTAACTATAAAGAGTAACTGGGTGGTCACGAAACGTTTTACTATTAAAAACGTTACGGCGCGTTACACGGGGGGTCAATAATAGCCCACACAGATTATAATAAATATTCAATTTTTTTTTATTGCAGATAAATCTAATGATTTTAAATGGGAAGGCGCTGGTTTGCAACTTTTCTCATCAGCGCGTGATCAAAGCACAGACAATGATAAGACTGGTGATGAAGAATATGATCCTCATTATGAGCCTATTGTTCCGTTGCCTGATAAAATCGTTGTTACCACTGGCGAAGAAGACGAGGTAAAATAAAATATAAATTAAAGTCTGATTTTTCATTCCATAGAATTCTGATTTCATAAGTGTTGCTACTAACAAAGTTCTCCGAAAAAGGGACAAATTTGACCCATTTGAGGGTAATAAAAAGTAAAATAAATTTTTATGTTGTACCTACAAAAAGTTAAATCTAAATATTTACTCAAGTGACCTAATACAAAAATAACAAATATTTCAATATCACGAACAATATATCGAATTAACTTTAAATACTTTATTATATTCTTTAGCTGGCCTCACTGCCTACTAATTCTAGCTTTAGTAAACCTTTAAAAAAATAAAAATGTTGTCTTTACTTGTGCGTTTTTACTGTTTGTGATTAAAAGGGACGTGATTATCAATTATCACTTAATAAAATGGATACATTCACTGACAAATAAAATGTATGAATAGACTCAGATGTTCAGACTCGTATTGAAATTGAAAAATGTGTGTATATAAAATTTTGTTCAGAATCATCCTTAAATAAAATATGTTGTTTTAATGTTTAGGAAAAAGTTTTCGGGGAACGCTGTAAGCTATACAGATTTGATGAGAAATCTCGCGAATGGAAGGAGCGTGGGGTCGGCGAAATGAAGATATTGTATCATCCAAATAGACAAACATACCGATTGCTCCTCCGACGCGAGCAAGTGCACAAGGCCGTGTTGAATATGCTGATTTTTATGGATTTGGAGTTATTGCCGATGAAGAACTCTAATAGCGCCTGGACCTGGGCGGGAAATAATTACGTGGACGGAAATGCGTCCCAGGAAACACTTGCTGTTCGATTTAAATCTGTGGAACTGGCTAATAGCTTCCGGGATAAAGTCCTCCAATGTGTTAGGGTAAGATTTTATGCTAAATATAGATCTACCCTTTTATTCAAAGTTCATCGTTTTAACTATAGTCAATTTTAATTTCTTTGATTTTATTATTTGGTGCGGAAAACGTGCGGAAACCGACATGTCTTAGACCCAAAAAGGTCGACGGCGTGTGTCAGGCACTGGAGGTTGATCACCTACTTGCCTATAAGATTGAAAAATAATTATGAAACAGATTCAGAAATCTGAGGCCAAGACCTAAAAGAGGTTGTAGCGCCATTGATTTATTTATAAGTCTACCCTATTATTCAAATTTCATCGTTTTAACTAAAGTCAATTTTAATACATAGTTATCTCTTTGATTTTTTATTATCAATTTTTGATGATTATTATTATTACTATGTAGGTTAACAATATTGTAAATAATGTATATTTGTGTGTTGGAATTAGATATAACTTCGAGCTGTTCAAGTATTACGTAAGCAATTTTGAGGGGAAGGGGAGGGGGGAGTCTTTGATTTTCTTATTTGGTGATTATGTCTACAGTAATTATTAACTTTTTTACACATATTACCCACACATTGTCTATGCTTGGAAACGAAATGCATTTTCGGGGATTCCTGCAACAAATTAATACGTTTATGTACTATTATTTTTGAGAGCTTTGCTTACTTTTGCTGACAAGAAGAGGGGGGGCATAATCTGCTTACGTAATACTTGAACGGCCCCTTATTTTTATAATTATATGTTTAAAGAAACTACAAGTAGCAGCCGCTGACGCGATCCGAAAAGAGAAAGAAGAGAAAGAGAATCCCTTCGGAAGTTTAGCACCTCTCCGACTCCCGAAAGGAATGGCAGAGAGTTCGCGGGCGGATGTCTCACAACCGGAGACTTCTCAAACAGAAAATGGTGATCAGACTGATGGCGTCAAGCAGGTCCATTTTGAGAATGAAGAAGAGTACGAACATGATTATGACGAAGATTATGATGGTTATTACAATGAGGTAAGTCTGAAGTATTTGTCTTGGATGCGATATTTACAAAAGGTACTTTTTTTTTCCTTTATGGCTCTGGCACGGTTTGTGCATTAGCCAGCGTCAAGTATAAGATTTTTATAATTCGTGCTTGCCTTAGAAATTCGACCGAGTCCTCCATGTACGGTTTAAGCACTCTCCCGGTACCGCACAACCCTCCCAAAGGCCGAGAACAAATTTAAATTAAATTAAAACTTGCCCTCGAACCGGGATTCGAACCCGGTACCCCTCACCTAGCTGCCACTTAATAAGACCGCTAGGCTATGAGGCCCTTAAAAAGGTACTTTTAAAGAGAAAATTAATTAATCTAAATGCACCGTTTCAACTGTAACTGCCTCTTTTCATCAAAGCGTATACACGACGTGACAAGAAGAGACGAAATAATAGTTGTTTATGAATGTGGTGATATTGGCTAGGTCTTAGATTTGTAGGAAAAAATTCGTTAGATAATATAATAAAACACTTTTTACATACTACTAATTATAATATTCAAGATTCAAAGCCTTTATTTCAACTAATACAAGAGAACAAAATATAAATGCATATAAAAAAAGTTCTAAGGTTTTGTTGCACAGCTGTCCTCTTGTACAGCTTGCCTTTGTGGCACAAAGGCCTCCTCCAGCTGTTCCCAGTGCTTCGTATCCCTGGCAAGTCTTTGCCACAGAGGACCGGTGGCTTTTATAAAGTCATCAGCCAATTATAATATAGTCGTTTATAATTATAATAATTAATTACATTTACAATAGTTTACAAGACTGAAAATTTTACATTATTATAATAATTAATTACATTTACAATAGTTTACAAGACTGAAAATTTTACATTATTATAATAATTAATTACATTTACAATAGTTTACAAGACTGAAAATTTTACATTATTATAATAATTAATTACATTTACAATAGTTTACAAGACTGAAAATTTTACATTATTATAATAATTAATTACATTTACAATAGTTTACAAGACAGAAAATTTTACATTAGTATAATAATTAATTGATTACATTTAAATTGTTAACATGTAACAGTACCACAATGTAAAATAACCATTAACTTTGCAGTATGGGATTAATAAATAATACAATAGATTTAAAGGCCGACAACGCACTTGCGAGCCTTCTGGTATATGAGTGTCCATGGGTGGTGGTATCACTTTGCATCAGATGTGCCTCCTACTACATTTAAAAAAAGATATTACGTTAAGTTCATAATTTAAAATCAAAGTTCATTTTTAAAGCTGTATATGTTCTTAATAAATAATAATAATAAAATAAATAAAATAATAAACTACCAGAATCCGCCCGAAGTCGGACGTTTGTCGTAAGCAGAATGAGCCAAATTATGTTTAGATTATTAAGATCGTGTTTGTATTATATGTTTATATTTTATTAGTTTAATAATTTTATAGAATTTAATTGTACACTTGACGTCAAAAAAATCGCACCTTTATTAAAATTCGTGTCAAGCTATTATAACTTCTAAGATCCTTCCTGTACCTTATCATTATTAGTATCATTTAAAAGCTCAATTAATAAGCTTTCAAAAAATAATCATTTGTTTACGGAAAATCAAAAACCACAAATCGCCAGCACTTTGATTAAAAAGTGGCGATGTACGCGTTTGGAGGCTCACTAATTGTACCACCCTGGACGCGTATAAAACGAGGGGGGTAAAAGTCAATTATGGGTTATTCGCTATCCAGACGTCACAGAGGTCACACCTGAAGAGCTTCGACAAGAAAAAACCCAGTGAAAATGGATACCATGGCAAAGAAGCAGCTCAAGTGGTGGCCCTACTGCAAATCGGACTACGGCAGGTTGAAGTTGCTCAGCAACTGAAAATCAGCCGATTTCGAGTGCAACGGGTATACCAACGGTTCCAAGAGACTGGAGGTTACATCAGGAGACATGGATCCGGGAGACGTCGCTGCACTACCGTCAGAGGTGATCGCTCCATTGTGTCGACGTCTTTGCGGAACCGCTTCTCCAACGCTGTGGAGCTGCAGCAGCGGCTTTGAGCTACTCGAAGAACAGCTGACAGCGTCTCCACTATCAGAAGAAGGCTGTGAGAGAAGAATGCGAGAGAAGAAGACTGCCATCCACCGGACGAAAAGGAAGCGATTTTACGAAACGCACGTGCCGTGGACATTCGACCAGTGGAGGAATGTCTTGTTCTCTGACGAAACCCGAGTGTGCCTGTACACCATCAACATGCGTAAGAGAGTCTACAGGCAATCAGGGGAGCGTTTCACACCAGCCTGCACCGTGAAAACCGTCGGATATGGAGGAGGATCCTGCATGTTCTAGGGCGGCATTTCTATCGACGGCAAGACAGACCTCGTGTGCGTCTCCAGAGCTGGAGATGGTCGCGGCCAGGGGTCTCTGACTGCTCACCGGTATATCACCGAGGTTTTGGAGGAGCATTTAGTCCCATGTGCAGGTTTTGTCGGCGCCAACTTCGAGTTCATGCACGACTACGCCCGGTGCCACACAGCCTTGATTGTCAAGGACTACGTACGTCGAGTTGGCATCAAGGTTATGGACTGGCCAGCAAGAAGCCCCGACCACAATCCTATCGAGCACCTCTGGGACGACCTGAAACGGCGAGTTCGGGCCCGTAATCCAGCTCCTGCCACTTTCGATGAGCTTCGAGATGCCGTCATCGAGGAGTGGGATAACATTCCCCAGGAACACGTCGTGACGCTCATCAGATCCATGACTGACCGCTTGGAAGCTGGTCGGAGGGCTAGAGGAGGCAACACTAGGTTTTAAGACTAATTTTTAAGGATTGTCATTGTTTATTTTTAATTTTTGTATTGTTCCTTTTCTTTGTAATTTTGATCAGAATGCACATTGTTTCACATTTTCCCAGAATTTTCTTTTTTTATGGGGGTGGTGGCCTATTTCCTACAGTTTTCTAATAAGGGATTTCATTAGCTTTCAAATGATATTAATAATGATAGGGTACAGGAAGGATCTTCGGAGTTATAATCGCTTGATACGAATTTTAGGAAAGGTGCGATTTTTTTGACGCCGAGTGTATAATAATCTAACTTCGTTTTAAACAGTCTTCAAAGGCGAAATAAAAAATAACATGTCTACTGAAGACAAAAAATTAATTTATTATTTTTCAACAAGTCCACAAGAAGCACATCTCAAAACTACTGAGTTGTTTTGATGGACAAACATACATTGTTTACGAAAACCACACGTGTTTGGCTGCACCCCAAACTAAAAAAATAATTCATTCAAATTTTTTTTTCTAGGAGGAAGAGGAAGAATCGGCAATGTACTATGCATGTGATGGAGAAGTCATATTAGAACAAGAGGAGATAAGAAATACAGTAGAAGAGGCTCACATACAGGTGCTGTTTGATCAAGATGTCTGCTCCCCGAAGATTCTCATCACTGATAACAATACTGGGGAAATACTTGCTGATATGTTGATACACACTGATACAGTGTTTCAAGTAAGTAAAAAAAAGTTCGCATTCACTACAGTGGTCCACAAAGAGTACAACTTTTATTTTTACACACTGTATAATGTTTCCTATCTCATTTTCTCCCACTTTAATTCTTATGATTTTATGTGTCTGTCTCTTTCTACTGTTTTCGTTTCATCGTCTTTCAAACTTTAATTACTTTAGTTTTTAAAATTATTAAACAAAAATTAAAATTAAAAATTGTATTAATAAATTAATTAAAGAAAAGGTTAATACTATAATTATATGAAAAAAGTCTAATTTACATATTTACACACTATATGTTTATTTTTAATTTACGTATTTTAATTATAAAAACTTTTTTAATCATTGTAGTTTTTATCAAAATAAATAATTAATATCAAAATTAAAAAAGGATTTGGAAGGTTTCACTTCTACCACGTGTGAATTGAACACATGTTTTGATGTGACACTTCTTTAGACGCATGAGGGTAGAATTTTTACGGACGTCACGAAGATGTGCAGCGTTTTTGTCGAATAAAAGGGAGAGAGTGAGAAGGAAGGAAGAATTAAAATTTCGTAAAGAGAATTTATGAAATATTAGTATTTTATATTATGCAAAATAATTTATTGAAATCTTAAATGACGAATTGTAAATTAAAATGCCACGTGTTTTTATTATCGAAGATATAAATTTAAAAAATTAAATGTATAATTTTGTATTAATTTTCGACACTTAATATTTTAATGACAATTAAATTAATAAAATTCTTAACATATCTTCCTTTTTCCCTCCCTCTAAGTCTCGGAAATCTGAAGTTTTAGATTTGTATAAATATGAACAAGTCTTAAAAATTTGTTTGCCAAAGAAGTTTCACTTCTGACGTGTACTTTGTACGCACGCACTTTTTTTAAAGGGTATTTAATATATAAAAAATAAAAGTTTAGATTGCTTTTAAATTATTTATTTATTTTCATAGATATCTGGTGACTCGTGCAGTTGGTCGGGACTCGACTATACCAGTAATATTCCAGCTAACAAAACTATTACGGTAAACTTCCCGGACAGTGAAACAACTATGGACTTTTATGACAGCTGCGAGGTGAGTCAATTGTCAAAAATGAGAAGTTAATACAGGAATTATAATCTACTAGCAGACCGGCCAAGCGTTGATCTAAGGTTCTTGTTATATTACATAGTAGTAAACTATTCAAGGGAAACGGTAGGAGAACACCAGTCATGGGTTCACCACCACCACCATGCTTTTTTTGGTGGTAATGCCATTAAATTGTAGGTTATGTAAAACGTTGGTACTTTCAACACAGCGCCATATGTTAGAATTATGACTATCAAATAATAAACAAATATTTATATATATAAGCAATCCTATCTTTTAAGTTAGATAAAACCGCAGACGGTGTGCAAATTTGATTGAAATCGGTTCAGTAGTTTAGGAGTCGATAGATAAAAATAATCCTACTAATGACTGTAGTGAAAGTTTGTGTTATCTTAAGTTTTAAAGAACTACCCCTCAAATGTGTACTTTCACTTAAAATAAAGAGCTTCTCAATTCCTGGAACATTATAGTGGCCAGTGAGGATTTTATAGGTTTCAATGAGATTTCCTCTTAATCGCCTACTTCCTAAATCAGTAAGGTCAAGTGCTTTCAGACGCTCATTATAAGATTTCTTCCTGAGTGACCTGATCATTTTCGTGGCTTTCTTTGAACCCTTTCAAGCATACTAATATCCTTTATGAAATATAGATCCCAAATGCTGTAGGCATACTCTAATAGTGGTGATGTAACATTTATATATCTCTAAGAGTGTTCTTGGTGAAAGGCATTTGAATGATTTTCTCACTAAATAGAGCATGGAATAAGCCTTTTTCACAATATTCTATTATTATTAAATTAATGATTAAAAAATTATTTATACAGATAATTTTAATTTAGGTTTATTTATTTATATCATAATCTGTCAATAATATATTTCATTCGGTCTTCCATAGTCAGCTTCACTTGAAATTTTCTTTTGCGAACTGTGGAATTGACTCCCGATATACTCCTCACTTAAATGCCGGCAACGCACCCACTAATATGTGTCCATAGTGCTATTTTTACTATAAAAAAATAATTATGTATACTTACTCTGATTTTTAATTCCGTAGAATTCTGACAGTTATCGTTTTTTGACATGTCAGTGATAGCAAACCTTTTTGGCCGGGCACATTTTTCTATTTCAATACGAGTCTGAACATCTGAGTCTATTCATACATTTTATTTGTTAGTGAATGTATATTTTATTAAGTGTGGTGCTCCACATTAAAAGTGGTTTTACGGCGAGTGATAATTACGTCCCTTTTCATCACTAACAGTAAAAAACGCAAAAGTAAAGATAACATTTTATTTTTTAAAAAGGTTTACTAAACCTGGAATTAGTAGACAGTGATGCCAGCTAAAGAATAAGATAAAGTAGTTTAAGTTTATTCGATATATTGTTCGTGATATTGAAATATTTGTTATTTCTGTATTAGGTCACTTGACTAAGTAAATATTTAGATTTACCTTTTTGTAGATAGAACGTGAAAAATACAACACATTTTATTTTTTATTGCCTTCAAATGGGTCAAATTTGTCCCTTTTTCGGTGGAGAACTTTTTAGTAGCAACACTTATGAAGTGTCAGAATTCTACGGAATTAAAAATCAGAGCATAGTATATATATTTGACGTTTTTTACTTTAAATATTCCGAAATATAAAAAGAAATACATTTTTTTTTCAGACAAGCAAAGCGTCGACGTACGAATCCCACGATCCAGAGTCTTAGAGGACGTTAGTGTTTAAGCCATTATAAGGCGTTTGACAGCTGTCAAACGAGTTGTCAAAAAACTCGAATGACGTTAAATTTCCACTTAATATTCTTTGTCTTCTATTGTCTAAATAAATACTTTAATTAAATAAATATATTTTTCATGTACTAACAAATCAGGAGCTCTTTGACAGCTGCTGTCAGATGCCTTAATCCGTTAGAACTACGATTTTGTCTACATTTTGACGGGTTTAAAAACGTGATTTAATATTTAGTAATTATCTGAAGCAGGTTAATTATTTCGATTTAAATTTGCCCATTTTTTAATTTATGTACAAGGAGATCTGATCAATTTTCTTTATTTTCCTTTAAAAGGAAACTGTAATTTATGTAAATTTCATATTGATCAGGTCTTTTTACATTAGGTTTTAAGACAAATAATGTTTAATCGCTTGAACTTGTGAATTCGGTATTACATGGATGTGGTAGTATAAATGACATAATAAAAATTACAATTATATAAAATTGTTTTATTACAAAACTGACCTTTTTCCAATATGAAAAACCCGCCATGGGCCGAATCGAAGGCGGATCCACAAACAAAAGCTAACATTTAAAAATTGGTTGTACAGCGATACTGTTATCACGAGTACGTGCGTACAAAGTACACATGTTAGAAGTGAAACTTAGCCAATTTAATTATTGAGTAATTAAGCTGCCCAAATCCCATAATTGATACTAAGACTAATTAAAAACCAGAACTAAAATTAGTTGTTGTTATGTATATATATATACCACCATAAATATGGTATCAATTACCAAATAATATAACAAATTCATTATCATAATTGCTAACTTATGTCCACATTTTCTAAAATAGTCAACTGGGTCTTAGCAAAAATGGTCTTGGTTTATTTATTTATTTATTTATTTAATAAGCTTATAACATCACACACAGTACTAAAATTACTACAAAAAATCTCGCATCTAAAATGTGTGACAATTAATGTAAGCATAAGTTTCATAAAAAAAAAATTAAATAGAAATAAAAATTACAATTAAAACATATACGATAGTAAAAGCACACAATAAAATAAAAAAAAATTACAGAAATTTGTTGGCACTTAGTGCAGAAAAAAAAAGAAAAAACATCATCAAAACAGCGAAATTAGGTTTGAGAAAGGCAACCCACAATGCTTTCTCTAAAACCGATCAGCCCACTACCGAATATATCCAGCTCTGGATACGCTGTGTTCAATTTGTTGAAATCGCGAAGAATTCGAAGGAGAGGTGCCTGAACTCCTAGGTTGGTTTTGGCAGAAGGAATTTGGAAGATATTATTGATTTTAAACCTAGGGAATGAGTAAGGGACGACAAATTTGATTTCCTGTAAGAGATCACTGCTCTGTATATAGTTATTGAGCAATTTATGCAAGAAGGTAACACCGTTCTGTGCCCTTTTAAAAGACAAAACCAACAAAAAAAAATTAATTACTTAATAAAATGATATTGATATGTATTAAAAACACCATCGGTGTTCAAGTATGAATAATTGCACTATAATATTATACTAGCACGTCATTATTAAAGAAAAAAAAATCAACAAAAGCGCTGCACATCTTCGTGACGTTCCGCAAAAATTTTACCCGCGCCTTAAGAAGTTTCACTTCAAAAAAAATCCACATAAAGACGGAAGTTACGGTTCGGGTATAGGCATTGACTTCTAGAAGACACCAAAACTAAATTTGTATGAAAATGACAGTTCGTGTCGACAAATATTCATAAAAAATTAGTTTTCGACTTTCTACATATACTACTGTTAAGGCATCTTGACGAAATCTCCGGGTCTGTACTATGTCCGTAAACCCCCAGGCTCCAGAATATAAACCATATATGTACATTGAATTCGTTTTTACAACAAACTCCCAAGCGAAATTAAAGAATTATCATTGAGTAAATTCAAAACTCTCGTTAAACGTAAATTTATCAATAAAGCTTTTTATTAATTTGACGATTATTTTAATGATTCTAATCCTCGGGATTGATTTGCTCCAGTTCAAACAATTTGTATGACTCAAAACTTGGCAATTAAAAAGAGTGGCGGAGAGTTTCTCGCCACTTCTTTCCCGCTCTAAGCCCTTGACTTGCGAACTGGTAGTAAATGTAAATTTAGAATCGATTTAACATCTAAGTTAGTTAGAGTTAAAAACAAAAAGATGTGTCGGGCGTAAAGATGTATAAATTTATAGATTACTAGCAGACTCGGCCAAGCGTTGCAGTGGCTAAGTTTTTTGTTATATTACATAAATAATAAATAAAATAGCCTTTATTGCTGTTTCTATCTTACAATAATACTCATTAATTAATACGTGCCTAACATAATTACTTTCTAAATACTTTTCTACTAAATTAAATTTAAATTACTTTCGAAGTACTTACTAAATTAAATTGGTTTAATCATTGTATGTTCGGCAACTGGATGTTTGTCTGGAACAGCTTGTCTGTCGACAAAGGCCTCCTCTAAAGATTTCCACGTATTCCTGTCTTTTGCTAAACGAGTCCATACCGGACCAGCTATTTTGTTGAAGTCGTCTTCCCATCTTTTCGTTTGCCTACCTCTTTTTCTTCTGGTATCTCTTGGATACTACTCAGTTACTATCCTTGTCCATTTTTCTGTACTTTCTCTCAACATATGTCCGGTCCAACGCCATTTAAGCTGTCTGTAGATTGTGTGTACATTTTTGAATTTTGTTTTCTTTTTAATTTCTTGTAATTTTACTCTATTACATAGTAGGAAACTATTGAAGGGTAACGGTAGGACCAGTCATGGGGACCACCATGCTTTTTTGGTGGAAATGCCATTAAATTATAGCATATGTGAAACGTTGGGACTTTCAACACAGCGCCATCTGTTAGGTACAATTGTGTCAAATAATAAACAAATAATTTGCAATAAAATAATATTGCGGCTATAAATTAAGATGTAAGCTATCCTATCTTTTAAGTTGGATCAAACTGCACACGGTCTGCAAATTTAATTTAAAATCGGTTAAGTAGTTTGTTTAAGACAAACAACGTGGCACGTGATTTATATATATTAAGATATATGTATAACAAGACCACCGCCGCGTCTATCTACATAATGTATATCATGATAAACTCAAAAACTGCACGCAATTTATTGCAGTTTTCACCAATATCTAGAATGATTCATGTTTAGACATCTTACGGATGATAGGCGAAAGAATGGAGTGACCCCTATTTACGACACTGCTCCGACATCTCCGCAGGGCTTTGTATCTGATAGTTTTTATTTAACTACTTTTCCTTATTTTTACTAATTCTCTAACATATATCTTAAGAAACTATTGTTACTAACTCACTAATCAATCAATGGACTGTATTTGTCTGATTAATAAAAATTATTATTATTATATTTATTTTTTTAATTCGGAGCAGGTAGGAATGTTAATAAATAGGTAAATAAAACAAAAAGAAATAAACAAATATTTTAAAATTAACAACTGGCATGGCATGTCTGTTCTTTGATTATTTTTCTTTACTAAACTGATTATTATGTCTTATGCCGTTATGCCCGAATTTCCGTCATCGTACGATAAAGTAAGTATTTATTTCTAATCGTCACTGTGGACCACTGTGTAGTTCGTTATAACAATACCATCGGAATTCTAAGTACAATCGTCACTATCTGTTTGTATTTCCGCCTTAACAATGCCTAAAGGAATAGTTTGTTCTGATTCATATTCACTCGCGACCTCACTTTGACCTTGAGATGAAAGCTGCTCTTCAGCCTCAATGATAACGCTAAAAATCTTCTTTTTAACCTGTGTCTGCATCCAGTATGGCATTGTTTTAGTGCTCTGTAACATGCATTTGAAAAACGACTCTAGTGCGCCGTCTTCTAAGCTTTTTTTTTCTATACACCGTCGTTTCGCCGAATATTCTTCTGTCGTTGACACATCGTCGTGTTTGGATGGTTCTATTTCTATGTTTTCTGTTATTCTATATTTCATGTGCGGTTCTAGAAATTGCATTGCTTTCGCGTACTTCCATGTTGTGATTTGCGCGGGTAATAACTTGTTCTTGCCTAACTTCGCGCGTTTGAGCGCGTCGCGGTGATTGTCGCGAAGTTTTTTCCATTCCATTTTTGCTACTTGAACTGTAATAAAACAATTTTGCAATTATTATATGTATTAAACAGTTATATATGTCCAAAATATATGTATCTATAATATAATGATTTGTATTTTTGTACCAAATATAAAAAAATCGCTCGTAATAAACCAGTACAGGCCGCTGGATATTAATAATTATTAAATAAAAATGACGATTTTTTCCAAGAATTAATTTCTTACATAAGCACAAAAAGGGCCGGCAACGCATTCGTGAGCCCACTGGAATTGAGAGTGCCCATAGGCGATGGTATCACTTAACATCAGATGAGCCTCCTGCCCGTTTGCCTCCTGTTTTATAAAAAAAAAGTTACTTGGATCACAGCCGGGGTTAGACAGCACGGCAGGCCTGAGGGTCGCACGCGTAACCACTCATTAATAACAATGCTACTGTCAACAGATTAAATTTAATATAGCAAACGCTGTCAATAGACACGACGATTTAATATTCGTAAAACGAATTACTCCTATATAAAAATTCATCACTATTTTGTTAAGGGCTTTTCTGGTGTCACAAATCTAGCGGCAATCATATGTGTAGGGCTAGTTCTAGAGTATAGACCTTCCTTCCTTCTTTTTTCAATTCTCTGCTGTGAATTGAAGCATTTTTAAACGCTTCAGTGCGATAAAAGATCCAACAGCGAGTTAAGTTCGGTGGCGGTTGTTGTAGGGATATGTTCAATATGTTAAATGAAACACTTTGTTTGAACTCGGGTGACAACTGGCTTTAATTGTTTAATACATGAACTTATAACTAAGATAACATTAGGGGGTGGGGTTGCGACGCTGTATTAACAAAAAAACTAACTTGACTTATTGAAGAGTTCGTATATCTAAGATAGGTACTATGTTATTGGACATTATCGGAAAGAGAAAGTCAAATTACAATGTATGAATGTAAAAACTAAATAAACTCATATTGACTTCAAGTGTGCGTTGATTGTTTACGCTTTTAAATATTAAGTAATATATATATTATACTAGCTGACCCGGCAAACGTTCTTTTTCCATGTATCTATATTATTTCTAGGAAATATTTTTTAGTTCAATAAAAATAACTATCTACTATAATAAAAAAAGAGGTTGATCGTAGAGGGGCGAAAATTAAGGGTTGTATGTATTTTTGTATCATAAAAAAAATAAAAATTTAGGAGTGGACCCATAACAGTTTGAAAATTATGTATAAAAAAAATCATAAGAATCGGTCGAATCGAGTCGGAGGAGTATGGGAACGAACATGTGACGAGAATTTTATATACCTATTAGATTACATAAATAGCGTTTTGGTAATTTTTTGATTTGAAAAAGCGCTTTTAAAGCGCTAATTAACTTTTTTGAAGCGCTGAATGCGAAATTTCATTTAGATCTGGCGGCAACGCGTTCCATTGCATCAAAGTGCGTGACGTCAACATAATAAATGTATTTATTAGACTCTTATGTCATTTAACTGGTGAACTAATGAAGTAAGGACTTATTTATGTTATTAATTATTATTTTAGGCATTACTGACTATCGAATTATTGATATATATGTTAGAATTACACGTATATTAATTAGCAGAGCTGTAAGGACTTATTTATGTTATTAATTATTATTTTAGGCATTACTGACTATCGAATTATCGATATATATGTTAGAATTACACGTATAATAATTAGCAGAGCTGTAAGGACTTATTTATGTTATTAATTATTATTTTAGGCATTACTGTTGATTTTTTTTGTTTTCTGTAATGTTTGGTCCTCTGTGCATACGAGGTTATCATTCTACGATCGATATTACTTACTATTTGCTATAGATCGGTTATTATAGATCTCCACAACGGTGGTCCAAGCTTCGTCCTTCACGTGCATCTCTCGGTAATCTGGGTCTAAAGGATTCCACAGACAGGGCTGCAAACGCACAGCTTCGATGAACTTTTCCATGACCGTGTATAACCAGTATTCATTTGTTACTAAAGGTGGCTCGGAGCGAGGGGTAACCGGCCTCGCAGCACCTCGCCGAGGCTCGCGCGTGGTCGGTCCCTCCCCGCACCTCCCCGCACCTCTCGCAAAACTCGTTTCACTGGCTGGTTTACGGCTAGGGTTGCCAAGTTGGTGCCACGCGTATTCTATACTATTATAAAGCTAAAGATGAAACGCGCTCTTTTTGAAACTTCTTTAGGCGCATGAGGGTACGGATTAAACGCAATAATAATATTAGCGTCACGAAGATGTGCAGCGTTTTAGTCGAAGAAAAGTGAGAGAGAGTGAGAAGGGCGATTTACCTTAGAAAAATTATATTTTTAAAATTAAAATTTCTTAAAGAAAATTTATGAAATATTAGTAAGTCTTATTTTAATTTTATGCAAAATAATTTATTGTAATCTCAAATAACGTATTGTAAATTAAAATGCCAAGTGTTTTAAGGGCCAAGGAACTTAGTATATAGGATAACAAGAAAATAATGTATACGGTGTAAAAATATAAGCTGTATTTTATTCTATTGTAATGATTGGAAATGAAACGGAATATTTATTATAAAATTGAAACTTTTATTACATAGTCTCAAACTTTTTCGTCTGTGTGTTGCATGTGGCGTGACGGTCGGCCGCGGAGTAGGGATAAAAAGGAAAGGCGCTCGTCATAGCAGCCAAGGCCAATATGGCGGCGCCTATAGTTCGCAGCAGCTGACCGTGTAGTGTATAGACTATTATTTAATATTTGTAAATAATCTAAATAATTGTTAAGTATTATGCATGTCGTACTCTCTAAGACACAGAGTTCAATAAAAATATTAGTTGGAGACTTAGTCTACTTTTATTATTTCCCATTATCACTCGAATTTTCCAAGTATAAATTATAAAATTAAGATTGATAAAGCGATTTTTATACCCTTAATGGAATATTATTCCAAAAATGTTTAGTTAAATGTCTATAATGTGAAAAAAGTTTCACTTTTATCGTGGTTTCGTAAAACCACACTATCCTTTTTTTATTATAGGCATTACTGACTATCGAATTATCGATATATATGTTAGAATTACACGTACCTAGGTATATTTATTAGCAGAGCTGTGTTTTTGTTATAAAAACGTCAGTGGCGCTACAACCTCTTTAGGTCTTGGCCTCAGATTTCTGAATCTGTTTCATGATCATTTTTAAATCTAATAGGCAAGTAGGTGATCAGCCTCCTCCTGACACACGCCGCGTCGTCGACTTTTTGAGTCTAAGACATGTCGGTTTCCTCACGATGTTTTCCTTCACCGTTCGAGCAAATGTTAAATGCGCACTTAGAAAGTCCATTGTTGCACAGCCGGGGATCGAACTTACGACCTCAGGGATGAGAGTCGCACGCTGAAGCCACTAGGCCAACGCTGCTGTTTTTGTTATATAATCCTTTAATTAATTGTAATTTTGTATTGTAATGCATGCTTCTATGTTTGCTTATATAAATGTCAAAAACATACTTTAATTAATTATTATTAACTAGCAGACCGGCCAAGCGTTGCTATGGCTAAGGTTTTTGTTATATTACATAGTAGCAAACTATTCAAGGGAAACGGTAGAAGAACACCAGTCATGGGGACCACCATGCTTTTTTGGTGGTTATGCCATTAAATTGTAGCTTATGTGAAACGTTGGTACTTTCAACACAGCGCCATCTATTAGAATTGTGACTATCAAATAATAAACAAATATTTTGCAATAATATAATATTGCGGGTATAAATTGAGATGTAAGCTATCCTATCTTTTAAGTTAGATCAAACTGCACACGGTGTGCAAATTTGATTGATATCGGTTTGGTAGTTTAGGAGTCCATAGCGGACAAACAACGTGACACGTAATTTATATATATTAAGATTGTATTTCTCATGTTGTGAGTTGAGAACCCTATAGCTCGTGTGATTCTCGTAATTTAATAGCGATAGGACTTTTTAAAGATTGTAATTTGACCTTCATTCAATAGCTTAAAATTTGGTTATTATTTTGATTGTTCAATTAATTTAATTAATTATCATTCGCAATTGTGACAAAGTTAACAATAATCAAATAAGTGAATTATTGGTTACGATTATGATTAAAAGAAAAACTAAAAATAAATCAGTGGCGCTACAACCTTTTTGGGTCTGGGCCTCAGATTTCTGTAACTGTTTCTTGATCATTTGTCAATCTAATAGGCTCGCTTAACGAATAAGTATTGCAATACAGCGAGGAAATGATGCCAGCGTTAAAGATACACAGCAACCAAACTTTTTTTTTTTAATTTTCTAATCATTATCTTTTAATTATTATTATTAATATGTAGGTTAAGACTGTATACAAGCAAGTAGGTGATCAGCCTCCTGTGCCTGACACACGCCGTTGACTTTTTTGGGTCAAAGGCAAGCCGGTTTCCTCACGAAGTTTTCCTTCACCGTTCGAGCGAATGTTAAATGAGCATATAGAAAGAAAGTCCTTTGGCACAGCCGGGGATCGAACCTAAGACCTCAGGGATGAGAGTAGCACGCTGAAGCCACGAGGCCAACACTGCTCTTCCATTTAGTAGATACATACATTAGTTGTAATTATTTTTATTATGTAGTATTAGCTTTTAATTCGATTACAGCGTAGTGTATTGAACCGTCCTCAATAATTTTGTTATTTTGTAGGTACTTTTGTATGGATCTTTGACATCCGAATTGATTTTTAAATCAGATATTATTTACATTTATTCTTAACCTATATAGTAATAATAATCATTATTATTATAAATTGATAACTAAAAAATTAAAACTAATTTTAAAAGATAGTAGCCTGTAGCAGTGTAGGTACCTACCTTTATTTTTGAACGAGGAAAGCACTAGCTCTGGGGTCACCGGTAGTATCTACCAGGCGCCAATTTAAATATTTAATTAGGGCCTGTGCACTTGAACCTCACGGCCCAAGAGTTGGAGGAAATACAAAATGATTGATTGATTTGATTTGATCAGCTCAGGGTTGGCATGTGATACTCCTTTCTCCCCCAGCTCTATAAAACAGTATGAATTGGCCGATGTGAAAGGCTGGATGCGGACAAGACTACGCTGTTACCGTGTCCTGCCCCGGGCGATTGCTGGTGGCGCCGTGGGGTTTTAGTGGGTATGCACAACAGCGAGTCCCACATAACCCTTCCCCATGCGTAACGCATTTCCCCACGAAAAAAAAAATGATACTCCTTGACCTAAGCATAGATTTCCTTATTACAAATGGACTATCCAACACAAAAATAATATCCCAGTTTAAGCAGATTTTTATTTTTTATATACATATAACTAGCTGCCCCCGCGAACTTCGTTTCGCCTTAATATGTTTTTTTTTACTTAGCCCATTGGCCATTATAGTATACTTTATGCTATGATTATAAGGTAATAAATAAGACTGATTTCGTAAAAGTTCTGACTATGTTTTATTTCACAAAATTCTGACTCGTTTTGTGTATGGCCCACATGGTTATTGGGTACCTTTAAGTTATCATATTTTTTGCTTTTATTTCAAAATAAGTCAACAAAGCAACATCAAAAATTTATTGAAAAAAAAACATAAATTAAATGTGTTTTTCAGATTTATAAAAACTATTAGACTTGTTATTTATCAATATAATTTTTTTTACATATATTAAAGACATTATAAAATTTTACTAAATATATTATATAATATAGTTTATTAAATATATATATAATATATTTAATAAACAAATCTTAGCTCTTTAACAATGTAAATACAATACATCTAGGACGAGAATTACCTGGGTGTGACCAGCGTCTGTAAAATAATTCGTAGGTATATATACTGCTCAAAACAAATAGCGGAACAAGATTTTTCTCCTTTCTATTGCTTAAACTAAAATTAGATTTAAATTAACTTATACGCTATTTTTTACCTTGTTAATTTGTTAATTACTACAATTAATAAAAAAATTCAATTTGTATTTTTTTATTAAAAAAAAATTAAAATGTGCATTGTAGACGAGAAACTAATTGGTGATAAAAAAGGTCCATCAAAGAAATATTCTTATATCGTTTGAATATTCGTCTTTAGTGACTTTCAGTAACGTGTGTAGCCTCCATGAGCCCTAATCACGGCTTGACAACGACGCGGCATGCTTCGTATGATCCTCCGAATATCTTCTTGTGGAATTCGCTCCCATTCTTCAATCAACGCTTCAGTGAGCTGCTGCAGTGTTTGAGGTGCAATCGGACGCTTCCGGATGCGCCTGTCAAGCAAGTCCCAAATGTGTTCAATTGGATTTAGGTCAGGGCTCATGGAAGGCCACTCCATTACACGGATTTCCTGCTGCGGCGTTGGAATGAAACGTCTTTATCGACGAATGGGAGAAATTTTGTAGCAAATCGTCACGTTTTTCAATGATAGTTAATAATAATTCTATTACAATTAATGAAATTCTATAATAATCTTCGTAGTAATAAGGTTAAATGAAATATTTGTATTCATGTCTATGATAATAAAAGCCTTTTGTTAAACTTTATCTAATTTAACGAATTTCTGTAAAGTTGCATATAGTAGATCATTTTTCGAAAAATAAGATCATTAAGAAGTTTCACTTCTTACGTGTGTACACCTAGTACACGCACAATTTATTTCTAGAGGCTTCTACCGTGTATGTTTGAGAATAACTAAGCAATTTTTGAAGTCTTACGAATGAGTAATACATGCAAACGCAATACAAAAGTACGATACATAAATACGATACATTTATATGAAGAACTAAACATGTAGTCCGTTGACGTATCTCGAGTTCCATAACCAAAAATATATTCGAGTTTTTAAAAGTCGACTTGATAAAAATATATTATTATATCAATGATTATTTGATTATTTATAATTAATATTAATTTGATAATGTCTAATATATAAATTCTCGTGTCGCGGTGTTTGTAGTTAACTGTTAAACTCCTCCGAAACGGCTTGATCGATTCTCATGAAATTTTGTGTGCATATTGGGTATGTCTGAGAATCGGACAACATCAATTTTTCATCCCCCTAAATGTTAAGGGTAGTCCACCCCTAAATTATTTTTTTAGAATTTTTAGATACATTTTTATTTTTTTATGATACAACATAAAAAAATACATACAACCCCTAATTTTCACCCCTCTACAATCAACCCCTATTTTTTATTATAAATGATATACATGGTAAAATGAAGTTTGCCAGGTCAGCTGGTAATAATATATTTTAATAATGTGATGATGTAGTGATAAAATAATATAATTGATTGACTAATTTGCACGCTATTACATGTGTGTGTGTTGTATTATGTATAATATTATTACCATATTCTTGCAAATAAATTATTATTATGAAAGCACAAACACATCGTTCGTAAAGAGTATATGAAGTACATGGCGAGAGTATCGTTAAAATATTTTTTGCAATTTCAACGTTTGACTTAACAATCTGTCACTGGCCTTTAATAAATAATTCGATAAAGTTTCTATTATCTATGCCGAAAACTAAATATTAAAATAGTTGTCGATATCGCTATTTGTTAGGCCTACAACGCACTAGCGGCTGGCCGCGATGCGGTGTGCCGCTGCGGTAGGCCGCACATCGATTATTACATGAAACCGCACGATAACGACGCACTGATTTGCGGACAACCGTCAAATTCACAAAGAATGAATAGCAACGAGCACTTCAGCCCCTTCCCAAAACGCCAAAAAGATACGAAAACACGAACACGAAAACAATAAACGAAACACACCTTCCAAGACAGTTGGTCACCGCGAAAGAGTATGACCAAAACCCTCCACAATGTTATGACTTATGAGGATAAAACTCAATTAAAAAACAATACTATGTACATCTGTACGTATAACGTTAGATCGCTGCTCGCAGAAAATAGATTACCAGAATTAGATCAAGTGCTAGATAAAATAAAATATGATATTATTGGATTATCGGAAGTAAAAATTGAAGGCATAAAAATAGAACAATATAGAAACTAACATGACATGGCCGGCAACACCTGGACAAGGGACGCCCAGAACCGACACAGATGGCAAAATATGGAGGAGGCCTTTACCCATAACCGGGTACCCAACTAAAGAAAAAAATTGTTATTTAATATACTATAAATATAATACTAACAATAAATTAAGAAAACTAAATACTAACACAGCTAAAGTAATGTTATTTAAGGTTGGCAATAAAAGGCAATTCAAGAAGAATTGAATTGAATTGAATTTGAACTTTGAAGTACTTTACAATATAGGAAATGCTTGAATTTTTGCCAGTTACTTTTTGGCGCTAAAATTCACTTCACAAATGTAGCGCTATCGAATAGTATCGTTATAAATAGTCTGTGCAGGAAAACCGTCGTGAGATTTGCAGCTCCATGCTAAATTAAGTTCTTTTGGCAACACAATTACGTTAATATAGTTCGATAGTTCATCCTGATTACATGAGTAAAAAAATATAAATTTTATGAATTAATTAAAATAAGCTCATGAAATAAGAATTATCATACATTCATTCTTTGCATGCCATAATCACTTTAGTATATTGAACATTCATAAAATGTTAATATAACTAGTGTAGTGTATTCACTACGAACTTATTATAATATTTTGTTGGATATGGAATATCAAAATCTGAATATAGTCTATCTGATCAATCAAATAAAATATTAATATCTTTGTTGTCTGTGGAAAATTTAAATACTCTATTCTTTAATGTCAGAATTCATAGCAGTTAGAATATAAATTTATTTACTTTCCATATCCTACTAAAAAGTTTAATCGTTCATTGTTTTAAAGTGGTACATTGAATATTATTGGATATTAATGAATTTCGCGTATAATATCAGCTGTAAAGATAATTATTCTTCAATGTTATATCTATACATAGCTATAAACTATAACTAATCGGTATTAATAATTCAAAGCGATTATAAAAATGCTTAAAAATTAATTGTAAGCTAAAGTGAAATCAAAATGGACAATGCTAATAACATCCCTGCATTACTAAATAAATTATGTGAAGAATTGACACTAAAACAAGATGCCATCAAGCCAGGTATATTTCCTTTTTTGAAAATGATGTAAATGTCAATAATTATAGATGTTTTGATAAATTAATACCAAATAAATTTCTTTTAGTGATTTTGTAAATGAGTGCCATACAAAGTTTCCTTAAAGGCATATTTTCTAATATCAAAATAGGTTGAGTACTACCTTAAATATATTCATGTGTGTGTTATTGACAAGTTTTAACAGTTTCCTCTTATTTAAGCTGAAGCATATGAGTTGGCACTCTCTTATATGACTTCAATAAATGAGCAGCATTCCATACCGGATGAGAAGATTCTTTGTCAAAAAATACATTCCCGTTTGAGCAGTGTCTCTGGTAGAGATGCTGACAAGTTTAATGAGTTATTTGCAAAACTAAAAAATACTGTAAGTACCTATGATATTTCATATCTATAACATTATAAAAATTAAATGGGTCCTTAGCAACTAAATGAATGAGGTACCTACACACCTTAATACTAATTCTTTTTAATAATTCTGTTTGACTAAAAATATGTAAAATAAAGATTTATATTTTTGCTTGGCTTTGAATCTTTTATTTATTGATTACTGTTTTTTTTTCAGTTTGTTTTGAAACAGCCAGTATCTGTACTATCCCTTTTATTGGCTCTCTCTGAAGCACCCCAGACTACAAACTCAACACAACAACTGTTTCCTGTGCCAAATTTGAGTATCATTGTAAGCATTTTTCAAATTTAGTTTTATATTCACCATAGTCCTTAGTCCATGTTTTTGAATTAAATTAAAGGTAAAGGGGTATTATTAAAGGGTTGACCTTTATTTATTTGCTCAACGGTATTCCTACAGCTACTTACTAAACAATATTCAAACAATTACACTGTACACAAAAGCCAAAAACGAAATACACATTTAAACATACACAAAGCACAGTTTCACCTAGAAAAAAACACAAACACAATATACAAAGAATATTTATTATAATAAATTTAAGGTTCTAACATTCATTGATCATCATTTTAATATTAATTTATTGTAAAGGAAGAATAACAAAGCCTAGCCGCAAATTATCAATAAAAGATACCAGAGTTTTTTAAACATTTTTTAGTTACATTAAATATATCTATTTGTGTTATAATCTGAAGGTATACGGTACATAACTGAGTTACGTAAATAGTTTGTATTAGACCGAGGAATTTTAAATAGTTGGGTTTGCCTTGTATAGTATGAAGAAGATTTAATGATAATAATTATGTTTATTTGTGCAAACATGGCAAGTACATTATTGGTTTGTGTACATACTTTGTCAGTCACAATGGTGTGCATATTTGTCATGAAATAATAATATATCAAGTACCTCAGCCTTCTGTGCCTTCCACATAGTTTACCCAGATATGTAAGACAATGCGTCTTAAGTAAAATTATCAATGACTTGTGGGAGAAACAAAGTTGATAATCTGGCTGATTTCTACACTGCTGGATGTCGTTAAAAAAATTATATAAATTAAATTTCAAAGAGTTTGCATAAGCTTTTGCAAGCGCTTGTTTTATCTATGTTAAAGATTTCTAGATAGAAATATAATACTAGCGGACCCCACAGACATAGTCCTGCATGATATTCCAAGTGATTAGGATATTAAACAAAGTATGAAAACATCGGCTGCAGCACCATCTGCTGGGCTAATTTGTGAATCTAAACCATCCAGGGCTCCATCCAAACGCATACAAAAAAAAACATTCAAATCGGTCCAGCCGTTACAATAAGTTAAGTGACATATACACATACAGTAGAATTATATATATATGTACCCTTTTAAGTTAGATCAAACTGTACACGGTGTCCAAATTCGATTGAAATCGGTTAAGTATTTTAGGAGTCCATAGCGGTCAAACAACGTGACATGTAATTTATGTATTATGAATGTTTTAGAACTCTGCTGCGGCATTTACTGGAGCTAGTTCTAGCAAGAGTACTGTGGGATCAAGTTGGGGAGTGAACACACCAAAACAACAAAATTCCAATCCAAGTATTTCTACGAATAACAGCAATTTGGTTATAGCAACACAATCATGCAGTAAGTTTATATTTTACATTTACTCTCATCCGTGTGGTCGAGGTTCGATCCCTGGCTGTGCACCAATGGACATTCTGTCTATGTCAGTTAAGGGAAAACATCTTGAGGAAACTGGCCTTCTGTAGACCCTAAAAGTCGACAGTGTGTCGGGCACACAAGACTGATTACTTGACTATTAGCTATACTTGAACGCTCCCATACTTACTAAATATCTGGGACTTTATTATTTTTTTTTATAATTAAATAACTGTTTTCTTTAACAGACCATGCAAATGAACCGGCATGTGTAAGAGACGCTGTGTTAGCAGCTACTGGAGTCAAAGCTAGATCATCCTGCAACTGGTCAAGACCCGTGCAAATACTGTATTCGAGAATAGCGCATCTGGGTTTTTTGCATGATAAACTTAAGGATTTTATTGATCCCGCATCAGTTTTTACACCGCAAGGTAATTTTTTTTTTAAATATTAATTTCCCAAATGAAAAAAGTTTTTAATAGAAAAAAAAACGTGTGGCACTCGGGGACTGCCGCGGTAAAGCTATTGCATAATTTTTTTTTTCAACTTATGCAATTAGAATTGTTCATTTATGCAGTATTTTTTTTTCTTTGATAAATTAATTCAATCTACCACTCTACCAGACTTAGACTAACTAGCCTATATAGTCTGTCTCACTCTAACGCGCACCGGCTGCACCGATCTCGTCAGAGAGATGTGAATACGCAGTATGCGTTCTGTCCCGCTCTAATGCGTAAGGTTTCTTTCGTTACGGAATTTCTGGATTCGGTCTCCACGCTCGAGGTCCGTGATAGAAGCTATGCAATTGATTGATTGATTATCAAGTAATATCAGTAATTTTGTAATTTGGAGTTTCTTTGTATACAATTTTAACCAATTCAAAAAAGATATATCAATTTGACCTGTATGTATGTTGCAAATGGATATTTTAAGGCCATTTTTTATAGGTCTGATGGTGGAAGGGTTGGTTGCAGCTATAAGAGAAGAATTAACGGAATATTATAGAAGTGTTGCCTTACTGCAGTCTCAGGTAAATTTTAAATTCATACTGCTGTCAAGAGTCTGTACCTTGTGATAGTAAATTCGTACTAGTATTTTTGAACATTTAACATACACAGTAAGAAAGAAAAATAACAGGGGCCTCATAGCCTAGCGGTCTTATTAAGTGGCAGCTAGGTGAGGGGTACCGGGTTCGATTCCCGGTTCGAGGGCAAGTTTTAATTTAATTTAAATTTGTTCTCGGCCTTTGGGAGGGTTATGCGGTACCGGGCGAGTGCCTAAACCGTACATGGTCGAATTTCTAACGACAAGCAAGAATTATAAAAAAGTCCTATACTTGACGCTGGCTAATGCACAAATCGTGCCAGAGCCATTAAAATAAATCAATAACACTTGTCTTGACAAATATCAGTAGACATTGACAGCTGACAGTCGATGACATGTGAATTTATTTATTACTGAAAAAACTATTACAAGTCTAAATTTAGTTTAAATTTCGAATTTTAATTTTGTTACAATATTTAGTTATCCCTGAATGTAATTTTTAAATATGGAACAATATTTTAGGTCTGTGAAAGTGATGGGGGAGGTGGGACGCTTCGTCGTGTTTCCGTTTGGGCCCAAGATCCGTTGCACAGATTACATTGGCTCGCAACCATTGTGCATAGTGTACAACACAAAAGAGGTAATACAATCAAATTTTCATGTTCCTATGTAAAATTTATGGTGGTAGCTATGAATGTATTACAGAAATTTGTAGTGAGAGATTTAGGATTCCAGAGATTTTTTTTTATAATGATAAACTCATTTTATGAATAAAGTGATATAAGGGAGTGTTCAAGTATAACGTCACGCAATTTTTGGAGATTCTTGACTCCCCCCCATGTAACGCCCCGTAACGTTTTTCTGTACTCAATAGTAAAACGTTTGTGACCACCCAGTGACTCTTTATACCATTATGTGGTGTTAAGTACTGGTAAGTCGAAAATAATATTAACAATAACGCGTAATTCAATCACCGCGCCGCATCGTCACGTTTTACATGAAGACCCTCCCCCAACTTCGTTACATAATGCTTGAACGCTGCCTAATCGGATCGTTAAGAAAAATTGGCTTAGTGGCATGCGACTTTTATCTATGTAATCTGGGACTAGGGCAAATCAAAATGAGCACATAGAATGTTCATTGGTGCACAACCGTGGATCGAACCTACGACCTGAGAGATGAGAGGCGAAAGCCACAGATTTTTATTTATAATTTTTATAGGTGGTGAATTAGCAACGTGCGTACATAGATACGTACATCATGGCGACGAACGCGTGTCTGCGCTCGCAAGGCGATTGTTGACTTCGCTAACATATCCACTACTATTGATGCTGACACGATGGCTTTTACATGGTAATCATTATTATATTCTTGCTTTTTGCCAAGATTTTAAAACCATTTCAGATTTATTAGTGACTTTAGAACTTATACAAATTGATGTTCTATTCTGTTACTGGCTTCAAAACGGTTCTTTAGATAACACGGCGTCGCCCATGACGTTCACAACAGTAAACAAAATTCAAGTGTTTGTAAGAAGAAGTTTACACATATTTCGTTCAAAAACAGTCTACGAGGAAGTTTAGACAGATAAAGACATTACAAGATACGTCATGTTCGATTCGATTAATTATTTAGATATTTTTGAGAATGGAATGTAATAAAGCATATTGTTAGAACAGAATTTTAGATATTTTTAAAAATGGAATTTAAAATAAGGTTATACCTAGTTGAAACAAAATTTTAGATATTTTTAAAAATGGAATTTAAAATAAGGTTATATATACCTAGTTGAAGCAAAATTTTAGATATTTTTAAAAATGGAATTTAAAATAAGGTTATATATACCTAGTTGAAGCAAAATTTTAGATATTTTTAAAAATGGAATTTAAAATAAGGTTATAATATATACCTAGTTGAAACAAAATTTAAGATATTTTTAAAAATGGAATTTAAACCAAGGATACAGTTGAAACAGAATTTAAGATATTTTTAATAAGTATTTGTTTTTCATATTTGAATTTCGAACGTCAAATCTATGACATATTTTTTTCACAGAATATCGAAATTTAAAATTGTAGTTTATGGTACTTGCAAAACTATTCTTATTGATGGATTTTTTATTATTAAACACGTATAAATTAGATTTTCTTTCGAATTGCAGGAGAAATCGACGATCCATACCACGAATTCTTTATTGAAAGCAGAAATGGAGTACCAATTGATAGAATGTGGCATGATAAGTACAGAGTGAGGTGAGTTGAATGATTTCGATGCAATTTTGTATAATCCTTGAGACTTTCTTTTCTTTTTCATTCTCTTTAAAATTGGTATCTATTGCAATTTTGATGGTTATTCTGCAAGATGTACTTCGTATACTGTCGCTCGGCTTGCCCTATGGCTATGTTTTGGAGTGCGTCGCTGGCGACAAGTCCAGTAAAGGCTAGCACTCGCGAGCCCTCTAAAATTGAGTGTCCATGGGCGGCTGTATCATTTAACATCAGTAAGCCTCTTGCCCGTTTTAAATTTAAAAAATTGACAATGCGTAACGGCACTTAAGCAAGATGGCGTCGTTCCAGTCTTTAGTCTATAAACACGTGAACAAACTGCGTTAATTGTCATTCAGACATGCTACTTCATCTTCGATTCAACTATATTCACTTGATAAAATAAAAAATAAATCAGAGGCGCTACAACCTCTTTAGGTCTTGGCCTCAGATCTGAATCTGTTTCATGATCATTTTTAAATCTAATAGGCAAGTAGGTGATTAGCCTACACACGTCGTCGACTTTTTGGGTCTAAGACATGTCGTTTTCCTCACGATGTTATCCTTCACCGTTCGAGCAAATGTTAAATGCGCACATAGAAAGATAGTCAATTGGTGCACAGCCGGGGATCGAACCTACGACCTCAGCGATGAGAGTCGCACGCTGAAGCCATTGGGCCAACACTGCTCTACATGTTACATTTTATACTTACTCCATAACGCTTTTTGAAGCCTTGTTTTAGACGGATTACTCTGAATAATGACATATTTTTATAATTTATGGCTGTCATTAGAGTATAGAGGTTCTTTTGTCTATTATTTTAGAGAATGGATGGTCCCATCGTTCATGTGCCGCGAACAAGCCGCGCAGATATTGGCTACGGGCAAGAGTGTCGTGTTCATGCGTGAAGCGTGCGCAGATTTACCTGATCATTGTGACACGACACCGGACCATGCGATACATCTACAGAGCTTATTGGCTGCTCATACCAGAACAGGTGAGGCTACGAGGGCTTCGGGTCATCTAATATATAAAATTCTCGTGTCGCGGTGTTTGTGGTTAAACTCCTCCGAAACGGCTTGACCGATTCTCATGAAATTTTGTGTGCATATTGGGTATGTCTGAGAATCGGAAAACATCTATTTTTCATCCCCCTAAATGTATATTTTTTTATTTTTAGATATTTTTTATGATAGCCGACGTTTGCCCGGTCAGCTAGTAAATTATGTTTATCTGTCTGTCTCGACTTATAGGTCTTATGGAGAGAATTGTAGAGGTGCATATCGATAACGGGATAGGTACGATCGATATGCTAAATTATGTTAAGGGAGTTCAAGTATTACGTAACGCAACTTTTGGCGATTATTGACCCCCCCCCCATGTAACTCGCCGTAACGTTTTTCAGTAACCAAGTCTAGTAAAACGTTTCGTGACCACCTAGTGACTCTTTAGTTACTAGTATGTGGTGTAAGTCGAAAAAAATATTAACAATAACGCGTAATTTAATCCCCGCCCCGCATCATAACGTTTTACAAAAGGACCCCCCCTCCCCAAAATTCGTTACGTAATACTTGAACGCTCCCTAAGTATTGGGAGTAATTATTCGCTATCTGAAAAATAAAGTTTTTAATTTGTCAGATAAAATATTTGTTTCGACGCAATTATATAGAAACTGTATAGAAAAACAATAACTCGTAACGACCAATCAGGAGTCAGGGCGCGTGCGCAGGTAGCTAAGTATCAGAACGGGTTGCATTGCGTGCACATTCCTACTGTCACCGCTTTACACATACTAAGGGATCCGGATGATGTTTGCATCTAATCGAAGCAAACAACAAATTAATAACCGCCCGCGCGGCCTATAATAATAAAAATCAAAATCAGATTAGGGTAAAAAACCGCCTTCACCGGGGAAGGCGAGGACCTTTACTTCGTACTTCGCTCACTCCAGTGAGCTTCCGTCCTGCCCTTCAGGCGATTGACCACCCCGCGACGGCCCAAGCCGAGGTCCGAGTCTCACAAGAGACGCCTTTGCGCTAGCCACGGGAAAAACGCCCATTCAGGCCGAGCTACGCTCGCCATAACAGCCCGAGCTGAGCTGTAAAGGCCCTTAAGGCCAACAGCGAGATTCCTTTCAATAAAAAATAAAAAATGCGTCGACTATAGTAGCTGCATACTTGCAGACGCTACAAAAAAAGAACAAAACATCCAAATCCCTTAAAGTACCCTTAATAATTGTCTTGGGGATGGTGGGTTACAATAAATTTGAGACCCAAAAGTTCTCCAAGAACTCGGTTTCTCCGTACCTAATATGTTCAACGGCAAAGGCCAAGGGCCATAAAGAGTCTTCAGCACAGATCCCCGTTAACAAAAGACATCGACATCTTTATATGTACCGCGCGACATTCCAACTTGGTTAGCGAAGCACCACTCACGCGAGCAATACACATAATAAATAAGATTTCTGTTAAGGTACACCTATTTGTTTGTACACTGGCTGAGTTCACAAGAGTTGCTTCCTATATTATTAGTTATAAGATGTAGGTATATAAATATATATATTTTTTTTAATGTTTTTTATCTAGGTTAATTGGTGTGGGTATAAATGTTGTGTCGTTCTATCGAATTAGTAATTACTGTAAAGATAGAATAATGATATGGAATAAAAATAAAATAAAAATAAAAATGTTATGAATATAGTAAATGCCTTATATAAGAACTAATCAGTCACACGCGTTTTAGGTGGAACTAACACTGAAGTAGCATGGTGGGAGGCTGAGGGCCTTCGTGAGGGTGTTGAAACGGCCCATTTGATGGCCTCCCAGCGTCTTTTGGCCGCTTTAACGACTCATCATCACCTTTTGGATCACCTTGCTGCCCATCGCCGGTATCTGTTACTCTCTCAAGGAGATTTCGTTCATCACCTGATGACGTTATTGCAGTAAGTATTTTATATAGGTAATCTTATTCGGTAATATTCTAAATATGAAATGAAATACAGAATTTAATTGGCATATTTTATTTACATACTTCTTTAAAAAAATTAAATTAAAGAATTATTCTCCTAACAAAACAATGCTTTAAAATATTTTTTTAATTATTAAAGTACAATGTGTCCCGACCAAGGAGGTTTCAATTCAATTTAAGTACACATAATGTGTGGTGAGCGCGCTGCGCGCGCAACGCGCTGGTTCCGCGCCAATAGACCAATAACAGACTTTTTTCATTGGCGCTATTTCGTACATACGAATTTGAGTAATATTTTGTTGGATAAAACTTTAGTAGCAAAAATGTCAAGCAACACCGACGATACCGATGAAAATTTAACTCCACCTGACATTCTAGAAACTGACGAATAGTCTTTTGCCAGAAAAATCAAGAAAAGCGTTCGACAAATGTTACCAAAACTTTATGAGTTGGAAACCTATAGCCATGAGATTAAATAAAGTAGTGTATGCAACTGCATATAATTAGGTAATAAAACACTCGTGTAATCTTATTTTGATCAAAAAACTACACTCATATTTTAATACCCTCTATTATATGACAGTTGTATAAACTATAAGAATATTTTTCAGCACACGTACATCACGATAACAGCCTTTTATTTCAGTCATTTTAAGATTTGGCATTCTGATAAACAATAATCCCTCCTTAAGTTTATCAGAATGCCAAATCCTAAAATGACTGCTTCACGACTGATTTGAGCGCGACCGCCGATGCGAAAACCGCTGTTAGTCCAGTCAAATTATGGCTAAAAACGGGTTAAATAAACATGAGCGAACACAGTTAGGGGATTTTGAGGATCGATAGGGGGGTGTATTCTGAGCATAAATTCCAATTTGAGGGGTTGTACTGAGGTCAGCTCAAGGTCATTTCGATGGAAACGTGTTTAATTCGATATCTCGAGAATGGTTAGTGTGAGTTCGAAAACTGGGTTACGGAATCGCAAGGCTGATACCAAATTGAAATATATTTATCATTCTGTTATCAGTTCTTTATTCCTTTGTATACGTGTTCCCCTATTTGGCAAAAGCCTCCCTCTTCTGGCATGTCGCTCCCGCTGTTTCCTTATTCTAGATACACCTTCTAAATTGTCTGTCTCTTCTCCTATGTATTAATATATATAAATTACGTGTCACGTTGTTTGTCCGCTATGGACTCCTAAACTACCGAACCGATATCAATCAAATTTGCACACCGTGTGCAGTTTGATCAAACTTAAAAGATAGGATAGCTTACATCTCAATTTATACCCGCAATATTATTTTATTGCAAAATATTTGTTTATTATTTAACTGTCACAATTGTAACAGATGGCGCTGTGTTGAAAGTACCAACGTTTCACGTAAGCTACAATTTAATGGCATAACCACCAAAAAAGCATGGTGGTCCCCATGACTGGTGTTCTCCTACCGTTTCCCTTGAATAGTTTACTACTATGTAATATAACAAAAACCTTAGCCACAGCAACGCTTGGCCGGTCTGCTAGTAGTTATATAGTTTAATACTGTTGTAGCGACACCTTCTTTCTACAGCAATCAGTGTCAAACAAAGTTATTCTGACTGCAAATATATATATATATGTCACCGTAAAATTGTAAACACCGTTGTGCTTGAAGAGAAAATATTGTTACGTTTCTGATGTTTTTATTTTGATACATTTTTTTTACCACGTGTCAGAATTATTAATTACCTACTAAGTAATGAATAAATACTTGAGGTCAATATTCTTGAAGTGCATTCATTTTCTTTGACTGATACCCGTGTTTCATTCCTAACTCTATGGACATATAACGGTCGTACATACAGCCGACCAATCAGGGCCAGCTTTGGGACAGTTGACAATTTTAAGATTGTAATTTGACGGATTCACTTCGATAGATTATAATCTACCGAATAATAATACGATAAATTGTAAACAGTACGTTGAGGTTCACAATCTTTCGACAGTTCACAATCTCGCGAGATAGATTCGTCTCGGGAGTCGTTTGTACAATCGAAGATGTTTTCACATCCCACATTGTCGAACAAACGTTGGCAGAAACTCACCAATTAATAGGTTATGTCGCTACCATAATGATATTGCACAGAGTTGAACGGTGTTTACAATTTTACGGTGACATAGGTAACTTTTTCCTCCTCAGGTCTTTGGACCAGTGGTTTGACAGGTCAATGATCCTTCCTTTCGGTTGAAGGAACTGTTGAAACTCGAACTCAAAATAACTTTATTCATATAGGTAGTACACTTATGAACGACAATAGAAAATATGTTAAATTTATTCTATATTTATATTTACTACCAGTTCACAAGTCAAGGGCGTAGAGCTGGCAAGAAATTCCGCGCCACTCTTTTTAATCGCTAAGTTTTGAGTCTTTAGTGTTAGAGGTACACCAAATGAAAACCGAAATGGAATTCACTATCTTTATTGTCCTCTGACTTAATGGCGGTTTTAGGGCGACTGATTGATCCACGTGCAAGTTATGAAATTGAATATAATTATGAAATAATGATACGTAGACAATATTACAAATGGAATTACGAAATTTCTATATAGACAATAATTACACCTCTACAAGTCATACAAATTGTTTGGAGTGGAGCAAATCGATCTCAAGGATTAGGATCATTTAAGTATTCGTCAAATTTATAAAAAGCTTTATTGATTAATTTACGGAATTTATTTAGTGATAATTATGTTTCGCTTGGGAGTTTGTTGTAAAACGAATACAGTTTCCATTAAAGAAGTGGTTTATCTTGTGGAGCCTGGTTGGATTTGTTCTGTTTCGTGTATTATACTGGTGAAATATACGGTTGTTCTGTTCTTTTCTGTTCGTCTATTACTGGTATAAATAGTATTTTTAGTGTGTTAATATGTGTTATGTTTCAAGGGACGAATTAAGCAAGCCAGCGACATCCTTATACGTACACAACTTGACGTGTACGTTGGAAGCGGCCGTGCGCGCGACGAACGCACAGTACGAGCCACAGCACGTTCTATCAAGGCTTCATGTCAATTTATATCCTAATTGTATGTATATCTTAAAATTATAACTTGTATATAAAATATTTCATAGTATACTGGCCTTATTGTGAAAAAAGGGTGCGTGTACTTATGTACGCGCGTAAGAAGTTATACTTCTTTGGCATTATTAGAAATAGATTTTGATTGCATGCAAATAATTAATTACAATTAAATAATCAAAGCCTGGAAAAGGAGTCATTATAGTCAATAAAGTTCAGTTTACATTTGAAAAATTTAATAAATAAATATTTATAATTATTCTCTTACAAAATAAAAAATCATAAAGAAGAATCATACAATTATGCCACATCAGAACTCGCAATAGCGTAGAGAGATGTTTTGGTGTTTGGAAAAACAGATTTAGGTGTTTATTGTCAGTATTGCACAATATAGCCATTGAATTAAAAGAGGAACCTATCTCTGATGATGATGAAGAGACCCTGCCCACACTAACAGTACCCTCATCTCAAAATAAACTGCATGGAGCAGCAGTAAGAGCCATTTTTATTGATGAAAACTTAGTTTGATAGTTCTTAATTTAGGTTGTTTTAACAATTAAGTTATTTAAACAAATAAAGCACTATTTATCTTTAAAACATTTTTATTTCATTATACTATTTATTTTTAAGTGACTCTAATGTCTTCATCAGAATTTCGGTTTGTAATTTTAAATTAATCATTACTTGGTTGTGCATCTACGAGGCTTCTCCAAAACTAAAACTACTACTTGCTTCTGCAACAAATAAGAGAATATTAATTTAAGCTCTGTCCATGCAAAACTTAAAATTTTTTATAATTCATATTATAAATTTTTTAACACATTTATAAAGGGTCTTTCAATAGGGACTTCCGAACTTTTACAGTTGATAACGGCCATCTTCTTGAAGCTACATCTGTCAAATTGGCTGTCATTTATTCAGTCTGTTTTGCCAAATCACCATGGATGGATATAGCGTTCAACAACACGTGCAAATGATAAAATTGTTTTATCAAAATGGGTGTTCTATTCGGGCAACGTTCCGCGCTTCGCCCATTTTACGGGCGCCATAATCGTCCTACCGAGAGGACTATTCGCAGTGTGGTGGATAAATTTGAGTCCACTGGTTCAGTAAACGATCAACCAACACCCGTACGTCGACGAAACGCAAGATCTACCGAAAACATCGCCGCTGTCCGTGAGAGCATGCAGGAGAATCCGAGGCAGTCGATTTCGCGTCGCTCACAAGAACTCGGCGTTTCACAGACCACAACTTGGCGAATTTTGAGTCGTGACTTGGGCCTGCACCCGTACAAAATTAAGCCACAAACCACAGCGGCCCTCAAAGCCAACATAACCCATGCCATCGGTCAAATTCAGCCTGATTTATGCACCAGCGTCATGGAAAATTGGACATTTCGGATGCGCGCCACCCAGAGAAGCCGGGGCGGACATTTGAACGATGTTATATTCCACACATAATGGCATCGATAGGCCTTTCAAACCAATAAAAATTGTTGATGATATCTAACACAAATTTTGTTTTATTTAAATTTGAAGATAGGAAGCCCTTAATGAAAGACCCTTTATTAATATAATTATATAAATGTGTTAATAATATAGTTAGTAGCACATGCTACAGACCTGGATAGCAACTTTCTTTTATTCTATTTAGAGATAGAGATAATTTAAATATAATACCGGTGTCTTCCTTGTAGGTTTCTTTGGAGTTGTTTGGGGATTCTTGTTGTTCAGTTCGACATGATTTTCTTTAACCTTTCTTTAATCCTACAAAATAATGAAATTGTTAAGTTATGTTGTCACTGTTGTGCACACCTTTGTTTGGCATTTTTAGTATTCAAGTTATGTCAAAACTGATTTATTACCTTGTCATTGTTGGCTTTATTTGCTTTTGGGATAGCAATTGTTTCCAAAATGATTTTATTTGTAATATCCTGAAATATATAAATAACATCTATTAATTTAAGTATCATGGTGAGTGGTTCGCACTCAGGTATTAAGGTGTATTATACCCACTGTCCATTATAAGTGGGAATGGGCTCACATCTGGCTGGACAGAGTTTCGGTACTACAAGAGCAACATGGATGTTTTGAGGTATTACAATATCTCTAACTACCCTGTAGGGGAATAAAGTATGTGCCTATGCTTGAGAGGTTGAACCTTGAACATCACCATCATATTTATAATTAACATTCCTACCTCGACACCATCACAATCAAATTCATTGAAATCTACTTCAAACCGTTGCGGTATAATCTCTGCCATATCCATTGTGTCTGGAGAAGGTGATGGTGGCTTTGTTCCACCTCTAGTTTTTGATGTTTCACGGCGATAAGATGACAACTCTTTTTTTTATTCAATTTAGTGCACTTCCACTGATTCATCAATTGTTTTTTGTCTCTTGTCCTTATATTTGCTAGATTAAATCTGAAAAATTACATGTTTTGATTAAATAATGTAATCATTTTTTTGAGATACAGGTACTTATTAAAATGTTTACTTCTCTGTAATATCGCTCCAAGCCTTCATTTTCTCCTTATTAGTATTCGTGCTTAAATCTTTGTTCTCAATTATTGATATATAGGGTCGTAGAATATTTCTAAAAAGTTGCTGTAACAAACGCAATAAACAAAAGCAATGAATAATGGTTCATGTTTCAGTTTTAATCAACAATAATACTCGATAATACATACGGATAGTTAACCTCAATTGTATTGAAGCACTCAGGAAGTTCGGCACAGTTTTTTCACAAATATTTTATCATATGAATTAGTATTGATTTAGATATTCAATTTAAATCACTTCTGATTATAATTCAGACGCAAATATAAAATTCGCACTTGTATAATAAAAATAACTAGGTATATAATCTTTAAAACTAATTAATACTCCTATATTTGTTTCAAATGTCATTGTCAGATGTCATGGTCATTCAAAATTCTTGTTAAGCTGCTAAGCTAAGAAATAGAATATGCGTGAAGTTAGCTTCACGCATATTCTATTTCTTTTACTTGTAGATTGCGCAGTGCGCACGCTATAATCACACTCCCAATTTTGTGTCATAGGTGCGCGCGCATCGTAAAATTTCACTCTCATCAATTTTTCATAACGCGCCTAAAGAAGTATAACTTCAAAAAAAATCAATGGCGCTACAACCTTTTTAGGTCTGGGCCTCAAATTTCTGTAACTGTTTCATGATCATTTGTCAACTAATAGGCTATTAGGTGATCAGCCTTCTGTGCCTGACGCACGCCATCGACTTTTTGGGTCTAAGGCAAGAAGGCCTCCTCGCGATGTTTTCCTTCACCGTTCGAGCGAATTTTAAATGCGCACATAGATAGTCTATTGGTGCACAGCCGGGGATCGAACCTACGACCTCAGGGATGAGGGTTGCACGCTGAAGCCATTAGGCCAACACTGCTCAAAAGAACTATATTAACAAAATCTGAACAATTATGACAGGCGACGGCCGCGAAGACAGCGGTTGGGATGTGTTCGCACTGCAGTACCGCGTGGATGGACCCCTGGGAACGTTATTTCCCGCCACCTGTGCGGCCAGGTATCGCGCCTTGTTCACCCAATTGTGGAGGGTGAAACGCATCGAGTATGCCCTGCATGACGCCTGGCGCGATCATACGATATTGCAGAAGCGGCTCAAGGCGATGCCTGGTAAGTTTTGAATTCATTGTCACTGTATTAATCTCTCTATACTCTGGTTTTTCATTCCGTATAATTCTGTTTTTATTTTTTGTTTTTTTTTTATTTATTTATTAGCCGAATAAATCCATTGGCACTTTAAAAAAAGGTACAACAAAATATCTTACACAAATAAAATTAAAATTCAAAAATCATTTAATCATATGGGTAACACATTGTACACTTATGACTTGTCAGCAAAGAGATACATAATATTAATGCTTCTAATTTTACATTTAGTGCCAGGTCTCAAATCAAGGGCGTAGAACGGAAGAGAAGAACTGGCAATAAACTCTTCGCCACTCTTTATAATCGCCTTTTTTTTTACACAACGTTTGTAAGGAGCTGCAACTATTAAACCATGTTCCACATGAAATCTTAAGTAATTAATAATAACATAAATTAAAAACAAAGAGTTGTCCTCTATCAGCAGGAGGCGTGGTGAAATAGGAATAACTATACTAACTTAACATAAATTTAATCAATTTCTATAATACAATGAATAATTCTGATTATGATTCATAAGTGTTGCTACTAAAAAGTTCTCCACAGGAAAAGGGACAAATTTTACTCATTTGAGGGAAATAACAAAAATGCTACGTATTTTTTATGTTTTACCTATAAAAAGGTAAATCTAAATATTTACTCAAGTGACCTAATACAAAAATAACAAATATTTCAATATCACGAACAATATATCGAATTAACTTTAATTGCTTTATTTTATTATTTAGCCAGCATCACTGCCTACTAATTCCAGGTTTCGTAAACCTTTAAAAAAAAATCATTGGCGCAACAACCTCTTTAGGAATAGGCCTCAGATTTCTGAATCTGTTTCATGATCATTTTTCAATCCAATAGACTAGACTCAGATGTTCAGACTCGTATTGAAATTGAAAATTGTGCCCGGCCAAAAAGGTTTGCCATCTCTGACATGTCAAAAAAATTATAGCTGTCAGAATTCTACGGAATTAAAAATCAGAGTATAACTATTCCGGATTTGGTGCGAGTTTAAAAATAGCTATTCAACTTTTTTGGAAACACTGGCACCGACTCATCCGTCTACCTTCTTTCCATGCTTATATAACTTAATTCCTGGTGATTCTATCGTACGACACTCCTGTTCTGTACAGGACATAAATTTTATATCAAGTTCTTTGAAGGGTTGAGGAGTACGTGAAAAGGAAACTCTTTTCTCCAGGTCGCCTTCCCATTCAGATTGAAATAAACCTCTCTTTGCTTCGTATTACACAGCAGCCCCTTGGTCTTAGGGGGATAGTAGCCTATTCTCGATCAACCTGGTGTTCAGAGAGACGGTTCTAATCTGGTAATTTCTGAACTCCTCAATCCTAGGATTGGGTACTCCATATTAATTTATTTCTTCGAAACAGATTGAAGTGAATTTTTAACACTCACAGAGGTGTGGGGTCTTATGCGACGTGTATCGTGCTTACGGGCCGAAGCTCTACGTCTTTGCGGAGCCCTACAGGACGCCAGTTGCGAAGGGGCGGAGCCTGCGTGGGTGGAACTCCTATCTGCCGCGTCTGAAGGCCACCATCTTGATAGATTATTGCAGCTTCATCATAATGCTCTCGACAGACATTCGATTCATGCAATGATACATCATAGTACACAGGTGTGTGAAAAAGAAAAGAGAATGTTTTTATTTCTTTTTCTTGTAAATTAAGTACATATTTATGAAAAGAAAAGTTCGTAAATAACAGACAAGCTCACAAGAATAATAGTACATAGACGTATTAATTTTTTTGTAGGAATCCTCGAAAATGCATTTCATTTTCAAGCATAGACAATGTGTGGGTAATATGTGTAAAAAAGTAAATAATTACTGTTACTGACGTAATAACGAAAGAAGAAAATCATAGCCCCCTCCCCTATAGTGATTACGTAATACTTGAAAGGCCCCTTATGGTACTTGCTTCAGTTATGTATTAAGGATATCTTATACATATTAGACAAGCGGCCCGTCCCGGCTTCGCACGGGTGGACATTTTTTAAACATTTTTTATAGATATTGATATGCTCTTTAATATTATGGAACATTTTTTTGTTCTGTCAGCAATCGTTTTCGCAGCGCATGCGATGAAATATATTTAATAGGCATTTTTTTACACCTTGGGTAACATTATTGTAGTTTTAGTAGTTATCTTTAATTTTTTCGTGCAATTATTTAAAATTTATCAGTGATAATGTATAATTCAAATAGTGAAAGAATTTTTAAAATCGGTCCAGTACTTTATTAGCCAATTCGTTACGAACATATTTACATACAAATCTTTCCTCTTTATAATATTAGTAAATTATAAATATAATATTTAAAAAATATATAAATATTTATTAAAAACTTCAACAAGTCCATTTATGTTGTTATTAAATTAATACTCATAACTTTTTGAAGTTATACTTCTTTAGGCGCGTTATGAAAAATTTATGAGAGTGAAATTTTACGATGCGCGCGCACCGTGACACAAAATTAACAGAATGAAGTTGCCCACGGAAGATGCTTCGGCATTCGACATTATTTAAAAGCAACATTCGAATAATAATAGAATTTATGTTACACTTAATGTAAGAGAATAATAATATTTATTTATTTAATTTTTCAAATGTACACTGAACTTTATTGACTATAATGACTCCTTTTCCAGTCTTTGATTATTTAATTATAATTAATTATTTGCATGCAATCAAAAACTATTTTTAATAATGCCAAAGAAGTATAACTTTTTACGCGCGTACATAAGTACTCGCACCCTTTTTTTATAAAGAATTGTTTCTAACTTTGTTTTGTACTTTTTAGGAACTGCAATCATATTTGGGTAATGTTCTGAACGAAACATTGGCGTTGCGAAGTTTTGAGACGACCTTGCATACAGGGATTAATACGGAATTGGAAAGACGCGAGCGATACGAGGCCCTCAAGGCTGAGAGGGCTGCGAGAAGTAAGTACAGTATCTCTAACTCGAATGTCGAGGGAAATGCAAAAATTCGAGTTAACGAGTTTTCGACTTATAGGTCGGTTATCGAAAGCTGGCGGGTTCACAGTACTCACACTAATGCAATTTCACATACAGTATGTTTCAAAATATGATTTTTTTGCCAAGCTATATATTTTAGTCCACTCTGGTTTTAGTAAGGTTGGGTGGGTTGTAAATAAATAAAAATGTGTCAAATACATATAAATATTATGTGCATACGAGGGTGGATCCAAAAGTTCTAAGCCCGACCAAGAACGTAAATGAGTAGTTCGTGTAAATAATTTTTCATTTTTCGACATCTAGCCATGACTTTGTTGGTCGACAAAACGACCTTAGCCGTTTTCGGAGTAGGTGATCCAGATATTTTCCATTGTTTGGACTGTTGCTTTGATTCAGGAGTATGGTGGTGAACCCAGCTTTCAACAAATAAAAAAAAAAAATCAAATCAGCTTTCAGCATCTGATGTCAAATGAAATATAACATTTTTTCATTAAACTGATTTATTAAGATGCTTAAAATAATTAAAAACATTGTACACCATTTCACGAGATTGTCCTGGTAATGTTTAAAAAAAAAGATCAACATGTATAGTAAAGATCAACATAAACAGTAGCAAAAGCAAAACAATAACTGTCTCTTTTATACTCATAAGCTTGACCGAGCGCGAGAGAGACGGACAGTCTTTTCATGATGTATTTATGATTGTATTTCAGTTTGACATCACGCCTCGCGCTTATTCACAGACACTACACAAGCACAAAGTGTAAATGTGTTGAAGCCACCAGCTTTAAATAACATACCAATAACAAGAACTTCGGGATACATACGATTTACGTCCGAACCCAATGATCAATCCACAATCTCAGATTGAAAACCATCTGTGATCAGACCGTGATAGTCGATCGATCTCCTATCTGCATCCCAATAACCAAACCCAACGATGACAATCCATTTTTGGCGACGGATAAAATGCTTTTTTGTCGTTCCAATTTACCCAGTTTTCACTCATAATCATTGATAATCAATGTAAACCAAATAAGACCGTACAAATAACATTAAAATATACGTCTATGTTTAAAACATAACAAACAGTTTTTTTAATTATTTAAAAACTGGTGTAAGTTAAAATCTGTTAAAATAATTAACTGTTAAAATCGAGCTTACGTCAACTGTCATTTTCATACAAAGGACTATCCACAGACCCGACCTCCCATGGATAGCTTGTATCGACAGATGGTTATTACAATCCGTCGATTGGTTATTGGCAGACTTGTTACAACATTTGGAATAAGATTACTATCTCAGATGGTGGATTATGGATTGCGATAGGTTATTGGGTTCGTGCGTTAACTGTTGAAATTTCGATTTACAGAGGCGCGATTTCTTAATGTATTTTTCGATTTGCAGATATTGAATAACAATTCAACTTAAGTTTTGTAATATATATTATTAACATATTTTGAGCAGTGTTGGCCTAGTGGCTTCAGCGTGCGACTCTCATACCTGAGGTCGCAGGTTCGATCCCCGGCTGTGCACCAATTGACTTTCTTTCTATGTGCGCATTTAACATTTGCTCGAACGGTGAAGGAAAACATCGTGAGGAAACCGACATGTCTTAGACCCAAAAGTCGACGTCGTGTGTCAGGCACTGGAGGCTGATCATCTACATGTTTATTAGATTTAAAAATGATCATGAAACAGATTCAGAAATCTGAGGCCAAGACCTAAAAAAGAGGTTGTAGCGCCACTGATTTTTTTGATTAACTACAATTTACGGAGTGTCCTATTTGAAATTCGAGTGTATAGTGTATAAATATGTAACCAGAATTGAATTCGACAAGCTGGTTTAATAGAAAAAAAATATTTTTAGATGAATTCGCCATCACCGGTCCTGACGAAGCACAGGATAAGGAAAAGAGGAAAATATTTATCCAGTTCTTGGCGAGTAGGAAAGCCGATCTCAACGTCTGGGCTCGTTCTTATAGGTATTTAAACTCTACGTTACGATTATATCTTTAGTAATCGTTTAAAATATTTTTGTAAAAGAAGAATGAACCTAATGTAAACTATATTCTGTTTTTTTTTTATGGCTCTGGCACGATTTGTGCATTAGCCAGCGTCAAGTATAGGATTTTTTATAATTCGTGCTTATCTTTAGAAATTCGACCGTGTCCTCCATGTACGGTTTAAGCACTCTCCCGGTACTGCACAACCCTCCCAAAGGCCGAGAACAAATTTAAATTAAATTAAAACTTGCCCTCGAACCGGGAATCGAACCCGGTACCCCTCACCTAGCTGCCACTTAATAAGACGGCTATGAGGCCCCTAGAAATTACTTATAATCCTTAAATTGAGGCTGTCTCAGTATCAGAGGTGACAATGACAATTAACTAGATCACATTTGACATCTGTCAGTTTTAGCTTCACTGACGCAATTTTGTAATGACGTTCAGTTCACTCTTTAAATCATAAATGGTTTATTACTTTTTTTTATGGCTCTGGCACGATTTGTGCATTAGCCAGCGTCAAGTATAGGATTTTTTATAATTCGTGCTTGTCTTTTAGAAATTCGACCATGTCCTTCATGTACGGTTTAAGCACTCGCCCGGTACCGCACAACCCTCCCAAAGGCCGAGAACAAATTTAAATTAAATTAAAACTTGCCCTCGAACCGGGAATCGAATCCGGTACCCCTCACCTAGCTGATTCTGATTTTTAATTCCGTAGAATACAGATATTTCATAAGTGTTGCTACTAAAAAAGTTCTCCACCGAAAAAGGGATAAATTTGACTTATTTGAGGGCAATAAAAAAAATGCTACGTATTTTTTATGTTTTACCTACAAAAAGGTTAATCTAAATATTTACTTACTCAAGTGATCTAATACAAAAATAACAAATATTTCAATATCACGAACAATATAACGAATTAAATTTAATTACTTTATTTTATTCTTTAGCTGGCATCACTGCCTACAAATTACAGGTTTAGTAAACCTTTAAAAAAAATGTTAAAAAAATAGATACATAAACTAACAATAAAATGTATGTATAGACTCAGATGTTCACACTCGTATTGAAATAGAAAAATGTGCCCGGCCAAAAAGGTTTGCCATCACTAACATGTAAAAAAATGATAGCTGTCAGAATTCTACGGAATTAAAAATCAGAGTATGAGGACAAATAGTTAATTGAATTACAGTACGTTAGTAAAATCATACAATTATGATTTTTAATATAAAGTTGTTTTATCGAAATTCAATTTTGCCTCGGGATCCGCCATGTTATCCGGCTCGAAGGACCATCTAATAATATAAAAAAACATAAAGCAAGTACGCGTGCTTTACGACCTTTAATTTTACTTACATAATTAACTGAATTCCTCCTCATAAAAACTAAATCAGTCAAGACAGGAAGAGATGAAAGATTACGTAAATTAAATGTCTAACTAAAGCACAAAATTTATCATGATCCTTGCAGAGGTCACGTGACAACATTGATACTGAAACTGGCACTTCACCAAGAGGTTTCCCTTCAGACCCTGGCCTTCAGACTGGACTACAGTGACTTCTACAAGCGAGGCGATGCCAAACTACACGAACCGTTGACGTATCAGCACAAACGTCTCAGCGAGATGGGACTTCATTTAGCTAAGGTATGTTTTTTTTAAATGTAATTTTTCCCGCAGGCTTTGCATACCACTATTTCACAGTTGGTAAATTCTATTTAGCTAGATGTTATGGACAAACATAAAAGAAAAGCCAGCGCATTTACCAACAAAAAGTTTATGTGAAATGAAATCTATTGTTTTTGATAAAGGCGTCTACTTTCTATGATAGAGACGTCTATTGTCCATGATAGAGAGGTTTATTGTCTATAATAGACGTCTATTGGCCATGATAAAGAGGTTTATTGTCTTTAACAGAGACCTCCTTAGTGTGCCCCTCGTCTTTGAAGGGGAATAGAAATGTAATATTATTAATAATGTAACGTTTTGTTAAAGATAATACCAATTTTTCAATCGTATGTCTTGGATCCGTTCAAGTATTACGTAAGCACTATAGGAGGAGGGGGGATGGGGGTCTTTGATTTTTCTTATTTGGTGATTATGTCAACAGTAATTATTTACTTTTTTACATATATTACCCACACGTTGTCTATGCTTGACGAAATTCATTTTCGAGGATTCCTACAAAAAATTAAACAATGAAATGGGGCACTTTTGTCTAAACATTTAATTTTTTTTGCAGACTAGACTCCTAGATCACACTAAGAGAAAGTGACAAGAGGCTGTGGAACCAACCACTGGATTTTTTTGCACCAAGTGGATTGGTCTCGGATGTGTTTGGGCCGAGTAATGTGATGAACTATCTCACTCTGATTAGCAGCGATAGGTCATAGGGTTTTTGTCCCATATAAAGGCTTGCATTTCTATGGAGCCAGCCTTACTGTGCAAAAACTTTTAAAAATAAATACCAGTTAAAAAAATATTTGTAAAAAATTTAAGATTAAAAGTGTCTGGATAAGTTTTGTCGAGGCTGTTTAAATTTCAAATGAGAATTCCAAGCTATATAAGTGTGGTACCCATGAAGGTTTATCTTTAAAAAATTACATCTAACAAAAAGTCCAGGTTAAAAAGATAATTTTAAACTAGTTTTTAGCACAAGTTACAACATTAATCTCATCTCGGAACATGATGAATAAATTTAAAATAGTCCTTTGTAAAATTTTAATGAAACTTATTAATTAAGTACTTTTTAACTTAAATTTAAAATTGGCACCATTTTACAATCCTCAGTTAAAATAATCGAGGCACCAATTAGTTTTAATGTTTACTCTAAGTTGTGCCATAACATTTCATTAATAAAAACCTATTTTTATATTAAGTTTTTTATTTTGACCCTTTTGCCTTTTAATTTATCAGAATTTTATTTTAGAACTGAGCATTGTTGTTAATTTTTGATTTATTCAGAATATCAATTCAGAACTAAGCAGTGTTCCTAATTTTTGAGTTATCAGATTTTTATTTAAGAACTAAGCATTATTCTTAATGTTTGATTAATCAGAATTTTAATTAAGAACTTAGTATTGTTCTTAAGTTTTGATCCACATATGAACTACAGATACCTGTAAAACTATATTTTAAAATACATTGAATGACTAAGTCACGGTGTGTGACAGAATGGTAATAAGCAGCAATATCCGCTGCTGTATTCTGTACACAAAATACTATTTAAAGATCGTGTAGTAGTAGTAATTAAGTAATTAACCGATGAGACCATACTCGGTTGTATGACAATCGCACTCTAGAAATGTTCTTTATTTTCTAATAACTAAACTTTTTGGTGTTAACTGCAAGCCACATAGTCTCAAACGGAGCATGTGTAATTGTTTAATAATGGTTTCATTCGGAAGCTCACATCTACTTGGCTATCAAATTAACAGTGGGTTAATTATACGTATTTAATTTACGCGTAAAACAAAACATTGATTTATTTTCTTTGCTTAATAAAAAGGTTTTCTTTCTATGACCGAAATTAAAACTAGCTTCTATGATGAAGATAGTGAGTAAATCAGAACATCTTAGGGTAAGAACTAAGATTCAAAAGTCAAGAGTTAGCGCTGAGTATAATTCTCGTATGACTAAACGCATTGGATTATCTTAAGCCTATAGTATATTTCAATTTATAAAAATATGTACCGGTTAAGGTTATATATACATTTGACATGTCACAATTATACAGTGATGGTACGGTACTTTAAACAAGATTTTTTTACTTGAAGGTAAAACTATTGCCATAAAAAAAGAAAACCCATGTTTTTATAAAATTTATATTAAACCTAGAACTAACAAACTAAACCAGATGTGGCTTATTTTTGATGCATATTTGAAATTACGTCTCAAACTGAATCTACAACAAAAAAAGGGTGCGTGTACTTATGTACGCGCGCAAGAAGTTTACGTCTTTGGCATTATCACAAATAGTTTTTGATTGCATGCAAATAATTAATTACAATTAAATAATTAAAGACTGGAGAAGGAGTCATTATAGTCAATAAAGTTCAGTTTATATTTGAAAAATTAAAAAAATAAATATTTTTATTATTCTCCTACATTAAGTGTACCATAAATTCTATTATTATTCGAATGTTGTTTTTAAATTATGTCCAATGCCGTAGCATCTTCCGTGGGCAACTTCATTCTGTTAATTTTGTGTTACGGTGCGCGCGCATCGTAACATGTCACTCTCATCAATTTGTCATAACGCGCCTAAAGAAGTATAACTTCAAAAACTTAATCAATTTAAAGGCGAATTTGAAGTTGGTTCTAGGGGGAATATTCTGTATGTTGGCATCACTGCACAACAATGCGATCGTTTACTTAATCTGTGGAGTGTGGATACATGCGATTTTTTGTTCAAAATTTGAAATTTTCTTTTGTTGTTACTTCTAGTTTGGTAAAATTTCAAATACTTTGTTCCGACTTTCAAATTAATCGTTAAACTGAGAACGAAGCAAAACAAAAGAACACTTTCTTAATTATTTCTATAGCTAGTCTATTTGTATTAGCATTTGAATGTTCAAAGTTAATTTGTGTTTACATTGCAAGGAACAATAATGTCGTGTTTTACTGATTTTGAAAATATGGACGACGAAATTAAAGAACTTTTCAAAAACTACAAAAACAAAAGAGCTACAATATACGAACCATGTACAAACAATAATTTCAAGGAGTGTTTAATCGGACTTTCAGAGGTAATGTTTAAGTCGAGGCAGTTTTTAATTGTTCTGTTAAATATATGTTAATAAACATAAAAACCATCAATGTAATTATCAAAAAATAGTTAGTAGTTTCGAAAATGAACTACGTATTTTTGATATACCATTCTTTATAAATTGATATATTTTGTTTTGATTTTATTTGATTTATTGAAATAAATGTGTAAGTGTAACAAAACGTCTTTATTAAACAAGTTTTTTGCACTTTTTATATAAACATCTTATTATAGGAACTAGGACTTCTCAATATTAGTTATGTATTCAACCCTCATATCAACATTGAAGGGGAAACCTTAAGCTCAGATGCCTTAATAAAACTGATAAACGCTGTATGGACACTGTTGCATCATTATAAAAATATTTCAGAAAAATGCGAAGCTTTACAGGAACAAAACTATATTCTGGAACATAGTAACAAACAATTAAATGTAAGTTTTACACACCTGCATCATCTTTAAAAAGTACCATTAAAAGCTTGCAATAAGCGACACTGCAATTTTTACAAAAATTTAAGCAACTGACATTCATAGGGCGTTATAATGCACCTTTGTTTCAAAACTCCATATTAATTGATAAAAATTATAATTTTTAAATTAGTTAAAAATCTTAAGAGAATTAAAAATCAAATTACTTTATGTTTTATTATATATATAATTTTAGGGGTCCATGGGTAAATTAAAAAATAAACTGAGCACAGAGAAAAATGAGTCCCGAGCTTGTGTTGCATCTGCTCAAAGGGTTTCTGACCAATCAAATGAAGTGTATCAGAAGTTAATTGACACTCGTGCAAAATTAAACCATGTGGTCAAACAAAAGGAGGCAAATGAGAAGTCATTACAAAATAAGATAGCAAGGTTGAGACTGGAGAATGAAAAGTTAACCGACAAACTTAGGGGTAAACCAGGTAAGTGTTTATAATCAGTACAGTTGCACTGCCGTTGGTTAATGGTTACAGCACATGACATACAGTGTAAAATCTATATAACGACATTTAAGGCAAGCAAGTTACAAAGAGTTGGCGTTAAATGGAAAGAAGAAAAATCTGCATTAAAAAAAGAAATAGTTTATTTCAGACTAGTGTTAGTATTAACATAAAACACAATTCTTATGTGAACGATATTGCGTATAGTCTGTTACTGACGTATTTTGCTGCACCAGAAATTATGTTGTTTTTTTTACTATGTGATATATGTTCAAGCAATCCCAATTTGTAAACAAAAGAACGGATTTCTTAGAAAGTTCGGTACGTATGATGCCAATAGTCGAGTTTATTACGGGCTAGGACAATACACAAAACAACGTACACAGCTCCGCAGTTTTAACTAATTTCGGCAACTTAAAAAGTACTTTTTATTATTTAAGTGTCGTAATTGAGGGTGGGTGTAATGCTATGTAGAGTCTATCATAGTATGGAAAACAAGCTAAACCAACCAAAACCGAGTGATTTCTACGCTTTAGGGGGTTTGTCGTTAAATCCAGTGATGTTACATGAAGTTTACGCTGTATTATCTCTTAATTAGGTTCGGCAAAACAGTTATTTCAGTCAGTACTTCATTCTTAAAAATCTATTAATTTGTACAGTGTCTCATCTCCCTTTGGGGGGTGTACAGGATCTAAAAAAACTAGCTATTACTGTCATTATATAGATTTTTTCTGTAATAACTTATTACAGACGCAACAGATTTTAATTAATTAGGTTTTTATTAACATACAGTTAACAGAAGGTTCTATGTTAAATTATATCTACAAAGAAAACATACAAGCTGTATAGCTGTACAACAAACTTAATAAGGGAGCGTTCAAGTATTTCGTCACGCAATTTTTGGAGATTATTGACCCCCCATGTAACGCGCCGTAACGTTTTTCTGTACCCGGCAGTCAAACGTTTTTTGAGCACCCAGTGACTCTTTATACCTTAAAGTTACCATTATGTAGTGTAAAGTACTGGAAAGTTGAAAATAATATTAACAATAGCGCGTAATTCAACGCCCCGCATCGTAACGTTTTACAGAGAAAAAATTCGTTACGTAATACTTGAACGCTCCCTAAACTACTACACTATTATATAGGGAATACATTTTTAGTATAATAGTTTTAGCTTTATTAGATTAACAATTAAGTAATAATACATACACAGACACACACTAACACACACATATACACACAATTACGCAACACACATACCCCATGTGGTTTCCTTATATGTGTATCCCTATAAATATTGCAGCCTATGTAATAATATTTGTTTATTCTCATTAGATTTTTCTCTACTTTATAAGACCTTCTGTCGATCCGAAGTGGTGGAGGCCCGATGACCTGTAACACAGGTACTCTTACCTTTAGCAGGCATCAGTCTCACACAATCTAGCTTTTTCCCTAAACAGAAGAAAGACAATTATTTATTTTATAATAGCATATAACTGTCACTTGTTTGTGTACTAAGTTTTTGTGAGAAATGAATAAAGATTATTATTATAACTATTAATGTAAGTTTTTGTTAAACCTATATTTAGGTGGATACACACCATGTGCAGATGTCTGTGATGCAACCGTCAGACAGCTAAAGGAGAAGGAGAAGAAGTACAAGTCAATTATATCTCAATTGCAGGCCAATAATCAAGAACTGTTAAACGAAGTTATATCTATGAAGGAAGATCTCATTTTGTCTGGTTTAAAAAATATTTAGTTTAACGCATTAATGCGTTGAAAAATCACTGTTTTGCACAAATAAAAATGTTATTAGTTACATTTCAATCCAGTATTTTACAATTGACGAGATTTCTCGAGAAAAGCTATTTGATTTATTACAAATTTAATCCGAAATTTATTCTAGAATCTATTGTGCAATTGACAAGATTTTAAAAACATTTTTCTCAAGAAGAGCTATTTGATTTATTGCTAATTTAATCCGAAATTTATTCTAGAATCTATTGTGCAATTGACAAGATTTTAAAAACATTTTTCTCAAGAAGAGCTATTTGATTTATTGCTAATTTAATCCGATATTTATAATGTTCCCAAGTTACCAAAAAGTATTATAATAAGGCTGTTTTAATTGATTTAAACACAAGTTAACTATTAGGATAAGTTATTGATTATAACGGTAAAAGTAACGGTTAATTTTCGAAATCGTGTTTTTCTTAGTTCCGTATCGTATTCTTTGACAACTCTTAAGTAGATTATGGCTTAAAACTAGAATACTGACATCAGACTAAAGCTTGTACCAAAGTTTTGCCTTTGAGTTTATTTAAAAAACCCCTTGTATTTCAAAACAATTATTGTATTCGATATTCCAGAGACGGTACGCAACTTTCATTTAGCGGTACCGAGAGATATGTGGGGATCGCAATGATTATTCGATTTTAGTAGTTCTAATAATTAGAATAGATATTTGTACAAAGATTTATACCGTTAGATGTGCCTTTAATGCTTAAAGCTTCATTGTTGTTCGTTTTGTAAGAAAATAATTATTTAAGTAGTTTTCACATGTGTGCTTTGATCTTTAATACGTGAAAAGGGGCTTAAGACAAAGTTCGTTTGTCGGTAGTGCGTCACGTCATTGTCGAAACTTTTCATGTTTTAAATGATTGTACTATAAACCTGACCTGCTGAACCAAGTTGTGACCATGACCTGAACATCTAAGTTAAGCTTTTAAATTTTGACTAGTGACGCAATAATTCATCGAATTTATGAAAATTAAACAATTGTAAACCTTTTTTTAACTATTTCATATGCATCTCCGATATTTTTTATTATAATGGTTTTAAAAATCGCTAGTTTTCGTTAATTTAAACTTGCAAAAAATATTAATGTTGTAATTTGTTTTTATTATCTATGTCGCAGCCAACTAGCTTAATTTGCCGTTCAATTAACAGTCTAGCCTTTTAACTAAACAGCGCCGTTTAACTAACGGCCTGAAAGATCAGCCGTATCGTTTGTTACAACATTGAAGAAACTAGCTGGCTAATGCTAAGGCCATTCGTACGATAGAATCATTATTTGGCAGAAATAAAAAAGATAAACATATGACATAAAAATATTTCTTTTAAAATTAAATTGCTTAAGTCAAATTCATATTATTATTGTCACTAAACTCTTCCACTGTACTTGTTGTTTTTCATGAAACTTTGGAAAACACCATCCAAGTTGTGTTTTGCCGACGCCATATTGACAGTTTGAAGAGTTTCGTTTCGAGTTTGAAAGTGGCAGAAAGTGGAATTAAATTTAAATTAACAGTCAACAGGCTAGGCAAGTAATGAAACGTGATCGATCCAAGTCATTTGCCTAGCTGTTTAATCAACTGGCTAAACATCTTTCAGGTCGCTGTTAAACGGCTAGGCTGTTAATTGAACGGCTAATTAAGCTAGTTGGCTGCGACATCTATATGTCTCGGCACGTTTATTGGTCAGATTTTATACCTTGTTCTAATTATATGGAGAAAACTATGAAAATTGCCAATAACTTCTCAAGGACATAACCATTGATTATTTTATATGTAAGGTCGTTTATTTACTTCAATGTATACGTGAAATCATATTATCCTGCTTTTTGCTCCTACTAAACATATTTTAAAAAATAATACCTTACACAATTTGCAGGAATAATAACTGTCAAACGCATCATAATGACACTTGACATATTTGTAGACGTTTAAAAATAATTAAATTGAAAACATTGTAATCGTGTGTGATTTTGTAAAATTTGTTACTTTGCGAGGTTAATTGTGATACAATGATTAGATTAGTATTAAATATTTTTAATTAAACATATATTTTATTAAAAGACCTTATATTAGTTTTGAATCAGAAAATGTTCTCTCCGCCCTTGTTCCTCTGAGGGAAAATTGTGTTTAGTAGTATTATTACTAGCGGCCCCTTTGAGGCAAACATCGTGAGATCCGTCGTGTCTCAGGCCAAATGGTCGTTGACCACATGTCAGGCGTAGGCATAACGCATGGATTCTAACGTTTTTTTATTATTCTAGTCGAGGCATGAGTTAAAACACCATTTAAGTAACGAATTTATTGATAGTATAATTACAAATAATTTAAAATGTCAATGTATCAAACAATAAGTACAATTAAATAAATTGTGCGTGTACTAGGTGTACACACGTAAGAAGTGAAACTTCTTTATGATCTTATTTTTCGAAAAATGATCTACTATATGCAACTTTACAGAAATTCGTTAAATTAGATAAAGTTTAACAAAAGGCTTTTATTATCATAGACATGAATACAAATATTTCATTTTACCTTATTACTACGAAGATTATTATAGAATTTCATTAATTGTAATAGAATTAGGTATTACTATCATTGAAAAACGTGACGATTTGCTACAAAATTTCTCCCATACGTCGATAAAGAAGTTTCATTCCAACGCCGATAATGAAGTTTGACTTTAAAAAGCAACATGGCGCGTAACCGAAAAATGTGACGCGTAACGAAAAAATGTTACACTAAATTTTTTTCCAACCTCGATAAAGAAGTTTCACTTCAAAAATGTATATGTAAACATGCACCATGGACTCTTTTAGTTAATTTAGTCCATAGGGAATCAGAACTGTATAAAAAACCGCATTCTAGTCTTTTCTGTTGAATTATGAAGAAAAGAGATAGATGAGTGCTTAGTTTAAATGTTAAAAAAAATAAAGGGCCTTAGCGCGACTAACGAGTAACGAACATCAAGCTTTTTTTTTTAATATTATGGCAATAGTTTTGACTTTATGAACATCAAGCTTTCGTATACGTCAAATCGACCATTTCAGTTTTTGACAGCTCTAAAGTATCGATTTTTTTCAAACAGATTGTATAGTTGACGTGCTTACAAATATGCCAACCGAGTTTTCCAAAGGAAAATCTAATGTAACCTTTCTAAAACAATAGGTTTTACGTATTGTTCGAGCTAAGTTCCAGCACGGATTGAAATGGAAGGGATATTTTTTTGTAACTTGATGTTATAAATAACATAAAACCTCTTTTGCTCATATAACTGTTGAGATTGTAATTGTAAAGAAAAAGTTTGCAGAGTTCGTCTAGGCATAAATTGAAAAAAAACCAATAATGTGCAATGGATATAATCATGTATTAAAGGTAATATAATCGAGGCCGTAGACTCTTTATTATTTATTTACTTTAATTTCAAAATAGATGCTTAGGGTTGTTTATCGAGCCTATATTATGTTGTTTTAATTTAATCGATTAGACTGTTTTGGTTTTAATATAAATTCCTTTATATTACAATCACTTAAAATCAAAGAAATAAATATATTATGCTGACGTGACCCAAAAAACGAATCTAAACAACAAATAATTACTGGTGGTTATAATTCGGTCATTCTAGGGTCCGGACCGAATACGAAAAATATAATTTTACCTTAATTAATTTGCTTTTAACGGAGCCTTTGATGAACGACATAACATTAGCTTTATGTCGTTAACTATGGGTTTTATCTTTAATATTAATAATTAAAAATGCCTTAAATTTTTTTTAAGGAAATATAATGAAAAATACTGTAATAAAGAATGACATTATAAAACAATCACATACTTTTAAGTAGATTAAAACTATTATATACCTTAAAAATCTCCAACCGATCTATAATTAGTAAATATAAATATTTAATTTCTATTATAAAAATCAAAATCTGATTGAACATTTAATAATCTCTTTTAAACTTTGGCACATTATATTGCATTGCAGTGGATAAATCATTCACTATGAATCCGATAGGTGGCGCGTCTCAGAAAGTGTAAAAAATCTTTGAATCTATTGATGATATCTTCGTTGTAAAAATTATATAATATTTTTAAGTTACTTATTGATAATAAAGAAAAAAACAGTTTCCTAATTTCTTGAAACTAGCACTGAAATCCTATTTACAAAAGGCGAAAATTAAGGATTTAATGGGGCGTCACGCGTTTTTTACCAACTACATCTTAATATTACATCGCTGACAAATGACAACAAAGAATGTTCTAAAATTTTTTGACTATGGTGATCCACGCTTAACACATTTATAGTCTATATAATAAATGAAATGTTTTATATCGGACAGTACCCTTGGCACAAACATTACGTTATTGACAACTGAATTGAAGAAAATGGCGGGTTTTGTTGCGCGACCATTTTGTTTGCGTCAATCTTTTCTTTCACGTGATTGTGGACCATATTAGAGAAAATAACTATACATAATGGTTTAATTAATAAAGTGTTAATACAAAACGACATGTTTTACTATCCTGTACACAAAGTAAATAATAAATTCTATTTTTTTTTACAAAAATGTACGTTCGTCGATCTATTAAGTTTTTCTTAACCTATTGACGACGCCGCGGTTAATTTTTATCTATTATTCGTGGTAAGGGTACTGTAGGATTACAATTTTGAGCATATATATACGAATTATGACTCTATATATTTTTTAAAGCCGTGTGAAAATTTCTCTTCATAGTATATTTACAAGACTCTTTTTGGCGAATCTTTGGAGACGTATTACGAATCTAAAACGGAATGTTAGAGCTTTTCGGGTACTATGACAATCAAAGCATGACTAATACAAAATTAAATCTTTTTGCATTATAAAATTTACAATAATTCAATGTTATCATGAAACAGCGCCGGTACCCTGTAACTCTTAATAACGATTGCGATTCCTATGTTGAGTTGTTGTACCGCGCGATTCCAAGGTTGCGATATTGCGCAGACGAATTTTGACAGAACACTGTAATTCCATGTAAAAAAGTCGGGGTGGGTATCGCTATCGTGATTGAAGGTTACAGAGTACCGGCGCAGTTAGTATTAGTAGTCATATCGGATAACTATGTACATCAGAATCGTCGTTTTCTTAGAGAAATTGACAAGTTCTTTTAGTTACTGGCTTCTTCTTGATCGCTGCTCTCACCGCCTCTTCGAATACTTCGTGCATATTGACTCTTTCTAAAGCCGAACACTCCACCAGCTGGGCAGCTCTGAAATGAGATATTAAAATAATTAATAAAATATGGTTCTATTCCAAGCGACTAAAGATTTTTTTTCACGGCGAAAAAGCGATTGTTAATCATACGGCGAAATACTTTAGCCTGCCCCCAGGCGAATAATTGTCATAAAAACAAATGGTTGGTATAATAAGTTTTTTAACGTGATTCTATTTTTAAATTAGAATTGAAATATGTCATGTCATGAATGCCATTTTGGTATCTTGAAGATTAATTTAAAGATTTTTGGTGGAATGCTAATGCTAATGGTAACGTAAAACCGCGAATAAGACTAATATATAAAGGAACATAAACTTTCATAATTACTATTGGTACATTGTAATCACAATTCTTATCTCTCGCTTATCGAGCGACCGGCCACTGCCCAGAATACAATCATCGTGAAACACAAAACTATATGTATTTAACGACTAAATATATCGACAACAGTTCATTCATGTAGTTGAATGTTCTATCCCTATCACTCCTTTGGAATTTTGTGGATAAATAAAAGAGACATTATTTTTCGAATTGATTCTTTATTTAATATTAATGTAGACCAAAGTGGGACACAAAAAAAAAACAACAGTAACAAAGGAATCATTAAATTTACCTGTTCTTAAAACGTAGTTTTTTTTTTAATTAAAAAAAAGTTTTAGATTTTACAATATGTACCTACCTATTTAAAAATGGTCTTAACAATGCGGATTTGGTACCCGATAGGCGCTTACAACGCTTTTAAATAATTGATCATACCGAATAAGTAGCATTTGGAAGATTCTGCTGATTTCGAACCTTGAAAATGAATAAGGGACGACAATGTTAATATTCTGAATTTGACCATTTCACTGTTATATCTAATATATAAAATTCTCGTGTCACAATGTTCGTTCCCATACTCTTCCGAAACGGCTCGACTGATTCCTTTAAATTTTTTATGCATATTCAGTAAGTCTGAAAATCGGACAACATCTATTTTTCATCCCCCTAAATGTTAAGGGTGGTCCCACTCTTAAATTTCTATATTTATTTTTTAGACAAAACTTTTTATTTTTATTTTTTTATGATACAGCATACAAAAATACATACAACCCTTAATTGTCTGTAGTGACCCCTCTACGATCAACCTCTTTTTTATTATAGTAGATTGTTATTTTAATTGAACTAAAAAAAAATTCTACAAATAATATACATGGCAAAACAACGTTTGCCGGGTCAGCTAGTACGAACGTAACACTGGCTAGAGATCTCCGGCTAGAGTAGCTGGTGGTATTAAAGGGTGCCTATGAGAAAATCCTGTACTAAAGAATGCAAGGTGACAAGTGAACGATCTTTGAATACTTTCAATGCGTTGTGAATGGATCACATATTAATATGCTACCGTATTATGACTGCGCGTTATACAAAATTGTGTAAGTTTTACAGCCAAAACAATCTGTATTCCGTTTAAGAAATTTAAGAATTCGTTCAGATGTGGTGACTACTTTATTAAATTGAGATATAAACATAAATTTTCTATTAATTATTACACGAATCTCCTGAAACTTCTTCTGGTGCGCCGTTATGCTCATACACAATAAGAAGCGCTTTATTCTGGTGTATTTCATTGTTCTTTTTTAAATTGAGGATATGATAAACACCAATCTTTTATACCATTAAGAATAAAGATCACTTTCAACAAGAGTAGAAGGCAGAGTTAATAACATTATACATTTTTAAATAATCAGCGATGAGAGTCGCTTTACAGTACTTTATAATACAAATGTCAAGAAGGGTAATGGTTCCAAATAGGATCCTTGGGGAACACCAGGTCGCGCAATGTCTAAAATATAATAAAATCTAAGGGAGTAGATTTACCGCCTCCAATAACTACAGACTGAGGCATATTACGAAGATATGACTTAAACCAGTTCTGAAAGTTTTCTCCCATTCCAAAGCTTCTGAATTGGTAACGGCTGACTGACTTTGTCAAAGGCTTAGATTTAATTAATAATATTTTAAAGATGAACTTTCCTTTCTAGAACACACTAGACTATTTTACAATATGAAAAAAAACTGTGCGAAGCCATCTTTATCTTCCATCATGAACGTTTAAAGTCAATACTTAAAATAATTAAAAATAACCATTTGTATTTATCTTCTTAGTCACTAATAAATAATATGGTTTTTTTTTGGAATCTTATCAAATTATCCTATTATGTTAACTATTACATTTTCAGTTTATTGTGCTGTGTAAAGTCATGGACGGAAGTTAGTGTTGAGCGATTTCTTATCTGTGAATGATAATGGCGATATGGCAGCTGCCGACACCCGTCCATGATATCATTATATTTTTTATCTCAACAATGAAAGACAAAAGCATTTTACTTTTATTCATCTTTTTCCTTATCTAAAAGTTGGAAGTGTACGGTCGGATCTAAGGGTCATAGATAATACAATTTACAGATTTCATATAAAAACGAGCTTCGGTGTGTTCATCTTATTCTAAGGTTACTTTGTGACTTCCAATTTTCTTCAAAACTACACGAATTTTAGTATAGTCTGATTTTGTTGAATATATACTAAGAAAGACTTAATTACTATAGAGTATTATATAATATAATAGAGTATGTTTATCTAAATTAATCATCTAAGTTTTTGATTCGATAAGGCATATATATCATATGTATACCATAATTGCCTTTCATATTACGACTTCGGCTGGAATTTATAAAGCAGACTTTGACCTTAAATGAATGACGCTACAACCTTTTAAGGTCTGGCACTCAGATTTCGGTATCGAAATTCGGTAAGTGACAATGTCAATTTAATAGATCACATTTGACATATGACAGCGACACGCACCATTGTAATTACGTTTTACTATTTTAAACAGAAATTTGTTTTTTATCTTTAGAATTATCGGTAAATAGTCTATTTTGTGATATTTTTTATATACTAGTCACTTTTTATGATGATACATATGCTGATTTTTGAGAGACGCTGATGCATCCTTGGGTCGCGCGATACAATTCATTATTGAGATCGGGATCGCTGTGGTTATCGCTATTGGATTGCAGTTACAAAGTAAGGGCTCTAATGCCAGTAGAGCATAACATGTGGGCCGAAAAGCTCGTAGGCGGCGTAGTATTAATTAATTAGTTAACCATAACCTTCAATCGTGTATCTTACAACTAAATAGTACTTTGAGTAAAGGAACATTGGTTTGTTAATAAACTTCCAATAGAAATACTAATCTTGATAATAAGGTGACCAACTATACTCATTTACTGAGTTTTGTACTCTTTTTTCGCAAACCGTACTCTTTTCAAATCCTGTACTCTGAAAGTATCTACTCATTTGTATAATTTCCTTATGTTGTCCAGGCACTAATGCTGCTGTTGTAATGGTATTTTCACTAGGGAATGATTATTGGAGCTGTGAGAAGTCACAAGTTTCGTAAAAAAAATTCTGCCGTCTTAACAGTCATATGCATAAAGAAAATTATTCGGATGTGCCTACATTATTAGACGAACATCCTCATTAAGCAAAGAAATCCACTCCAAAGAAAAATATGTTTTCAAAAGAAGATAAAGTTTTTATCGTTTTAAGACACAAACAAAAAATAGTTGGTCACCTCAATAATATGTAAGCGATTAGTGAATGACTCTGGGTTACGAAATAAAATAAGTATAATTTAAAGTCGTCAACCATTAATCTAAAAACTCTTCATCGATTCTAACAATAATAATTCTTGCTTTTACTAGGCTAAATTAATTCGTTTAAAACTCACCGTATTTTTCTTTTCAACTGTTTTCCCTCTTGTGTCGTGATAACAGCTTTTCCTGTATTGCGCAAATCCGTTTTTGTCGCTGAAATTATATGTTTTAATTAACTTTGACCTTATTTAATACATATCTAACAATAGTTTGGCTAGTATATTTTTGTATTTCCTTTTCGTTTTAAATAAACCATTTACATATTACTGAAGTCGATTTCACATATTTAAAATATATAATATGAGTTTGACAAAGTATCAAACGTTATCATAGTGTGTAAAATCCGTATGCGTCTTAATGTGTGGAAAATATCGGCCTTCGTCAAGGTCGTAAACATCAATATTACGTTTTTTTTTAATGGCTTTGGCACGGTTTGTGCATTAGCCAGCGTCAAGTATAAGATTTTTTATAATTCGTGCTTGTCTTTAGAAATTCGACCATGTCCTTTATGTACGGTTTAAGCACTCGCCCGGTACCGCACAACCCTCCCAAAGGCCGAGAACAAATTTAAATTAAATTAAAACTTGCCCTCGAACCGGGAATCGAACCCGGTACCCCTCACCTAGCTGCCACTTAGTAAGACCGTATTATAAATAAACCTTTTAGTTATGGGAACAGGTACAAAATATTCTGTATCTGTTACGTGATCTGTTTTTTCTAACAGGCAAGTTTGTGATCAGCCTTCGCCTAAAGGTGTGCCGGTTGCCTCATTAAGGTTTCCCTCACCGTACGAGCGTTATGACATTGACAGAAGGTTGGTGCACACTGATGTCAAGCTTAGGCCAACACTGACTATTATATTCGAACGATGCATACGTGCTTCTGTTTAGTTCCAAATACGCCCATGTAGCTTAAATACATAAATATATAGTTACATTTACGATTCAACTTTGTGGACCCGTTCCGTATACGCCCACGGAGTTTTTTGGTAGATGGACTTTGATACAGCGTACGGAGGTGGCGTGATATATTTTACTTTTTGTTTGTGTAAGTGAAATATATGTTTTTAAAATGATAAACTTGTTTTACCCTAATTTATGTTATATCCGTTCTAATGTGTTTTTTTTTTAATTAAACCTTTCCTTAGAATTACTTATAAGACTTAAATGAGGCTGTCTCAGTGTCAGAGGTGACAATGACAATTAAATAGATCACATTTGACATCTGTCAGTTTTAGCTTCACTGACGCAATATTGTAATGACGTTCAGCCCTGCGATTCTGTAACTCACTTTTCGAACTCACACAGCGGTTTTCGGATCGCCGATCGCTTTCAAATCAGTCGTGAAGCAGTCATTTTATGATTTGGCATTATGAAAAGGTGGAAGCTTGTAGTTTATTGTTTATTAGAATGCCAAATCATAAAATGACTGCTTCACGACTGATTTCAGAGCGACCGCCGATGCGAAAACCGCTGAGTGAGTTCGAAAAGTGAGTTACAGAATCGCAGGGCAGTTCAGTATTTAAATCATAAATGGTTAATTAGTTATTATGACAATAAAAATGTAATCGGAATTGAAAGTTTGTGTACTTCTAACTTCTAAAAATAATTCGATGAGATTTAATTAATAATAAGGACTATACTTATATCAAAAATTACACTTACCAACTAGAACAATAGGTACTGATGAACTAAAATGCTTCAATTCGGGATACCATTTGTGAATAACATTTTCATATGAAGATCGACTGCCCACAGAGTAGCACACCAAGAAACAATTCGTCTGAAATATATTATAACGTTAAAACCTCCTTTATCAAAAGTGACAATGCTCTTTATAGGTTAGTAGTGACTAAGCTTCCCCCGTAAACTTGACATATTATTTATTTTATACCTAAACCTATTCGTCACATAAAGTCCATCATAAGCTATGAGTCCGATGAAGTGTCAAATAGCACAATTTATCTTCCAAATAGTTTATGTGTTGCATAGCTATTTGGTACTTTATCCATAAATTGTGAAACAGACCCCTAATGTGACGAGCACAAGGCGAATATGACATACACGAAGAGATAATATAGATAATATAAGAAAAAAATAAAATTACAAAAACTAAACGAAAATTGATTTTAATGATAAATGATTTATTATCTGTAAGTAGGTTTGTACAAACACTTTTACACGTCAAGCATTTTTTTTTAAACTAGACGAGTTTGACGTTTCCAATCTGACTACTCTGAGAAGAAACGCCGAAACAAACTCAGAGGTCACAGTCTCTTTTAAAGTCCGGACATAATCTTGGTCAAATCATGTGAAGACCATGTAGATTGCATTGTCTGAAATGGTCTTTTGAAGAAAGAACCACACAGATTGAGTGGACCTGTGTCAGTGCACGCATTTGTCAGTAATCGTGCAGCTCAACTCAAAACTTAAGGAGCTCAACGATTCGACGAACATACCAAAGAAAAGACATTTGGGTAGGCCGTTAAAGTGTGAGGGGGAAGCAAGCAGACCTAGCTTGTTTATCAGAAAGCTTAATCTGGACATCAGTGAGCTTTGACCAAAACGCGTTCTTCGGCATGTAGTTAGATACGTTGCCACTGTCTCTTTGTAAGCTCTAGAAATTTTAACTAAACCTTCTCTCATCGTCAAAAACAATCTTCATTTTATAAAACTCACGCTATTATAGGATAAAGGCCTAAGTCGTTCGTAATCCTCTTGTCCAGCTGTGTCCCAAAGAGCCATCTCCACTTCTTCGCCGTCAACTATTATGTGACCCACGTAATTGTCAAATCTGAAATCAAATAAATCCTTCTTAATATTATAAACGCGAAAGTTTGGATGGAAGTTTGTTACTCTTTCACGTAAAAAGTACTGAATGGATTTAAATGAAACTTTACAATAATATAGCTTATACATTAGAATAACACATAGGCTACAATTTATAAGGATATTGTGTGAATCCAAAATATCAAGTAAGTAGGAAAAAATCTACCATCTGCGAGCTATTCTGGCTTGCGCTGCCAAAACCGCTAGAGTTACACATGATGTATGATGGAAATGTTTATCTTAAATAGTCAATATCTTTAGTAGATCTTTTCTACGCCACACTAATATTTAAAAAAAATCAGTGGCGCTACAACCTCTTTAGGTCTTGGCCTCAGATTTCTGAATCTGTTTCATGATAATTTTTAAATCTAATAGGCAAGTAGGTGATCAGCCTCCAGTGCCTGACACACGCCGTCGACTTTTTTGGTCTAAGACATGTCGGTTTCCTCACGATGTTTTCCTTCACCGTTCGAGCTAATGTTAAATGCGCACTAATATAAGCTACTCGAAATACTAATCCTGCGCAAGCGAAGTCGCGGGTACCAGGTAGTCAATAATAATTCTATAAATTGCTAGATATAACAAAAAATTACGAAGCCCGCGTAACTTTTGAATGACAGCACCGATTGAGAAAATTCTTAAACAGCTTTTTTGACACAATATATTATAAAAAGTGAATGTGATAATAAGGCTGAACAAATTGATGGAAAGATTGTGGTTCAGAAAAACTATTATTATTTAACATAACGCTAAGAAGCACAGATTAATAGGCATAATAAAGCGTAAGCGAAAAAAGAACTTTTCGTGTGAGAACGGAGAAATCTGACGCAATAAAAGGTCTACCGTTTTTGATTGACACTATTAGCTAATAATTAGCTGAAAACACAAAGTACAAGAACAATTTTTATTAATCTGATAACGAAATTTCAATGTTTTCTATGAATAGAACTATAATTTATTAACAGTAACTACATAGTTAAACAACATTTCGCAATAACGTGAATCTAATTTAAAGGGCGCGACGGACAGTTAAATAAACGTGAGATGTCAATCAAGGTCATTTAGCACGGTATAATCCGTTTGGCCTGGACCCTTACTCTGTACTTCCAATACCTACAGCGATTCCAATCTCACAGTGAGAGTCCAATTTATTAATACTACAATTTATTGAAGTTATACTTTTGAAGTTATACTTCTTTAGGCTCGTTATGAAAAATTGATGAAAGTGAAATTGTACGATGCGCGCGCACCGTTACACAAAATTATCAGTATGAAGTTGCCCACGGAAGATGCTACGGCATTGGACATAATTTAAAAACAACATTCGAATAGGTAATAATAGAATTTATGTTACACTTAATGTACGAGAATAATAATAAATATTTATTTATATAATTTTTCAAATGTAAACTGAACTTTATTAACTATAATGACTCCATTTCCAGTCTTAGATTATTTAATTGTAATTAATTATTTGTATGCAATCAAAAACTATTTTTAATAATGCCAAAGAAGTATAACTTCTTACGCGCGTACATAAAAGTACACGCACCCTTTTTTTATTAATAAAACAATTAAGTGATTTTTATAAAATTACGAGAAAGCCTTTTGCTATCCATTAATCTTTTCTAAGTACATTTTTAAACACACATACATACCCTCACTTTTACACTATCACACAACACAGCCAAATTAGGTAATACTCAGTTTAATTATATTTCATAAGTTTTATTGATGTTTTTCTTTTGTAAATGTTAGAACAATTTTGTTTATATTACGTAATCCATCTTGGCTATGTTTAGTTTAACTGTTTTTTATTAAATACTATCTGACCCGACAGACGTTGTCCTGTCGTAACTATGAATATTGATTTTGAATTGGTATAATTAATTAAAAAATATTTAAGAAACAAAGTGTTTATTATTCTAATGCTAAGTTTTGCTAAATGCTAAGGTGAAGTATTCTTAAATTTTATAATTTTCCGCGCAATTTTTTCATAAGAACCTTCTCCTGACTATAACAAACACAACAAAAAAGAATTAGCGAAATCGGTCCAGCCGTTCACGCGTGATGCCGTGACCAAGGTAAATAGAGATTCATTTTTATATTTATAGATAATATATGTTAGCTGTAGGCGTACAAAATAAATAAGACCTAATATATTACATACGCTTAGCAAATAGTAGGAGAAGAAGTAGGAGGCCTTTACTCCTTCAGAATTAGTTTTTAACTCTCTATAGTTTTAAAGGCAGTGGCTCGCACGTTGAGACTTACATCCCTGAGGTCGTAGGTTCGATCCCCGGCTGTGCACCAACGGACTTTCTTTCTATGCGAATTTCCCACTTACTCAAACGGTGAAGAAAAACATCTTGAGGAAACCGGCTTGCCTTAGACCCAAATAGGTGTGTGTCAGGCACAGGAGGCTGATCACCTACTTGCCTATTATATTGACAAATTATCATGAAACAGTTACAAACATCAGAGGCCCAGACCTAAAAAGGTTTTAGGGCCACTGATTTATTTATTTTTTACTATAAAAAAATAAATAAGTGGCGTAATGCTCGAAAAATACTCATATATAATTATTTTTATCCTGTCAATAAGATCAAAATAAAATCATAATTTACACAACTCTAGCCGAGTGAAACAATACTTAACAATTATTGAACAATGAATGTATCCCGACTTCTTACAGCTGAACATTTTTACGTTTTGGTATTATAAAAAAATACCAGGAGGTACTAGAGAATCGACTTAGAAGTAATAGCCAACGAGCATGATAAATATCAAGTGGATGAAGCAAGAGAGGTAGGGATCGTGGCAAGTGGAGATCCGTGCTCTCTGCCTACCCCTTCGGGAAAAACGCGTGGTAATATATATATCTTAATATATATATTTCTTGTGTGCGTGTGTATGTGACTGAACTCCTCCTAAACGACTGGACCAATTTTGATGAATTTTTTTGTGTGTGTTCGTGGAGATTCGAGAATGGTTTAGATTCACAAATCAGCCCGGCAGATGGCACTGCAGTCGGTACTTTCATACTTTGCTTAATATCCTAATCGCTTTAAATATCATGCAGGACAACGTCTGTGGGGTCCACTAGTATATATATATATATATACATTTGGGGTCCTAGCGCTTTAAGGCTTTTTAAAGAAATATCAAAAAGGTTAGTTGACATCACAGGAGACCGAAGATCTGGCAGCTACCTCGGACAAAGAAATAGTCTAGCTAGTCAAAAGGGGAACGCTGCCAGAATCTTCTAAACCTTGCCTAAAGGGACTCCTTTTAATAATATATTTTAATTGTAATTGTATTGTAATATTATTATTACTATGTAGGTTAAAATACTATAATATATATAATAATAATAACATATGGAAATAAGCTAGATAATTAATCCTAATAGTTAAATTTCTATGTTACTTAGTAATAATAACGTTACTAATTTGATTCTAATGGTGAAAGAATTTTCTAAATCGGTTTTTAAATTAATTCGTTACATGTACAAATGTTTCCTATTATGTGTAGCGCTGTGGAACAGTATGCTTCTCAGCATAATGCGGAGCCAGGGCCAGTTTCAACCACACCACACACACATTACACTCTTAAAATGTACATTATTCTTTAAAAAAAAAATTTTTTTTAATTTATTATTATTATCATTATTATTTTGTATGTTTCGTTAGTGATAAATGTTATATATATGAATTTTTATAATAATAATAGTATAAATTTAAAGCATACCAAAACATTACACTCTTAACGTCTTACCATAGGCTGACCCGTGAAATCTTTTTTTTAAAAGGTTTATCAAACAATGAATCTTTCAAGACTATTGAATGCCGGTGTATGATTACGATGTGAGAATCCTCGATCAATGTTGGCCTAATGGCTTAACACCAACTAGACTTAACACGTACTATTAGTGCCCTGCCTCACGGGGACGCCATGGCGACGTGGCCTGCGACGTTACCATGGCTAGTACTGGCGTCTCTGCGTCGCCAGACTGAGTCGCCAAATCGCGTCGCCAATGCATAAGTTCTGTCTCGATTAAAAAATCAAAATCAAAAATAAATTTTAATTAAATGATCAATAAAATTATAATAAAATAATTATTATTATTTTATTTAATCATTTTAAATCAAATTTTAAAATCATTATTATGTAAAAATATTAACGTCGCTGGCCACGTCGCCATGACGTCCCGGTGAGGCAGGGCACTTACTCTCGTATGTCAAAATCCAATATATTATTGACGTGTGGGAGTAAGCTTACGCTAAGTCTCGTTCCTAAATCTTACAATTATTATAACTATAGTAGTAGTGTTTGACCTAATCTGTAATATTTGACAGGACTTATTATATGTGTGCATTTGCGACAGCTGTGAAATCTCCTGTTACGTAGTCGGAAAACACGTTTGCGGTTAAGTAATACAATTGCGTAAATATAATTTATCCTGCCGCAAGCCGCAGCTAAAACGTAATACATATTTAAATATAATATATAAATTAATGTTCCTTGTTTTATTTAAATTTGTAACACTTGCACAAAGCAAATACAGATTATAATGCAGTTATGCCACCATAACATTCACGCTTTGACAAATGACCTTTTCGCGGTAAATTTTTGTTGCCGCCTAGAATTACGATTCTGAAACGATACTTAATGTTTAATCTGACGCCCATACGTCAAAAATGTATTGGATTTTGACATATGTCACTTCTTAATCTCACCTTTACTGAGGATGGCAACTACTGCAACTAAACGCTATTTTTAAAAAGAAACAAGGCTGTCTATGTTTTAAAAATATAAGTTGAGCCTGTATAATATGTTGTCAGTCATACCTAATTTAAATTAAAATTTGTTTTAATTTTCTATTTATAATTGTGTTATTAATATAACTATAAAGGTTAAGGTAAATACTGTATATTTTTGTGTTGGAAATAAATTAGTTGATCA